GACTGCGACTGTATTCCCGCGTGTCGACATCCACAGTGCTGGAGGATGCGGTCGAAGGTGGGAGAGTGGTTGTTCCTGCGTGTGAAGCAGCTGCTGGTCGTGCATCTGTATCCATTGCCGTTGCCGCATCCGCCACGACTGGAGTGGCTGGAAGAGTGGACTGGGCTGTTGCTTCATTGTTGACCAGAGCGAACGCTACGGACGGCAGACTTACATCGTCCGCTGCCGGCACGAGAAGAGACGCTTCCGCTGCCAACACAAGAAGCGACCCGTCCGCTGTCGACGACGCATTCACAGGAAGCTCTGCAGAGCCTGCCTCCGTTCCGACCGTAGCTGCGATCTGAGTTGCTGCTGTTGAGGAGGTGTTCGAAGCGACGATTCCCTTGTAAGAATTACGATACGAGTCGTATATCTGTGGAGGAACATGTCGTGTCAGAGTCAAATGGTTGGTATCGCATATCCACGCGTTCCTTACCTTGTGTAAGAGTGCAGTCCTAGCGTCGATCCACGCAGCGCTCGACAATTGCTGTCGGTCTCGAAGGAATCTCGCCAATATTCCGTGAACTGCAGCTACAAATGCTGCTTGTTGGTCATCGAGACTGCTTGATGGAGCCGCACAAAGCTTAGTCGAATAGGCAACGTTGAACCACTCAGACTTCTCTAGCACGTCTTGCCGAAAGAACTCCCGAAGTAACTGGATCAATTTGATGCCTTTGGGAATTTCCTTTGGACAAGGATGATCAGTAAAGGAACGCTACACTTCTTTGTTTGCACACATCTGAGTCACCTACGAGCTTAAACGGGGCGTGTGCTTCGGCCCTCTGTTGGAGTGTTGCAAACGCTGCATCCTTCTCGCGGCACAGGGCTTCCAGACCTCCAATACGAGCAGTCAGTTGAGTGTTATCTTTCTTGAGTGTATCGATCTCACACTTCAGTGCATGGTTCTCCGCTGACAGTCTTGAAATAAATTCAAGGTTTGCTTGTTGATCTGATCCACACATCCAAACGAACAACCCAATCAAAAAATTAACCAAGTTGAATTTTCGTTTGCTGAAAATTCACCATCTCAAGAACAGTGTGTTTCCCGCGCTTTTACTATCAGTTTCAACACCGTGCTCTCAAAAACTGGATTGAAATTGAAGCTCAAAATCCCTTTTCACCCTCCCCAGCGTCCGCGTTCCCCGAATTCACGCCAATCGCGACGCAATTCCGTCAAGGAAGCCATGACAATTACAATATGCTTGGCGGCAGCGCGCTCCGGCGAACGGCTGCTGATCTGCAGGACCGAGAGCAAACTGAAAGTTCGTTTTCGCGCGCTTTTTGCTTTCTTCTTTTTTTTTTCTTTCACCATGCGTGTTCTTTGTTCTTTCTGATGTGTGTTGAAAGAATTGCTCTCTCAGGAGGAGAACGATTGTAATTGGTCATTACTTACGTTCCCGCAATGCGAAGAGATACGATTCGCTCGGAATCTGTTGGTGCTGATTCGACATTTGCAAATCAAAAGAAAGAAAAAATACAATGCTTTTTGCAATGAAATAATAAAATAAAAGTAAATAAAAAAAATACAAAGACTGTGGTGCAGAAAATAAAATAAAATAAAATAAATAAAAATACAAAATAAAATAAAACCATTGGAGTGACATTGGTTTTTCTTTTTCTTTTTTTTTCTTTTTTTTCTTTTCTTTTTTTTTTCTTTTTTTTCTTTTATTTTTTTTGTTTGAGTGCATTGCTTTTTCCATCGTCAAAAAAAAAAGGCAAAAAGAGCAAAAGCAGGGAATCGAACCTCGTCAGGTGCGAAAGATGCACAGTGACGGCTCAACTGTTGTCTGGTTGGGCAAAACGCTACTTGATGCATCAGTGCCTAAATGTGAAACGTCACAAGACTTTTTGACGTCCCGTCAGTCTGACAATCACATAATTAATCTCTAGAATATAATGTGCCAATCGGCTGGTTGATTGCGGCAAGCAGGAGCTGGTAATTCGCTCGTAAAGTTTACCGGCAACTTTGGAACGGCCTTTTGGTCGTCCTACGGCTCTCTACCTCGCAGCTCATGATCAATTATGATGTGTATAATTGTAACAAGTATGCATGCTTGTGTTGGACAGTTGTAGTTCTCGATAATGATGAGAACATGTTCATGGGCGATACTTTGAATGAATCCGACTGAAACTGCTACGTTCACAGCGCACTTGCTGATGATGCGCTAAACCAGTCTCCACTATTTTGACCGCAACCATAGCACAAACGCAAAGAACATATCACTGCCAATCACTCCGTCCCAGGAGTGTACCGGAAAACGAGGTTGTCAGCTGGCATCGACCTCGATTGTCACACGCAGAATTCTGCACACGTATTTGCGATGCTAGAGCTTACCACCGAGACCGATTTTTGACTATATGGTCATGAATTATATTTGAATCAATACAGGATAGATTCGAGGCTGACCTTTCCATGCCGATTGGGAGAAATGGATGCAGGAAACACGTCCAATTATTGAAGGATGCGCAGTCCACAATGAACAATCTGTTTCACGTCCTTTTCCGTTGCGGCTGCGGGCCTTGCACAGCGATATTCGACAAAGATCCACGATCTCCGCTTGTGTGGCATACACAGGCTGTCTGCGCCAGACATGTCCGTGATAACTTGCTCCCAAGGGAGAAGTACGTCTGCACTTGTTTCAATTGCACTGTGGAGCATACAGTATTATGCAGTCGAGGTCGAAATCACAGCAGGCGAGGTTGGAAATTAGAGCGGACGAAGTGAGGAAAATCGGATTGGGAAAAAGTAGCTTGGTTGAAAGTGCGAGAAAAATGGTTTTTTCCGTAATTGGTTTTTGTGCGTTCGATTTGGTTTTCAACGAGTTGGTTTTTGCAAGCTTGTATTTCGAATTAACCCACTTGAGATGTTAGAATTACCAACAACTTCAGGAAGTATTTGAATTGAATCATGTATCTTGGAAGGTCATTAGATGCTGGGGTGAGTAGCGGGAAAGCTAGGGCTCGGGAAGAGCTCGAACTACAGTTTTGATGGATTACTTCCACAGCGACGTCTTTACCACCCAGGGCTCGTACTCACGAGCCATTTCGGTGTAAGCATTAGCATTCGCATAGTTTATCATAGTGTCATTAAATTGGTGGCAATCGTATATGCCGAGTGGATTGTTCCGATCATTCCTAACGACCAGCCAGTTGCAGCACCAATGACAACGCAATGTGCACTCCACAGTGGAGCGCTCCAGCTTGCATACGCTCAATACATGTACATACATGTATAAATAGGCTTAACTATGTTTGTTTTATGAAGGTTTACGGGTAGAGTGAAGCAAGGACGCAAGGCCGACCGGACTGTGGGGTTTTCTCCTGAAAGCCATCGACTAGTCTTTGGCAGATGCTTGTTGCAGAATAAACATGATGTGAAATGGATGTACAACAATACAGTATTTATACATGTAACATGACACGGACGATCACATCAAACGACCACCCAAAACAGGCGAGCGGGCGCCATTGAGGGAGCTTTCAAAGGAGAGCACGCCAACTAATCTAGCACATCGTGCATCTCGTGACAAGCATTAAAGTACTTGAGCTGAACATGCGTGATAGTGTTTTGGCAATGCGTTGCCGTCACGGTACCAACAGCAGCGGTAATACGACTTGAGATTGTTTCGTTCGGTTCCAGCCGGGAGCGCTTGAACGCAGCCTTCACTTGGTTGAAGACATACTCGATCGGGTTCAAGAACGATGAGTACGGAGGCAGAAAGAGCATCCCATACCCGCGGCGTGCAAAAAGCTCGCGCACTTCGGGTGTCTTGTGAATGCGCGCGTTGTCGAGCACGATCCAGGCTTTGTAGCGATGATGTCCCGGAAAGCTGACACCTGGGTGCTCTTCGCTCGGTACGAAATAGGAAGTATTGTCATTGTGCTCATCAATCTCGTCTTGAATGAGTTCTTCGTGTGGTGGAACGTAGACGCCGCCATCATCGTTGTCATCATCGTCGAGAATCCTGCGACGAGAACGGCGCTTCTTTCTGGTCGTCGAAGCAGAGGTGGAAGCAGAGGTGGAAGCAGAGGTGGAAGCAGGAGCTGACCCGCCAGCTGCAGACGCAGCAGACGACACAACTGCAGCGGGAGGGGCAGGTGGTTGGGACGAGGACGCTGCACCGGATGCCAGCAGTGGCACGTGAACTGCATTACTGGTCGACACACTGTCCTCAACCACGTTTGTAAGGGGGAGGTCGGGCTCAAGCTGTTGCACTGGGAGCTCATCCACAGCGATGCCAGACGCGGCGGTGTCGACGGCGTTTTTTGCCTCGAGCTTGTCAAACAGCTTCGTCATTGCCTCCGCAAAGACATGGCCAGTCACGCCTCCGAGCTGGATCTCATTCAACACAACGCCGCTCATTCCGATCGCTGCAATGAGCGTGAAATTCGCTGCACGAATACTGCCAACTTGAACGATTGCGCGCGCGCCCTTGCGAGATCGACCTCGCGTTCGATGCTGATTCGCATTAAATCCACTCTCGTCCACGTAGAACAAGCGATCCACAGGTGTCTGGAAAGCCTCGAAGAGCTCAGCCCATTTCTTGCGTTGGGCTTTGATTTCAGGCGAATTTTTCACCTTGACCTGCTCGTACACGCGCTTGAACGTGAAGCCCTGTCGTAAAATGGCACGCCCGATGGTTGTTTGATGCACTTGAATGCCAAATGTCGTCAGGAGGAGGTCCTGGAGCTCTTGATTGGTCACATTGACGTTCTTGTCGAGCTCCATCTCGAGAAAATGGAGATGCTCCGCTGTGAGCACACGGCATCCCTTGGGATTGACGTGATGTGACGTCCACTCTCCGCGCTCCTTGAAACGTTGCACTACGTTGGACACAGTGCTGATGGGGTGATGGAGCATGCTGGCGACCGTGACGAGAGGCAAGGCGCGATCAACAGCCAAGTCGATGATCCGCTTCCGTTCGGGGTTTTCTAGATGGACACACTTCCGCGGCGCGCGTGATTCGGTGGCCTGCGCCTCGTTTTGACGTTTGGGCATGGCTACAGAGCAGGTTCGTCTGGGGGTGTTTGCAAATCCCAAACATGAAGTGGCAATTTCCCAACCAAGAGTGCGAATTTTCAGTTTCAAGCTTTTGTTCCAAATTTTTCGCGCCAAAAAACCAGACCTTATCTTGGCAAAAACCAACTCGGGCGCAGTTTGGACAGTTTCGTGTTTTTAAAAACCAAATCGATAGCATTTTGTCCAAAATCGCACTACAAATTTGTACCATTTCAAATGGTTAAAAACCAAATCGTCCGTTTCTATTTCCAAACTCATATTGCAGTTTTCATCTTCGGACGCACAATACTGTATTAAAGGGCAAATTTCGGAGCCCACCACAAGAAAAACCGAGTTGCGACACTTAGGATATTCCGGAGTTGCGTGCCTGGCTCAAGTCTACAATCAGCTACGGGCCGATGGTGTGGAAGGCGCCTGGCTCGACGCCTGGCTGGACGCTTCGTGGCGTGCGTCGAATACCCCATCCTCTGTCCCAATGACACAGACGGCTCCGAGAAGAGAAGCAGCCATGCAAGAACATGCTGATACACAAGACAACCAAAGGTACGACGCGAAGCATTGCCAGCTGGCTAGACCGTGCCTCTCACTGCAGTTTGACAGTGCTAGTGCAGACGTTGATGACAGCGACATGTATTACGACGACATGGGTTTCAGCAACATGGATACCAACGACATGCAGCACCCTGATGCATTCGTTTCAGACCGGTGGCTGGACTTGATCGATTTGGACGAGAGTGACTCTTCTGACGACGACGACGACGACGACGACGACGACGAGAGCGAGGCCGAGAGCGAGGATTTGATCAACGAGCAGCTCGCGATCGACGTTGTCGACGAGCTTCGAGCTTATGCGTTTGCCATGGCTCAGGATCAAGCGGAGAAAGACACCGACTCCGCTGCGCCCAACACGGAGGCCGATGAGTATATGGGCGAGCTGATGGAACGCCTACATTGCCTTCGGAGTAAGTCAACACTCCGGATGTTTAGCCAGACCCTCGCAGGGTTGGACAATTTCCTCCAACGATACAACAATGATCTCAGAAAGACCGTGGTCACTGGAATGCGAGCGCACGGGTTGAATGACGAGCAGGAGCAGAAACTAAACGAGCTGTTTGACGACCATTTTCGCGCCACGGGTACGAAACGAACAACGCAGCTGCCCTTGCTATCGATGTCACGCGTCCCATTCACTAACCGCATCTTGTTCGTCTCTGGCAGCGATACCTGCGACTCCGTACTACTTTCAGCAGGCCCTCGTGCGCGATTCCATGGTTGGACAGCGGACAACACCCGAGCCCGAGCTAAATGCATGTGAGCGTATTGCCAGCCTCCAACGCAAGTATGCCGATTATGCTACTGCCGTGTGGTATCATACTGGCTGTCGATGCCATCCTACGGTTCAGCAAGCTCTGTCAATGTGCAAGCTCTGTCCGTGTGGGAACGTGACCTACACCTGCCGAGCCAGCGTTTGGATCCTCGACGAGGCGCCATCAACTCGTCAGCAAGACAAGCTGGAGTGTGATAGTAATCCTCGCTGCACAACGCTTGTTTCGGCACGTATTTTTGTGTATTTTCCGCTAAAGCCGCAGCTGACCAAGTTGTTTGAGGACCCTGAATTGGTCAAAGGCTTGATCGATCGATATGGTGATCTGAACGATGCAACACATGTCGACCGCCTGTTCAGGGAGTGGCCCGCCGTGTTTCAGGAATCTGCAGGATTGCCTCAAAAGACTCATCCCCTCCAAGGCGAGCATTTCCAGAAGTCATCGCGGCTCGACTTCCTCCATGAATCCCCATGGAATCTGTCACTTTGCTTGTTCTACGACGGGTCAGTTGGTTGTCAGCATTTGCTCGAGACAGATGTGGGAGGGAGACGATGGTCTCACTTCCAATGGTTGGTTTGGTAGATTTCAAGCATTCAACTCATCGAGCGTCCAGATGCACACTGTGTGTGTGCGTGTGCTCAATTTAAATACGACGCTGGCCAGCCAAGCGCACTGTGTCTGGGTGTCGTCGCTCATTGATGTAGGTAGACTTTTTGCCATTAATTTTTATTGATGCGACTGAGACGCTGTCAAACTGACTCGTTGTCACCGACCTTGCCGACGTAGGGCCCTGAGCTAGCTAACCTAGACCAGCTGATGGCGCCCCTGATCAAGGAAGTCAACGAGCTGTCGTCGCGCGGGGTTGACTTGCGAAATGCATTCACTGAGACCGCCGTACGTGTCAAAGCTCAAATCCAACTCCTGTCAATGGATTCTCCCGCTCGTGCCAAGGTGCTGCACATCATGGGCCACTCGGCCCAGCTAGGATGCAACTACTGTCCGAGAAAAGCCGGCCCTTGCGAGTGCGGCCATCATCGCAACTGGGGCAATTTGACTGCCACGCAATACGCCAACTACGATTACATTGACCATTCCCAGCGCAAGCCAGGCGGTGGCGCGTCTTGTTTGCGGGGATTGACCAACTTTCCAGACAACGGGAACGTTGAGCGGAGTATGTGCTCGTTGGATACGCTGCACAGTGTTCTGCTTGGCAGCTGCAAGCGACTTCTGAGCAACACAATTAACAAGATCCTCACCGACCCACGGGCCAAACAGAAAAAACTGGCAAAACTGGATTCTTTATTGAAGGAGGCAACCTGGCCATCCTTTGCCATGCGAGTCCCTCGCAAAGTGTCGACACAGCACGGTTTGTACACGGGCGAGGAGATTCTGAATTTCGTGCTGGTCTGCGCAAGATGGATCTTTGCAGACATCGCCGGCTTGCCTGGGTATCATCTGATGTGGCTTGATATGGCCGACATCGTGTTCATCTGCGTGACAAAGGCCATCGACATCAGCAGAATCCCAACGATCGAGCTGGTCATACAACGCTACATTGAAAGCGCCACGGCGGCCAATGGTCCTTGCGGAATGCCAATCACCACGCATCATTTGACTCACATTGCATGGGCTTGTCGGCAACACGGTCCTCCTGCGCACGTCTCGACCATGGTGTTTGAGAGGAAAGTCAACGAGCTCTGCCGGCAGATTCCTCCCGGCACACAAAACGACATTCTAACGCGATTCGTGAACAAGGTGATCAACAACTCCCCCTCACAGCGCAGCAGCACCGCTGGCTGCGGCATGGTGTACAAATTTGCGAACACAAAGCGCAGACGTCATTTGGTCAACGAATACATCGAGAGATATCTCGTGCAGCAGTTCGGTTATGGTGTGGTGGCTGCCAGGCACATGAAGATGATGGTTTCGTACGCAGGCTCCCGCTGGTGCACGTTGGCAATTGCTGGGACCAACACCGTTCTCACATGTGACAGGGAACACTATTTTCGAGTTCGTGCGTTTTACACACGCACGTTGATCGACCAGGAAACCACGCAATGTCTGGCGGAAGTGCAGGATTGGTTCGTTCTCGAGGAAGCATCGCATTGGCGGAACAACCCAGTGTATCGCCGAACTCAACCCGACGCGGGTCCCTTGGCCCGGTTTGTTGAAATTGAATGTATTGCTGGCAGCGGCTGGGGTAAAGCCTGTTGTTGTGCCACAAGGCTTCGGACACGCCGACCATCGGTTTATACTCATCCGGTGGCATCGTTGATGATTGGTAGGAATACAATGAAACACAAAAATAAAATAAAAAATAAAAAAGAACTGAAAAAAATCAAAAATAAAATAAAATAAATCAAAAATAAAATTAAAAAAATGAAAAAATCCCAAACGGGACGACTGCCACAAAAAATGAAAAAGAAAAATTCGCAAAAATCGAAAAAATGAAAATAAAATCGAAAAAAAATCAAAAAAATCACACAGCCGACGGAAAACACGCCTGCACCAGACACTCTAAACTGCTTTCGCCTGGATCTGCTCTCTGGATGGAGCTACACGAACGCTCGTTGCAGTGTTCGAATGTACACATGCAGGACAATACACTGTCAAAGGCACAGAGCCCAGGGACGCGTTTTTATCGAGCTCGACGCCATGGGGAAGACCGGTAAAACGGTTTCTTTTTTCACTGTGGTGCTTCAACTGAGCCTTGCCTCACCGACCTTTGGATGGGGAAGGGGAGTGAGACTGTGGCGTTGTACACTAGAAAGGCGTCTCTAATTATGAACAAGATTTTTTGAGTGGGCCACCATTACGCCCCTGATTTTAATTGTGAACAAGAGTGTTTTTGAGCCACTAGTCGATGTAGAAGCTTCTAATCCGCTTCCCCGCTTGAAATTATAGTAAAACCAGTCTTATTTTATTGATGGAGGAAAGTAGGCGGGCGACAGAGCTGTTCTACGAGTGTCGGTGCAGACGGTGAGCGCTGGTCCTGTGGGAGGCAAAGCGCACTGAACAGCACCGCAGCCCTGGACAGCTCCTGCGCCATGTCCGGCGCCGATAATGATACAGATGGGAGTATGTGGGACTCTGATGATCATAGAGTCGTGCACGTGCGGCGCAGTGACACAGAGCGGCGGCGACGGGGCATTCACTCGAGCCCGACCCATCATGCAAAAATTTCGCATGTGCGTCCAGCCCGCGATCATGCACAATCACGAAGACGATGTATGCGATTGCATTTCACAACGAGCGGGGCTCGAAACGTCGATTCAGGCTGGGCACGCACCGTCGCGACTGCTGAACTTGTCAACGCGTTGACTTTGCTCCTGCAGTGCAACCATCGCCCCCGCCTGTTCATAGAATAAACAAACATGTCGCATGTATCACTTTCCGCGCAAAAGGAGGCGGCTAGGACCGCGTCTGCTCGAGATGCAGTTTCGGGCTGTTCCGGCCATATTGTTGTTCAACGGGCCTGCAGCCACCCCGGCGATGTTCCATGCCCTCTCTTTGCTCCCAGTCGGAGAGTCTAGGTTGATGTCACATGCCCAGTAGGGCGAGGGGCCGCTCAGATGAGTATGGGCGCCTCCACTAGCGAAATGCTTTTAATTGTGAACAAGCGTAATGCATGTCCAGCAAAACGAGCAAAACTGACGACTGGCGCCCTACCGACCCGGCACGTGCGATCGACCCCTCCGTCTGAACATAGTATCACTAAACCATGTAGTATGTATTACTATCGAAACAAGGGGCGGATGTCGAAGCGTCAGCGAAATAGGTTTTGTTCATAATTAGAAGCACCCTCTCTACGTGCGATTGGCACCCCGTGTTGAGGAGGCGCATCCACGAGATGAATGAGTCGCCAATTGAGTAGGCCGCCATTGCTTGGTACAGAAAGTCGTGAGCCACACGGTCAAAGGCTTTGCGGCTGTCCAGGAGCACCGCGAGCCCTGGGATTTTGTGGTGGCGCGTCAGGTCGAGGATGTCTCTGAACAGGTGGATGTTGGCGTCGATTGTGCGTCCTGGGACGAAGCCATTTTGAGCGACGGGGATGATTTTGCTCAGGACTTTGGCGAGTCGGTTGCACAATGCTCGTGAGATGATTTTGCAGTCGACATTGAGCAGGCTGATTGGCCGGTAGTTTTCAACGCTAGCTCGATCGCCTTTCTTGTACAGGACCTTGACATGGCCACGCATCATTGACTCTGGGAGCCTGCCTCTGTCTCGCGTGACATTGGCAAGGGCTGCCAGGGGAGCAGCAAGGATGCCGGCGTATTTTGCGTAGAATGCTGGCGTGAGTCCGTCTGGGCCGGGCGACCTGCCCTTAGGAGTCCGTTCGATGGCAAGCCGAATTTCAGCGTCTGTGAGTGGAGCTCCTAGCTTGCTTTGTTCGTCGCTAGTCAGTCGGTAGCTGGGGCGAGCCGCTTCCAGAACCGTGTCACTGTCTTCCTGAGTGGTGGGCTCGCTGGCGTAGAGTGTGCCAAGGAAGTCTCGCAGAGTGTTGGCAATTTGGTCTGGTTCAGTCGCTTCTTGGCCGTTGTACACGAGCCGGTCGATGGTTTGGCTCTTCCGCTTGTCTCGCTCCAATGCGAAGAAGAGCTTGGTCGGTCTTTCGTTTTCGATTCGCCAGTTCCGCATAGACCTCGCTTGCGCCCCCTGAGCCGAGCGGTCGTCGTCGGCTTTCTGCTCTGGCAGTGCGCAGAGAGGAGCGCTTTCCTTTCCTCTTCTGGGGTGTTGGGGTCCGCGAGGTTCTTTTCGACAAACCGAAGTTTTCGGCTAACCAGTTCGTTTTCCTGCTTGCGCGCTCTGGCCAGTTGTGCACCACGCTTCTGAGCATAGGAGCGGACTCTTGCCTTGAAGAACTCCCACTCGAACGGTTCTCGGATTGTTTGGAGAGCTCGGGCTTCGTGGACAACAAAGTGGTCAAAGCACGGTCGTTTAGCAGGGTGTCGTTGAGACGGAACGGCGCTTGCGGGCGCGGCTTGTCTAGGATGTGGCAGTACTCGCCAACGACAGGGGCGTGGTCGGAGCGCGAGTTGTGGGACGCTTGGTACTTGGACCCGGTGAGTTGGACTGCCTCGGACGTAAAGATGAAGTCGATGCGCGAGCCAACCGTCTTGCCTTGAGACGCGCGTTCCCAGGTGAAGAGTGGGGCGTTCTTGCGGTCAACTTCGTCGAGTAAATCACGCATGTTCAGCCGGGACAGCAGGGAGCGGAAGCGGCCTTGGACCGAGTCGGTCGTGTCGCTGTTGCTCGTCCGGTTTGCTGATGTGTTGTCCATGGTGATGTTGAAGTCTCCAGCTGTCAGAGTCAGTGCAAAGGTGCGTCGATTGTCAGGCAATGTTCATGAATAAAGGTATATTGACGAATGAACCATTCCCAGTATGGGAGACATGACAAACAATACAAGGTAATGCATGCAAGTAAGTGGGCATGCCAGTGGGGCATGACACAAGGAGGGTGACGAGTACAAGACCGCCTTCCGCTGTCAACTTGGCCTCTTCGAATTCCTGGTGGCACCTTTCGGCCACATCAACTCTGGCGCCTGCTTCCAGAGATTCATCGCTTCTCTTCTCCAAGGTATTATCGGTGTTGTTTTCTACCTCGATGACATCCTCATCCACTCCGACACTCTCGAGAACCACGTCCCTCTCGTCCGCCGTGTTTTTACAATTCTGCGCGACAACCAGCTCTATGTCAAGCTGGAAAAATCTGTCTTCCACTCCGACTCGGTGCTCTTCCTTGGCTACATCGTTTCCAAGGATGGCGTCAAGATCGATCCTGCCAAGCTTTCTGCAGTCCTCAACTGGCCGGTGCCCGAAACTGTCCACGCCGTCCAGAAGTTCCTCGGCTTTGCCAACTACTACCGTCGTTTCATCAAGAACTTTTCCGGTGTGATTACTCCCATCACCAAGCTCCTCGGCAAGGATGTCCCTTTCAAGTGGACACCCGAATGCGACTCTGCTTTTGCCTTCCTCAAGCACTCTTTCACCTCCGCGCCCGTCCTCGCCTATCCTGACCCCTCCAAGCCTTTCATCCTCGAGACCGATGCCAGCGACTTTGCTCTCGGTGCCATTCTGTCCCAGCTCGATGACAATGGCGTTGCGCATCCCGTTGCCTTCCATTCCCGCAAATTCACTGGCTCTGAACTCGCGTGGAACATCTACGACAAAGAGCTCTGTCCCATTGTCGAGTCCTTCAAGGTCTTCCGGCACTACCTCCTCGGCGCCAAGGTTCCTGTCAAGGTGATTACCGATCACAAAAACATCGAGTTCTGGTCTACCGCTCGTCTCCTCAACCCGCGCCAGACCCGTTGGGCCCAAGTGCTCGCCGATTTCTTCTTCCTCGTCTACCACCGCGCTGGTACCCTCCATACTCTTCCTGACGCTCTCTCTCGTTCCTCTTCGACGGGGGTGGGTGACCCCAAGGTCAAGACTCCGACCACCATGTTTCCCGAGAAACTCCTCATTGCCGTCATGTCCGACGACTTCCTGTCCCGCGTCCGTCAGGCTTTAGCGACCGACATTCTCGCACTCGAGATCGCTGAAGATCCTTCCCGCTTCCCCAAGTTCACCACAAAGGATGATCTCCTTTACTTCAAGTCGGCCTTGTACATTCCTGACTCGGCCGATCTCCGTTCTCTTGTCCTCGAGTCCCGCCACGACAGCTATGCTGCCGGTCACTTTGGCATCCGCAAGACCATCGAGTTAGTCCAGCGTGACTACTACTGGCCCAAGATGCACGATACGATCCAGCACTATGTCGAATCGTGCGAGACCTGTATCCGCAGCAAAACTTCCTCTCACAAGCCCTATGGCCTCCTCAAGCCTCTCCCCATTGCCGAGCACCCCTGGAAATCCATCTCCATGGATTTCATCACCCAGCTTCCCCCTTCCAACTCCTTTGATGCAATCTGCGTCGTCGTCGACCGCCTGACCAAGATGGCCCACTTCATGCCCTGTACCACGAGAATCAACGCTCTCGGCACCGCCGATCTCCTGATCCGCCGCGTCTTCCTTTACCACGGTCTCCCTGACGATATTGTGAGTGATCGTGGCAGTGTTTTTGTTTCTCACCTCTGGAATCATCTCTTCACAAGCCTCAACACCAAGATCAACCTGTCCACGGCCTATCATCCCCAGTCCGACGGCCAGACCGAGGCCATCAACCGCATCCTCGAGCAGTACCTTCGCTGCTTCATCTCTGCTGGCCAGGACAACTGGTCCGATCTCCTTCATCTCGCCGAGTTTGCCTACAACTCTTCCGTCCAGTCTTCTACCGGTGTTTCGCCCTTCCATGCAAACTTTGGTTTCAACCCGCGTTTCGATTTTTCTCCCGCTTTGACTCCTTCTCCCGATGCTACCAGTCTCCTCGCGCACATTTCCGATGTGCAAGCCAATGTCCGTGACCACCTCAAGTCTGCTGTGTCTGCTTACACCAAGCATGCGAACAAGCATCGCATCCCTCCTCCGGATTTTCAAGTTGGCGATCAAGTTCTCCTCAGCACTTCCAACATCCGCTCTCTCAACAAGCTCCACCCCAAGTGGATTGGTCCCTTTCCCATTGCTTCCAAGGTCAACGATGTTGCCTTTACCCTGTCTCTGCCCTCTGACCTCAAGATCCATCCGACCTTCCACGTTTCACTTCTGAAACAGTTCCGTTCCAGCTCTGGCTCCTCTCGCCCTCAGCCGTTCCCCTACTCTGAGATCGTTGATGGCGAAATCCTTTACAAGGTTTCCGACATTCTCGATGTCGAGCGTCGCGGTGATGATTTCTTTTATCTGTGCCGCTGGGAAGGATTCAGCCCTTCCGACACAACTTGGGAACCCTTGTCCCAGTTGTCCAACCTCCTGGTCCTCGTCCGCGATTTCCATCGCAAGTTTCCTCGCAAGCCCAAGCCCGCTGCCCGGCTTCTCCATTCCTGAGCGCGTCAGGGACGACGCGATCCTTTGTGCGGGGATCTGTCAGGTTTCTGGATGCAACCTGCCACGTTGAATGATGTCTTGCATGTTTTCTCACCCTTGTCTTTCTTCCTGTTTTTCTTCTATCTTGCTCTGATTTGTCTTGTCTGATTTTCTGAGTTGATGATGACAAATACTATCCCGATCATTAAATTTCGACCCCCCCTCTTTTTTTCACTTTTTCGCCCTCCCTGGGACCTGTGTTGCTTTCCGTCTCGCCCGCGGAATGTTCATTCATGGTACGGTGTACCGAACGTCTGATGAACACCGGGAGCGGGGGTTGTGAGTCATATCAGAGCAGCAGCGAGCAAAATAAAAAATATAAGGAAACTCAAAAAATTCACTTTTCCCGCCCAAATTTTGGTTTGGGTTCAGTCTTTTTGTGCGCATGACTCGCACACGCAGTCAGTCCACGTCCCGCGTGGCTCCCAGACAGCCCCCGGTATGGCTGCGTCCAACTTCACCAAAAAGACCGCTGCCCGTGCTGGACAAGATGCCCAGGGAGGTCGTCCGCGGTCAAGTGCTCGCGTTGCGAAATGCTGGCCTCTCCTACAACAAGATCGCCACCCAGCTTCACCTCCCACGTTCTACAGTGATCAGCATCACCCAACGTTTCTCGGGAAGGGCGACGACGAGCGACAGCCCCCGCCCCGGTCGCCCCAGCAAGCTCAAGTCATTTCACCGCAACAACATTGTAGCACAGATCCTCCTCGATGAGTCCGACACCGCACCCGAAGTGGCCGCCACTATGCGCACATTGTCCAAAGTTCGTGTCTCTCCATGCACGATAAGAAGGGTGCTGCATGGTGCAGGACTTGTCAACGGAGCGAAGGTCAAAAAAGCCCTCTTGAAAGAGACACACAAAGAGCGACGCTTGGCCTTTGCACTCGCTCATCAGCATTGGACCGTCGATGACTGGCTGAGGGTCGTCTTCTCCGACGAGACTGCTCTCTATCTCTACAGGAACAACAACGGTGGTCGTGTATGGCGTCTGGTTGGCGAAACGTTGACCGATCGATGCGTGCAGGGCACGGTCAAGTTCGGCGGTGGCCATATCAATGTTTGGGGCGCCATCTCTCGTTTCGGAATTTCGCTTTTCTGCGAGGTCGGCGACGTCATGAACGGCGACACCTACCTCTCAGTTTTGGAGAGCGAGTTGCTAGCAAGCATTCGCGTGTGGAACAACAAAAACGAGATGATTTTCATGCATGACAATGCCCCTTGTCACAAAAGAAAAGATGTGGCGAAGTGGTTCGAAACCAATCAGATCACCGTCCTGGACTGGCCTGCGAACTCTCCCGACCTCAACCCCATCGAAAATGCGTGGAACATGGTCAAGAACAAGATCTACCAGGAGAGGGAGATCAAGAGCAAGGCCGCGTTGTGGGAACGCTTCCAAGCGGTCTACGAAGAAGTGCTCACGCCAGAGGTCTGCCGCGATCTCATTTCATCGATGCCGCGCCGCATTCAAGCTGTGATAGATGCCAATGGTGGTTATACCAAGTACTGAAGTGGAGCGAAGGCGCTGCGACACGTTGTTTGTGTGCCATGTAATGCTTTGTGAAAATTGGGCAAAAAATCCGCTCTTTTTCTGTTTTTTTGAGTTTCATTTTTGTCTGTTCTCGCTTCGAATCTTAACTCCCAGCCCGCTGCTTCACTTCTAAAATGTGTCTGGTACACCGTACCATGAATGAACATTCCGCGGGCGAGACGGAAAGCAACACAGGTCCCAGGGATGTCGAAGCGTCAGCGAAATAGGTTTTGTTCGGAATTAGAAGCACCCTCTCTATGTTTGTCTGTCAGTCGTCAAAATTTGATCAACCTGATTCGATTTGGATCCTTTCTTGTCTTGTCTTTATTAAATCCCCAAAATCCCCAATTCCTTGTCCTGCCTTGCGCCAACACCTGAGTACCCTTCCCTGTCCAGTCCGGGATCCTAACAGGCATCGGCGTTGCCGACGTCGCGTCCTGGGTCCACACCGGTGGGCCCTTCACACTCTTCTCCGAGGGGAGGACCAGGAGGGGGTAGAGTGTCAGGACCCGCAGGCTCTGCGGTCCCGGCTGGGTCGTTCTTTGCTAAGAAGACTCGGCGTTGATGTCTTTGTATTGTTTGTTTGCATGCATTTGGAATTGCAGTTCAGTCTGCAAAGTGAAATAAAACACTTTACAACAATATTGCCTACCAAGGTCTTACACAGTCCAGGATCTTAACACAGACCCTGCGGGTCCTGACAGTATGACACAGGTACTCTACTTACATCTAACAACGAGCGATTCGAATCGCACATCATAGGGAGACTTGCTGGGTTGAACTTGAACTTGCCAACCCACGCGGATTTGCCTGATAATAGGAGTACTCGCTGGCCAGAGCGTCGCGGACACGAGTGTAGAATCGACAAAAGTCGCTTCCGCAGCGCATTCGTATCGAACAGCACCTTGCTCATCTCGGACAATCAAATCAAAGACGCCGTCGTGACAGACTCTTTTGTATGGGTTCTTGGCGTCACGAACCACTTGAATTGCTTTCACACGCGTCAAATCTCCATTGACGCTTTGAGGCACTGTGACTTTGAGAGGATAGTCCGGACCCAAGTAGTCTCGTTTGGTATGCTGCACGCCTTGCCAGCACTGCGCTTCGTCCATAATGAGGACGGCAATCTCGGCTGGTAAGGGTGGTAGAAATGAGGACTGATCTGGTCCGCTGGTCAGCAAGCAAAAGACGGTCTCAAGATCGTCAGCAGTTACCAACTGTGGAAGTGTTGAAATGACGAGAGGGCTAATCTGGGGGTAAGTGCTGTGCCATACGCAAGCAAGGTAAATGAGCAATCAGAAGCCGACACTCCATTGGTTGGAAAAAGCTCGCTTGAGTATCAGTGGCTAAGTTTGGCGAGGCAAGGACAACTTACTAAGCTCCCCTTCCACTGTACGTGCATGCATGGATTGCATGAGCGCAAACCTTGTCAATGTAATTCTTCGTCAAACTGTCGAGCAATGCAAATGAGTGAGCAGGGTGTATGGCTGACCCTAGCTCAAAGGCAAAGCGCGCGACACTGTACGTGATATACTCCAGCCTCGGGTTCAGTTTGAACGTATCAGCGATCGCCTGGGCTCCAGCATCGCCAATCTGATTCGCACTCAGACTGTTCATCCCCTCCATCAGTTCGCACACAAGTGGAACCACTCACTCCCATGAGGGATGGCTGCCTTACAAGAGATCGCCCAGCTTCGTGTTCACTGTGAGTGCCTCAGCAATTGCCTGCGCTCCAGCATCGCCAATCTCATTCTCATTCAAACTACTCCTCACAATCAGGAACACTCTGAGTGCGCTCTGCGGAATTATCTGCCCCCATGCATCAGTCAAAGTGAGGGATGCCTTACTGGAGCACGGTCAGCCTCGTGTTCACTTTCAGGGCCTCAGCAATCGCCTGCGTTCCAGCATCGCCGATCTGATTCCGCGCGAGACTGTCCGTCCTCTCCATTTGTAAGCACCCTGAACTCAATTTGCTGATCAAGCAAACATGCACAAGCATCACCGAAAGTGAGATGACTTACAAGAGCGAAGTCAGCGTCGTGTTAGCTTTGAGTGCCTCAGCGATCGCTTGCGCTCCAACAACGCCAATCTGATTCTGGTGCAGACTGTTTATCCCCTCCATCGGTAAGCACTCTTCTGAATCACCCACTCACATGCATCAGTCAAAGTGAGGTGCCTTACTTGAGCTCCTTCAGCTTCGTGTTCACTTTGAGTGCCTCAGCAATCGCCTGCGCTCTGGCAGCAATCTGATTCTGTTGCAGACTGCCCGTCCCTCCATCAGTGAGCCACTCTGCTGAATCGCCCACTCATACGCGCCATTCTAAAGTGAAAATGCCTTACTCGAGAATCAGCAGCGTCGACACTTTGAGTGCTTCAGCAATTTTCTGCGCGCCAGCGTTGCCAATCATATTCTTGCCCAAACTGTCAAATTGCTGCATCAATTAGCTTTCTGAAAACTCCCTGCTGTAGTAGCCCACTGAAACTGTCAGCAAAAGCGAGATGCCATACCAGAGCTTTGTCAGCCCTGTGTTGACTTTGAGTGCCTCAGCAATCGCCTCTGCTCCGTCATCGAAAAGCTGATTCATTTCCAAGCTGTTCCCTCCATCAGTGTGCGTTCTGCAAGTCGTTTGAATCAGTCAAAGTGAAATGCCTTACTTGAGCACTTTCAAGGACTTGTTCACCTTGAGCGCCTCCGCAATCGCGCTCGCTCCGGCATGACGAATCTGATTGCAGTGCAGACTGACCGTCCCTTCCATCATCAGGACGGACTCTGGAATACCCCGCTTCCGAAACGCCCACTCATATGCACCAACAAGAATGGGATGACTTACCTGAGCTCGGTCAGTGTCGTGTTCATTTTGAGTGCCTCGGCAGCTGCTTCCGCTCCGGCATCGCCAATTTGATTCCCATTGAGCCTGTCCACATCCCCTTCCATCCGTAAGTACTCTGAATTCCCTCTACTCGATCTTCCTTCCAGTCACACGCTTTAGTCAAAGTGAGATACTTACGAGAGCCCAGTCAGCGTATGATTCATGTTGAGTGCAAAAGCAAGAGCACGTACACCACCATCGTCCATCTGATTCGTGCCCAAGCTGCCCGTCCCCTCCATCACTGAGCCACTCTGATTGCCCTCCGCTGCATCACCCACTCACATTCATCCGTCAACGTCCAATGCCTTGCCTGAGCTCAATCAGCGTCGTATTCACTTTCAGTGCCTCAGCGATCGCCTGGGCTCCAGTTTCGCCAATCTGATTCTTGTTCAGACTGTCCACATCCTCCATCAGTGAGCACTCTGTATGCTGGCTGCAAGATCACACGCTTAGAAACTTCACTCAAGTGACTTACTAGAGCGTGGCCAGCTTCTTGTTCATTTTGAGTGCTTCAGCAATCGCCTCAGCCCCCAGTTTGCCAATCTGATTCTGGTGCAGACTGTCCGTGCGCCCTCTCAGTGAGTACTGCGAACGTCCTCTGCTGAAAATCACCCACCCACTCGAGTGCAACAGACAAAGCGCGATGCCTTACTGGAGGTGAGTCACCGTCGTGTTCACTTTGAGTGTCTCGGCAATCGCCCGCGCTCCAGCATCGCCAATCTGATTCTCATCCAGACTGTCCATCCCACCCTCATCAGTGAGTACGAACTCGCACTCTTAATGTTCTCTGCTGAAATCACCCATTCACATGCATCAGGCAAAGCGAGGTGACTTACTCGACCTTGGTCACCGTCGGGCTATCTTTGAGTGCCTCGCCAACCGCTTGTGCTTCCGCATTGCCAATCTGGCTGCTGCGCAGCCTGTCCTCCATTTCGTCAATACCCGTCGTCACTCTTTCAAAAGAAACACGGCCTTCTCTTACCCGAGCTGTCCGCTCGTGCGCTTGACAGTATCATACAACCTGCGCTGTCTCTCAGTCATACTCTGATATGACAGCATTACTGGTTCTCAATCTATTAAGACAAAGAAAAAGGATGTTTCAGTCCGCGGCTTCCGCTTCTTTGCGCAACAGCAATATCTCAAACACAGAGCAAGAGCCCCAAGTGCAGCCGCGACTCAAAAAAAAAAAAAAAAAACCAACAAAAAACAATACAAATACGAACAAAGTGCAAAAGACTGAAGAACACAAACTGAACTGGGAAAAGAAAGCAGGACAAGTCTGAACGACGACTGGAAACCTTCAGGAGAGCAAAAAGCGAAACGAACAAACAGCGCTCCATTGTATCGATTGCACAAGTTCAAAACGAGCAACCTTTTTTTTTTTTTTTTGTCTGTTTCAGTCTTTGTTGTTTCACTTTTCCCCCATTTTTTTGTCCCCCCTTTTCCCTTTCCCCCCCCCCTCTTTCTCTCTCTCTTCTTCGGTTTACAAGTCGTTGTTATTCACTTGCAGGTGCTTTTGCCAGATTCAGCGCTGCGAGCTCAGCAACAATGTCATCATTGGACCAGTCCGCCGAGTCGCTCTTTCGCTGGCAAAGGTGAGATTCAGCACCGCCACACAGCTGGCCACACTCGAATCGGCTCTTCCATGCACATGGGGGTCACACCTCCCCCTTCTGAGCATGACACACACGCAATTGCAAAACGCAAGCGTTCGAAACGCAAGAAACAAACAAACAAACAAAAAAAAAAGCCGCCAAACTTTTTTTTTTTTTTTTTTTTGGCGGGAAAATCTGTTTCGCTCACTTTTCCTTGAATTGCGCTGCTGATGACAGAGCGCTGTTCGCGCTGCAGCATGAACAGGTTGAACCAAGCACAGCACATGTCAGCGCAGCGCGATCGGCGGACGCAGCACGGAGCATGGTCGAGCAAGCAACCCACTCGCAACTGCTCCACCACGAGCTGGGCGAGCGCAACGACCCCGAGGCGCTGGCGCACCTGGTGCAGCTCGGACACGCACTGGCAGTCTATGCACACACAATGGATCGCGGGCTTGCACCGTCGCTCGCGGCAGCCGCGCATCACAACTCTGTAACGTTTTGCAACTTTTTCAATGTTGCAATGCAAAGTGTATGGAAAAACTCAAACTCTCAAACTCACTCTGTGCGTTGTGAATGGTTGAATGGGTGTGATGCGCCTCTTTTCTGTGATTTGCAAAATGCTACGTGTTTCCAGGATGGGTTGGGACAAGCAGTGTCGACGCTCACGCTGGCGGAAGTCCAAGCCATGTCGGGTCTCGTCTTCACCCCGCCTGCACTGAGTCTCTTCCACACCTCCATCCCGCAAGCGCCAGCCATGTCGTTGAATTCCACGTCTTCATCGGTGGCACGGGGTGGGAGCACCATCCAGACCAATGGCGCTCCTCGCCCAGCCGCTCCTCCCATGCAGACGGCACGCTCCAGGTTTGCGACTGCAGCCATTCCTCCTCCAGCAGTAGCAGCATCCAACACTGCGACAACTGCTTCGGCACCATCGTGGCCCGGGTCTGGTGCAGCTACAAGCTCGACAGCGCCTCGGCAGCGTCAACCTTCAGCCGACACCTTTGAGCGCCGACCGTTCAATCGCGAGCCAATCGAACTTCCTGACGACAAAGTTGACATGGATACCGAGCCAATGAATGTTGCCCCAAGTGAATTTGTGACGGCGAGGGACCAGCTTGTCAGTTCTTTTTTTTTTTTTTTTTTTTTTTTTTTTTTTTGGGTGGCCTTCGCTGTTTTGGTGTTTTTTTTTTTCTGCTGCTTTTTTTTCGCTCACCATGGCATGTTGTCTCTCTCATTCCAGATCATCAATCAGCAGCTTCGACGAGGCGGCGGCAATGCCTCTGGCCCGGCCTATGGCGGGCGTGGACAAGGTGGACAAGGGCGCGGTGGCGTCTCGGCGTTTGGTCGTGGTCGCGGACGAGGCCGTTATGACGAGCCCGACAATTCATTCGATGCTCCTCCTGGTTCAAGTAATGCTCATTCCAATCTCATGAAGGAGATTGGCTCCAGTGTCCCCAATTACAATCTCGGGGCGACACCGCAGACGAACAACGCAAACCAAGGCGCCCGCAAAGCGCTCGGAACGCGACGCACTCCAGGAACCAAGTTTGTTCCTCCCTTTCCACGTTCTGGTGAAGGTGGTCAGCTCAGCCGGTAAGCCAGCCACGCCTGATTCTTGTTTCTTGGACTTTTTTTTTTTTTTTTTTTTTTTTTCGTTTCTCGTTTCTCGTTTTTCGTTTCGCTCTTGATGCTCATCCTACACCCTGAACGACTGCAGCCCTCCGAGCGGTGGCCCTACTAGTGCGATGGAGGACGACCCGATCATGCAAGACGAGCGCCTTCGTAACATTGAGCCGAAAATGGTGGAGCTCATCATGAACGAGGTAACTCGCGATGATGCCTCAGAATCCGCTCCCTTGTCCACTCGCCACTGACGTTTGCAATTTTATCTCGTTCTGTAGATCATGGACCACGGCGCCCCCATAGATTGGGATGATATTGCGGGTCTCGAGTTTGCCAAGGCGACCGTGAAAGAGATGGTTGTCTGGCCAATGCTGCGACCGTAAGTGCTCTGCAGCGTCTTGTCGATGCAATTTCTGAGCTGCCCTTGATCTCATTATTCATGTTCTACGTTGGTACGATCTGTTGTGCGTGGTGCAAACAGCGACTTGTTCCATGGCCTGCTCGGACCGCCGAAAGGACTGCTGCTCTTCGGACCTCCTGGCACGGGCAAGACCCTCATCGGCAAGTGCATCGCTGTCAAGTCCAAAGCTACCTTCTTTAGCATCAGCTCGTCGTCCCTGACCTCAAAGTGGGTCGGCGAGGGCGAAAAGATGGTGCGCGCCCTTTTCGCTGTAGCGCGAGTGCATCAGCCTTCCGTCATTTTCATCGATGAAATCGATTCACTGCTGACGCAGCGCTCAGACGGCGAGCACGAGGCATCGCGGCGCATCAAGACAGAGTTTCTTGTCCAGCTTGATGGCGCGACGTCCGGATCGGACGATGACCGCCTGCTCGTGGTGGGCGCAACCAACCGCCCTCAAGAGATTGACGAGGCTGCGCGCCGTCGTCTTGTCAAAAAGCTGTACATTCCGCTCCCGGATGCGCCTGCACGGCGCCAAATCGTCCTGAATCTTCTCGGGCGGCAGGGCCACGCGCTGAGTGGCGACGAAATCGAGCTTGTCGTGTCGCGCTCGCAAGGCTACTCTGGCGCAGACATGAGTCACCTCTGCAAAGAGGCTGCCCTCGGACCCATCCGGTGCATCAGTGACTTGTCGAGCATCTCGGCGGACCAGGTGCGTCCGATTCAGTATGTGGATTTCGACAAGGCCTTCCGTCAGGTTCGTGCCAGCGTTTCCCAAAAGGACCTGGAGGGCTACATCAAGTGGAACACGCAGTTTGGCAGCTCTGGCATTGGTGAACAGGATGAGAGCACGCTTTCACGCGATTGAGAAAGAACCAGCGAATGAGAAAGAACCAGCGAACGAGCTTGTTCTTTTTTTTTTTTTTTTTGTCTTCTTCCTTCTTGTTGTGATTATTTTATTCGAGCATTGCCCTCGTTCTTTTGTTGCTTTGTATTCAAACACCTCCTATTTACACACTTGTTCTGACCTGGCACATGAACCACCACCATCAGTCATCCTTTTTCAACTTGCAATACACATTTTGAAAGCAGCAATGGTCTTCCACAAGTGCAACTGCCGCATTGGTCCTTCCGTGCTCGCGTCGGACATGTCCTGCCTCGCCTCCGAGACCCAGCGCGTGGTTGATGCTGGCGCTGACTATGTCCACCTTGATGTCATGGACGGGTAAAACAGCCGAAGCCCAAGCTGCCATGCGTTGAATCTGTGCTCCTCGTGGTCGGCGGTCGCTGAAAACCAAATCTCACCCACAGTTCCCCAAAATCCAATCTCTCTCTCTCTCTCTCTTTTTCTCTCTCTCTCCCTTTTGCCTCAGTCACTTTGTGCCAAACATCACGATGGGCGCGCCAGTCATCAAGTGCCTCCGCAAGCACTCCAAGGCCTTCTTTGGTACGACTGCATTACGACTATTGCCTTTCAATCTGAGCCGTTTTGTGTGGCCACATTTTCCTCTCTCTCCTCTTTTGTGTTTCGACCACAACGCAGCTGTCCTTTGCTTGTTGTTCCATTGGAAATTTTTTCATTCAATTCATCATTCTGTGTGTTTGTCATCATCTTCATCGCAGATCTCCACATGATGGTCTCAAAGCCGGAACAGGTAACCCAAATCTGGAATCATGGTCTGAGGCCGCCAAATTTCAGCCAAAGTCGTTGGTGACTTGACTCATCGCTTATGACTCTGTTCTCTGAGCTCTGTTGTGAAGTCGACTTTTGCTTTGAGCTGATTTTCAGCCAGTCTTCAGTAACCCATCGTTTTCTCCGTGTTTTTGTTCTGTTTGCTTGTTCTGTTTGTGATTGAAATGCTGGTTCACACAGTGGGTCGACGATATGGCTGATGCTGGTGGTGATCAATTCACCTTCCACCTCGAGTCGACAGGTTGGTTTTGCTTGGCCGTTGGATGAAAAGCGCCTTTGGTGATGATTGTTGATCAGTCTCACGTTTACTTGACATTCTCGTCCCATGCTTTTTTCTTTGGCTGTTGTTGTCTTTCGTAGCCGACCCTATGGCTCTCATCCGTCAAATCCGTGCCAAGAACATGAAGGTCGGTGTTGCCATCAAGCCCAACACCCCTGCCGAGAGCGTCGAGTACCTCGTCCCGCACGTCGACATGGTGCTCGTCATGACTGTCGAGCCCGGCTTTGGTGGCCAAAAGTTCATGGCTCACATGATGCCCAAGGTACGACGGTGGAGTTTGCCATTTGTTTTTTTTTTTTGTTCATTTTGTGGACTGAATCGCTCACTTTGTTTGTACAATTCATCGCTTGCTTTCCTGAAACTGTCTAGGTCGAGCACCTCCGCACCAAGTTCCCCGAGATGGACATTGAGGTGGACGGCGGTGTCGGCGTCGGTGCAACCATTGATGCTTGCGCAAAGGCCGGAGCGAACATGATTGTTGCTGGCAGCTCTGTCTACAATGCTGCCGATCCAGCTGCTGTCATTCGGCAATTGCGAGAGAGCGTCGAGCGCTATGGCAACGGCAAGGAGCCAACCGCATGACGATGTGTTTGATTGGTCTTTGTTTGTTGCAATACAGTACAAGATGGTGTTATTGATGAATCTATTCTGTACTTTGACTGCGATCTTCAATTGACCGTTTCAGTCAATGGCTCATGTGTACAGCATGTTTGCCTGAATTTCCTCGGTTCAAGTCAGTCTTTTCTTTCATTCTGAGCAAATGGAGCCGCTCTCAGCGCTGCTTCCGCCATGGTTTTCCGTGCTTCCGCCTCGGTTGCGCACCAGATTCCTTCCTCCAAGCGTCTTTGACACGCTGGCCATCGATCGCCTCACCAACGCTGTTCTAATGAACAACTGGGCGAGGTGTGAATTGTTATGATGATTCGTTCTCAGATTTTGACAGCCCTGTCATCAAAAACCTCACCCTCGTCCTCCTTGTCTTCATCCTCATCCTCAGGACATTCTCGTGCACCCCGCAGCGCATCCTCTTCCCGGAGTCGCCCGAGCACGTCCAGTCCATCGTCCGCGCCGCCCGCGCTGCCCAGGCGCATGTGAAGGTGGTCGGCCGCGCGCACTCGCCGTCGGACTTGGCGTGCACGTCAGACACGCTCGTCTCGCTCGCCAAGATGCGCTCTGTCATCCACACGGATGTAGATTGTGCGACCGTCACTGTCGAGGCGGGCGTCGTCTTGGCCGACCTCCACCTGCACCTCGCCAAGCACGACCTGGCCATCTCCAATCTGGGCGCAGTCTCAGACGTCACCATTGCCGGCGTCATTTCAAGCGGCACGCATGGCTCTGGTGCAAACTTTGGAATACTGTCCACGATGGTAACCATCGAATTGAACGGGAGGGGTGAATTGTTTTATCGGAAAACTTGGCGTTTGGCCTCCAAGACTGGCTTCAACTGATCGAACCGCCTGTGTGTGCGTCGGATAGATTCTCGAGCTGGATATCGTGGTGGCCGATGGACGATTGCTGACCTGCTCTCGGAGCGAAAACGCGGAATTGTTTGCAGCTGCTCAATGCGGACTCGGCGCGTTCGGAATCATCACACGCGTCAAGTTGCAATGCGAGCGTGCATTCTTGTTGTGGGAGCGCTCAACCCCAACAACGCTGACTGAGGTTTGGCTCTTGTTGTGTTGGAACACAGTATGTTGTTGTTGTTGCTGTTGATGTTGGTTCTGACATGTTCTCGTTCCAACATCCAGGCGCTGGAGCGATTACCGGAGCTCATCACGTCGTCCGAGCATACCAAGATCCTGTGGTATCCCTACACAGACCACGCAGTTATCATTGAAGCGGACAGAGCACGCACGTTGGTAGGGCCGCACGTTTTTCCCTTTTGTTTTTGTGTTGCCATCCACTTGATTCCGCTGCTGACCAAATCGTTGTGATGTTGCCTTTTGCAGCAAAAGACAAAGCCACCGTCTGCCATAAGCTCGCTTTGGAGCCATCACCTTGTTCAATTCGCGTATTGGCTGAGCACTTTTCGACCAGCGTGGTTGGTGCCCCTCTGCAATCGGCTGTTTGTCCGCCTTCTCTTGTCAAATGCTACGTCTCGTGTTGACGACAGCTACAGGATATTCAACTTTGATGTGCTCTTCCAACAGTACGTCTCTGAATGGGCCATCGACTGGTAAGTTTTTGTTTGTTTTTTTCAGATTTTTTGTCTTTTTGAATTTTGGTTGAAATTTTGTTGCAAGGGTAGCTGAATCTGCAGTACTGTCATTGTTGCCTTGCCGTCGCGTAGGGTGGATGCACCTGCTGCTCTGAGACGGATTCGCAGCGCCATCCACGACAATCCTGACATTCACGCACACTTTCCTATCGAAGTACGATTCGTCCGACGAGATGCCATTCCGCTCAGCCCATGCTATGGGCGGGACTCATGCTTTATTGGCATTATCATGTATCGGTATGGCTGTCTTGTTGTTTTCGCCAAAGGTTTTTGTTTTATTCACCTCTTCGCTGCTCATATGTCGTTCTGTCAAATCCCTCCTGCAGCCCGTACGGGAAGCCAGTCCAAACAGAGCCCTACTGGTCAGAATACGAGAGAATCATGCGCGACTTTGCTGGTCGACCGCATTGGGCCAAGGTGAGTTCGGTTTGTCTGATTTGTATTGTTGTGTGTCGTCGTTTGGCTGATCAATGCTTTGCAGGCACATAAACTTGAGGCCGAGCAATTTCGTCAACTCTACCCTTGTTTTGACGCCATGGCTCAACTTCGGGCTCAGCTGGATTCAAGCGGGATCTTTTTGAACGACAATCTTCGTCGCGTGTTTGGCCTGCGGTGATTTTCTCTCTCTCTCTCTCTCTCTGTCTCCATCTTACCTTTGTTTCCAAAGCGTGATTTTGTCCTGTTGTCGCCCTACTGCCATTGTAGAATATACCGGGGGCGACGATGGATACCAACTTTTTCATTTTTTATTAGAACAATGTCTGCGCCTTGCGAGGATCGTCCGGCAAGACACTTGCAGTGTCATCTGCCGTACCGCAGAGCTGGCACTCCATTGTGTATTCCTAATGGCACATATAACACGTTGATGCGAGAGTGAGAACATGCAACCTTCGAGCTGTTTTTCCACTCAATCCTACAAACAAACCTGATATCCGTCTTCGATTTCAAACGTGTAATTGTGCTCTGCAATGACGTGATTGCATTGTTTGCAGACATCTAACTCGACAAGAATCGCGTTGGCTTGCGTGAGTGTTTGAGTCAAACTAAACGCCTAAAAACCCGTTTAACCTGATACTCGGTTCACTGACTGAGTCAAGCTGTTCATATGTTTTGCTTGACCCGTTTTGTGAACTTACGCGTGAATGTGACTGTCTCTTCGCCCGTCTCGTCGTCCTCGTCCACTTTGCGATCCTGCTCGCGCGGGAACTCGAACGACTGGCATTGCGCGCAGCCCTTGAAGTTGACGAGATACGCGCCAGTGTCCAAGCACGTCGTGCCCTAGTTCCATAGAAACCAAAAGGAAGGGAACGATACGATCGCATGTTAGTACAAGCTATACTCTGACAATACGCGATGAATATTATGAGTCGTAATAGTAGTATATATGGGTTGGTTTGGATTACCCGGGCTGGAGTGTCTTCTTTGAGGCAGTTGCGGCACATTTTGACAGGAACCAAAAGAGGGACAAAAGCGACTGAGACTGAACAAATTTAGAAATAGACAAAGACTGAAACTGAGCAAATTCGTGTTTGGATAACATGTACTGTGCGAATTCTTAACGGAAAAAAAAGAAGAAAAACAGCGATTGCTTGGTTCCGGTTTCAATCACGAAAATGCACAGCACTCAAAAAACCTCATGCATCGTCCAACCGAGCGCGCTTGTCGCTGTGACTGGTGGCATCGCCGGCTGGTGGACGCGGGTCGGCGAGGTTGCGTGCGCTAAGTTCAGCCACTCGTTGCTTGTGAGCATCTTGGCGTTCCTGACGCTCTTGCTCGCGGCGCTGCTTGTTGGCTTGGTAGCTATCCATGCCACGGGTATCGTGAAGGAATTGTCGGCCGAGCTCGTCAAGCACGTCCACACGATGGGTCGAAGCTACTCGCCGAGAAAAGCACACGGGGGGAAAGAGTTGAGTCAAAGTGCTGCAATGCAAAAGTTGAAGCCGCACATTCGGATCTTACAAGTGAACAGCGCATTCTTGTTGACCTCCGCCAACCAAACTTGACCTTCCTCGCCGATCGAAATGTACTGCAAGAGAAGTGGCAAAGAAACAAGGAATCAAACAACCCCCCCCCCAAACAAATAAGCCAAAAAACCGCCAATTCCTCCCCCCAACACTTCAGCCTTCAGGATTATCTGTTACCGAGCCACCATCGGAGACGTAGACAGTTGTAGGTTGCTCGGTCGACTCTTGCGAAATCCAAAGGCGCCCGAGTGTGTCGAAAGCGAGATGCGCAACGTTGGCGACAGTCTGAATCGTTTGAACGTGCTGCAGCGTCGCGTCCGGTTGGAGTGCAATAATGTGCACGACTGGCAAATGCATGGCCGAGACGGCAATATGGCCTGCAGCGACATTGCGAGCAAAGTGCGCAACGCGGAAAGTGGGTTCGCTCACGGCGGTCGTGCTGGTAGCGCTCGTGTCCATTGACGAAGACATGACGGGATCAGCCAGCGGGAGGATTTGCAGGCACCGGGCTTGCTCGGGGTTCCACAGCCGGACTGTGCCGTCAAGCGAGCCGCTGACAAGAAGCTCGGCAGCACCGCTCGAGGGCGACGGCAGCAGTGCAATCGCCGAAACAGAGCGCGTGTGTCCGAGGCAGAACGACTCAATGTTGTACGCGTTAGGGAAGTGGCTCACGCGCACCTTTTCGTCCTTGTCTGCGGTGAACAGCCGGTTGCTCTTTTGGTTGAGTTGGAGATCGAGAATCATGGACAGATGGCCCATCAGGACGGTGCCGTCGTTATGTGCGCGATCTTCATCGGCATCATCGTCGCCAGCCTGCTGTTTCTTTTCGCTCTTGTCGCGCTTTGGTTGTTGCTGCTGCTGCTGTTGTTGCTGCAGTTGTTGTGACTGTTGTGACTGTTGCTGTTGCTGTTGCTGTTGAAGAGCCAGGTGCTTCTCAACAAAGAGCTTGCGCTCGGCGCGGACGGCGTCGACCATCTGCTGCATCGACTCCACCGGCTCGGACGACTTGCCCAGCAGCGGCAGCATGTTAACATCTCCAAAGCGATCGCCAACAAGCACGTTCAGGGTGACTGGATCGACGACGACGGCGTTGCAGCGCTTGGACACGCGGCGGATGCTGAGCAGCGCCCACGACGCGGTCGGCCCAGCGTTGGCATCGGTCTGGCCAATGACCACGACCTGCTTGGCGTCCGTCACCGCGACAATGTGGCGGCCATCCGGCGCGAACGTGGCCGTGGCAATGCGGAAGGTCTCGCTGGTCGCCTCCGCCAGGACTGCCGCCGCCGCCGTCGGGCTCTTGGACTTGGTCGCCGTGGCCAGCACCTCCTGCAGCAGCTGGTGCTCTGGGTGGTCGCGCGGGAGGGTCACTGTCAGATCGAGCGGCGTTACATGTGTCTTTGTCCTGTGCCAGTTCCAATGCAAACGAAGCCTCCGTCAGTCCTCCAAACGATACACAGATACAGTAGAGAGGTCCCCCGCCTCTATCGATGTCACGAGACGCGCGGGGTGATGGGATGGGGGTTGGGAGAGTTGAAAGGACGTCCAACAGCGAGATCTCGAACGCTCAGTCTCGCCTTGTCGCAGCAGCAGCATATGGATAGATCGATCAAGTGAAGTCAAACTCACTCGAGATCAAAGATGCGGATGGCAGCGCCGTGGACGAGCGCAACGGTCGCCGGGCGGACGGGCGAAGTGAGGATGCGCCACACGGGCAAGTTTGACTGGGATTGCATTGCAAACGGAAACAAAAAAAGAGACTGAGAGACTGAGAGACTGAGAAAGGTCTGAGAAAATAGAGAAATAAAAACAAGGGTCATCAAACAATGACTGAGAAAAGGAGAAAAAGAAAAACATCAGCCAATGTCCAAGTTGTGATCAAGTTTGGCTGATTGATGGATTGAATGAATGGTTGAAGCGTTGTTACCATGAAACAAAAGACGATTGTGATGAAACTGATTGTACTATACATTGGGGAGGGGTAGGGGGAAAGGGAGAGAACATCAAGGTCGGTGCAGCAAAAAGAATCAATCACTGATCAAGCTCGAAGCTCGGACAGGGACATACAAGAGAAAAAACAAGTGGTATAATGCATAACTACAAAAAAAACGAAAACAAAAATCAATGGTATCAGATATTAGAGTCGGCGGAAAAGGTTGGCTTGCTCGTCCGATCAAGCTGTGGAATGGTCGGCTTGCCGAGACGGTTGGCCTGGGGACGGTTGTCCATGGTGCTGACGGCATACGTGTCGCCGGAAGGAGCTGTCGTGGTGGGCACGGCAGCTGACGGGTTTGGCCGAATGCCCGTTTCTGCGTACATGGCATCACCAATCTCGCTCGACTTGACAGACTTCCGATCAGGCTTGGGTGAAAGCGTTGCCGAAGTGGAGGAAACAGCATACACGTCGCCCTTCGGTCCAATCGTGGACGGCACGGACGATGGCGCCGAGTGTTTGCCGTGTTGGCTGGGTTGGCGGGAAGGCATGGCGTACACGTCGCCAAGTGGGGCAACGACGGTGCGAGACGTCGACACGGGGGCAACAGCGTACACGGCAGAATCGCCTTCCGCCGAAACGGGTTCAGAGTAGCCTTTGTCAGTCGAAGGGGCACTGTAGAACGAAGAGCTGGCATCTTCCGGGGCAAAGTACTCGCTTGGTGGCGTGGCTTTGGGTTTGCGAATGCTACCAGCAGCAAGGTACGAGTCGGAGGGTGCGCTGTACGAGCCGGGCGCGGCATATTCCTCCACAGGCTTCTGCTTGCGAGGAAGGGTTGCGGTTGCGTAAAGAGCGTCCGTGCTCGAGTAGGCCGAACGATGCAGCTCGTTCAGTCCAATGTTGATGTTGTTGCCCACAGCGCCAATTTCTTGGTTGTTCTCAAAGGAGGAAGTAACTCTGAGCAAGTAAGGAACAAGCAGAGAGCGATGAAAACCATAATGAGCACACGAACAAACGAACAAACAAACAAACAAAAAATCAGGGACAAATCAGAAACAACAAAAACAGCAACTCGCGCACTCTTGCACACGTACTGTTTCTTTTGTTGTCGTTTGCGACGAATGACGGCAACAATCAGCACGACAACCAGGAGCAAGACAAGAACGACCACGATGGGCACAACAACAGCCGACGTGTTGGAGCTGCTTTCCACATTTCTCAGTGGGGTAGTGCAGTTGCCAGAATAACGGTCAAAGTCGCGGCCAGCCTGGCACATGCATGCCGTCCTTGCAGGCAGAGTGGAGGTTGAATTGGCTGGGCAGAGCTTGCAGCTGACTTGCATGGTAACGTTCTGGTATTCACCGTCCAGACAGGCGACCAGAGTTCCATTGGCACATTGGTATCCGGCAAGACAAGCTATCATGGAAAAGTAAAGTCAATATGAGCAAGAGGCAACATGATGAGTCAATATGAGCAAAGATGCATCATGACTGAGCCTGCGTCTCCCTTCAAAATCGGTGCAATATCTTACCTCGACAAGTACTTGTCTGCTCGAAGAAACCGGGATGGCAGTTGCAGAACGAGTTGTCTGCGGTTGGCTCGCCGTTGGAACAAACTTTGCACACGGTCGCACGGGGTTTGTCCTGGTACCAGAGGATAGTGCCGTTGTTGTCTGCCGAGCAAGACGTCTTGATGCCGTTTCTGCATCGGAAGCCAGGAGGGCATTCTGTGTGTAGCGAGGCGTTCACCAAGATGGGTGAGTCAAACATTGCGCAAGCAAAACTGCACCAGCCCATCCTTCCAATGAAAAGAACACTCCCGTTACGTTACCTGCGCAGAGACCCTCGGCCGGGGAGTAATAGCCATCGTTACAAGTGCACGTGGTCCTGTCAGCGCTGACCGTTCCATTCGCGTCGCAGACTTTACACGATGACTGGACAGCCTGGTTCTGATACGATGCGCTCGTCTCGTTGCAGACAAAGGATTGCTGCCCAGCACAGCGACTTCCAGCTTGGCAGGCTGCACAACCGCAAGCAAACACACACCCCCGCCAACAAAGCAAAACAAACAATCCAACAATAAAACATCTCATGAGTGACATTTAAACTCATCCAAATGACCAGAAGATGGCAAGAGAGAGAGAGAGAGCTGGAGAATGACGTACGTTGGCAAGCACCGCCAATGTCGCTGAAATAACCAGGAAGGCATTTGCACGCAGCTGAACTTGTTTGTCTTGTCAAGCCTTCCGTGGAGCTAAAGTCTTTGCAGGCTAGACAGCCAGAATTTCCAGCGAGTGGTTGGTAGGTGTCGACAGGACACTCTGGGCAAGCGGAGGCGCGCGTCTGGTCGGAGCTGGCCGTTCCTGCATCGCATTTGACACAAGTGACGGAGCCGCCCGCTGGCTGGTACCAGCCAGCGCCGCACGGATCACAGCGAATGCCGCCATTGAGGGACGAGAATCCCGGAAGGCACTCTGTGCACGCGCTTTGTCCCGAGTAGGGCTGCTCATGTCCAGAGGTACACGCGGGACACGACGATTGGCGACCCGTGTCGCTGCTGGCAGAGCCCTCGGTGCAATTGGAGCACGAAGGCTGTCCGCTTTGCGGCTGGAACTGACCAGCAAGGCACGACGGGCAGGCAGTCGTGCGACTCGAGTCGGAGGCCGCCGTGCCACTGTCGCAATCCTTGCACGACGTCTTGCCCAGTTCATCCTGGTAGTGTCCGGGAGTGCAACCAGTGCAGGGGGTTGTGCGTCGGATGTCGTTGGAAGCAGTGCCTTTGGCGCATTGGAGGCAAGTCGTTTGACTGGTCTGGTCTTGATACCAGCCACCAGTACACGAAGGGCACTCTGTGGTGCGGCCCTGGTCCGTGGAAGCGGTGCCCATCGCACAGGGCTGGCACGAGGCACGGCCACCATCGGTTTGGTACGAGCCTGGGGAGCAAGCCGGACATGGTGTCGTGCGGCCAGAGCCAGTGAAAGCGGAGCCTGGAGCACATTGGGAGCAGGAGGATTGGCCGGTCGAGGCTTGGTACTCGCCGTTACCGCACAGGGTGGCGCCTGCCAGTCCACCAGGGCACTTGCTTCCGCTGGGACATGGCGTACAACCACCGCCAGAAGGATACATTCCGGCGGGACAGGTGCAATCCGGCAAGCAGTTGGCGCCGCGATCGCACGCTTCACCCGCCTCGACGACGCTGTTGCCGCACTGGTTTGTGGGGCAAGCCGCAGAGCCGTACAATCCGTTGTAATAGCACACCATGCTGACCACGTCGGATTGTGGCATGGCAACGTTTTGCATGTTGACGTCGTAGAGCTGAGTGCGGTCAAACCAAAGGCCGGAAATCGAGTTGCAGCCCGATGTCGAAGAGGTACAAGCAGCTTGAGTCCCGCAGGTGGGGAGCGCGCCAAGAGTGATGGGAAACGCCGAGGCGTAGTTATTCGCGGACGTGAGTGCAACCGGTCCGATTTGCAATGCGCCATTAAAGTAGATGGAGAGCATCTGGCCGGCAACAGTCACCGTCACCACGCTTGGGGTTGAGGTGGAAGGGAGCGGCGTCCCGCCACAAATCAGGTTGGGGAAACCGTTCGTTCCCGCGGACGTGCCGGAGCCAGCATGGAAGCACATTTGGTACTGCGTGCCCCACCCCGCACGATTCACAGCGCCAACCCAAAACTGGGTGTCGAGCGTATTGGTCGTGCCCACCGTTCCACAGCCTTTGGCCACAATGGTAACGTAGCGCACGCTGTTGTTTGGCGACCATTTGAACACTGCGGAAATGGAGAACGAATTGCCCACGCGAATGGCAGTGTCAACGCTGTTTGAAGGATCCGGGCACTTGAACATTTCGCCCTTGCTGCTGTCCTCGGTGAAATCTGCGCCGCCACACGTGCCGCTGCTATTGATACAGTCAGGCCGGCTGGGACTTTGCGAGTTGCAGCCGACAGCGTTGCTGGTGCTCGTGCCAGTCCAGCTCGTGCCAGTCCAGGTGTCAAAATAGCCGCTAGTCCTGCTCCCACATCCAGACGCAGGAATGCTCAGAACGCGCGAACTTGCCGTCGTTGGATCAAAGTGCGCAGCTACAAGGCAAACATTTTCAAAGCAAACGATCAAAAGTCAGTCAGTGCACTCAAGAAGAAGAAGAAGAAGGTCAATGAGAGCAAAAAAAACACAAAACCAGATGAGATGTTGGAAGGCCGATCCGATCAAAAAGCCTTCTATTATTGTTGCTCTGTGCCATTTTACACCATTTTACACCATAGTTTGACATTTGTGTATTTTTGCTCAGAAGCGGGTTGAGCTCCTTTCTTCTGGCTCGTTTTCCCCCCTTTTCCCCCCTCCCTTTCCCCTCCCTGCTTCCCCTGCTTCCCTCTCTCTCTTGCCTTGTTTTTTGTTTTCAGCCACTTTGTCGTCCTAAAATAAAAGTTTGAAAAAAAAACCCGCACTTTGTTCGCCATACAAAATTCCATTGAAAACAAAATAAAATAATAATAATAATAATGAAATGAAAAAAAAAAAAAAAGGTCAGCTGCTCCTCGCAGGTCCATTGGTAGCAAATTGGAAGAAGAAGAAAAAAGGGGATCAAAACGAACGAGGGAACGCGAGTCAGTCCCATGAAGGAGAGAGTGTGTGTGTGTGTGAGAGTGTGTGAGTGTGTGAGTGAGTGAGTGTGTGAGCGAGAGCGAAGTGAGAAGGACGGGAGCACGAGACACACAAAACCAAAAAAAAAAAAAAAAAAAAAAAAAGAAGAAACCGATGACGGTCGCGTCAGTTCGACTCGCTTTGCTCACACTGCTCAACTCACTTTTCATGCTCACTCTGACTATAAACTCAGCTCGCAAGCACTTGCTTCACGACGTGTGTGGGAGAACAGCCGCCTCAAAAAGGTGCCTGTCGCTCTTTGCTCGCTCGCCGCTCTAAACCGCAATCAAACCGCGATTCCACCCCGCTCGCCTTCTTCTTCTGCTTCTTCCAGCTTCCCTGCTCTACCCACCCAGTGAGCTGCTGACCATAGCCACTACTTGCTCTTGCTCCTTCCCGTCGCCTTGCACGACGCTTTGATCACATTATTTTTTTTCGCTACCGTTTTTTTTTTCGCCTTGTGACTGCAGTCACTCACTCTACCACACAAAAAGCTCCCCTGACGTCTCCCAACTCCCCAAAACGACAAAGGGGGTGCCCTTCAGCCATTCAACGCCCAGCTCTGTTTCCAATGTTTCAATGCTGGTGGTGAAGCAGGACCAGGACCAGACAAATCTCAATGGACGGACGGGTCATGTCGCGACCAAAACTTCCAGCCATTCATTTCATTCAAAAAAGCCGGGTTTTGGTGATCTAAACTCCGCGTGATCACGGTTTTTGACAGCGCAGCGAAACGACGGACATTCGCGTCATCACTGCACTCGACTCGCTTTGTGCGTTGGCTGATCGGTCAAGAAAGCCGAGAAAAGCGCGGAAGAAGGAAAAGAACGGCAAAAAAAAAAAAAAAAAAAAAAAAAAAAAAGGGCGAATTCTTGTCCGAACTAACCTTGACCCGTTTGCGTGGAGAGGACGAGCACGACGGCGGCGGCGACCAGCGACAGCAGCCGCGACGATGACGACGTCATGAATGATGATGTAAACGTATGAATCTGATTGTGTTGGATTTTGGTTTGTTGAAGAAGAAACAAAGGAGAAGAAAGAGTTGAACCAAAATGATAATTAAAATGAAAATTCAAAAAAAAAAGAAAAAAAAATAAAAAGAAAAAAGAAGAATGATTGAAAACCGATAAGCTTCGTTCGTTAAACCCCAACAATCACAGTGAGCTCAGTCAATGGCGCTCGCTTCCAATCCACAATCTCATAGAGTGATGCAAGAAAAAAAACCCCACTATGGTGCATTGGAACGACGATCGCGGCTGCAGACGCTCGGTTTTCGTTTTGTTGTTTGGAGGTTGGCGGATGTCAACCACGCTCAGATGTGTGCACGGGATTGGAATAGCGCAGCTTTTCACACGTGAGGTGAGGGACCCCCCGCCGCATGGACTGCTGCCTAAAATCGTGACAATGAAACATATGATCGTGCTGAAAGCGAAATCGCACATGGCGCACTGTGTCTCGAGCAAAATCCGACCATCACAGAAAAACGCGCTTGGTGTTGGTTGGTTGCTATTGGAACAGCTCGCGGCTGGCATTCATCTGAGGGTACATACCTAGAGGGTCGGGAGAAACAAGTCAAGCGAGGCTAGAAGGTTTGGATGTGTGGTTGCGCGACGCGAAAACGAAACCTGAAACTGAGGTGAAACCAAAATGGAGTGACCTTTCAGAACGCCCTTCCATGGCGGGCTCTCTTAACAATCGCAGCATAGCAAAGGCGCTACCAAGCAAGCGGGTCACTGTCAGGCTTTCACCAAGTTGCTCACTGTTTCAAGCCAACACGTTGTCCGGCTTGATCATTTTCGCTCGAAAAGCGTCGATGCGGTCACAGTTCCAGAGCTTAGGCCTTCCCGCTGATCAACGCTGCATGTTTACTAGCGTATTGCTGAAGACGATGCAGACATTCGGCCCCAAACTCAAAGTCAGGTAAAGCAAGACAGACCGATTTTGCAAGAGGATTTCAATCCATCGGCAATGTTGACCGACCACCTTCGCATCCCGTCTCGGCCATCACAGGTGATTATGAGTGATTGGGGAGTTTGACTGAGTGCAAGTGAGTGCATCCGTGAGTCGAGTCGGTGAGCCAATGCTGGCGACCACCAAACTTTGCACTACTGTTTCCCTCAAGCACAGAAGTTCCCTTGCGAATGGATTCATAGTGATGGTTCCATTTTCACTGTCATGCACGCCGCCCTCCCCTCGTCCATAGTCCATCAAAAGCCAAAGCTCAGCAAATTCGTTCCAAAAATGGCCGATCACTTCTTTGTTTTTTTTTTTTTTTTCCTCTGATTTTTTTTCTGCCATTTGATAACAATAGAAGTAAGCCAACAACGCGCAGCATCAACAACCAAGCAAGCCAACAGCGCATATGTTGTTGTTCCACATTCTCTCTGCTGTCTGAAGCGAGCTTCTGGCGCGAAAGTCGGCAACGAGTGGGTCGGCGAGTGGGAGGAGTAATTTGCTGAGGCCGGACGAAGCGAATTATTGCATGGCAACCCTTTCTCACTTCTCTCGCTCTGTCTCCTCTCCTTCACTCGGATCCTCTGAATGTGCTCTGTTGCACCACGCTGATCAAGTCAAAGCAGAAGGAGCAGTGACAGAGCGACAAAGGAGCAGCGGAAATTCGCAATTAATTCAAAAAAAAAAAAAAAACAGCAGAAAACACAGAGTTCTGATGAGTCGTCGCTTGCTCACTGCTCTCGTGAAGGCGCAACATGTCAATGGGAGACAGTGGAGGTGATCAGAAAGGGAGCGCGGGGAGAGGGCAGACGGGTAGCGCGCTGAGTTGCAGAGTCTGATCTTGTGGGAATGGAGCCAGCAGGTGGGACGAGGCTTGAAGCCATCAGCATACACCTCACACAAACCTATACACACTATCGACACGTACAAGTTTCACTAGAGTTCAGCACTGCGACGTTGCGGGCGAGTGTTTGTTGATAAGCTGCGGGCTCACCTTGTAAATGTCTCTGCTCAACAGATGACAACCACAGGATTTGCCTTACGGCTGCTTTTGCTGCTAGAGGGGGGTCGCCTGAATATGAACAAAATAAAAGTTGCTGGCTATTCGAGTGCCGCCCGAGTTTTTGACATTAAAGTACTCGACACACTCTTTTAATATATAGGTGCGACGGAGAGGTCGGCGGCGGGCGATGGGTTGGTAGGGTATCGCGTGGCAGTTTCGCTCATTTTGCTGGACGACCATTACGCTTGTTCATATTCAGGCGGACGGCCTCTCTGGTCGCGACCATACTCATCCAGGCGGACCATCTCTCACCGGTGCCTATGTTATCGAGTTAGATCTTCCTATTTCTGGCAAGAAGCGGGACAGAATCGCGCAGGGGTGGCCGCAGGGCCCGATGGAGGCTCAACCCAGCCAAACAGCCATACGGCGGCACTTTGGATAGGCGAGTCCGAAGTCCCTTCCGTTATGCAGAAATTGATGTATGCAACATGTATGTTTATTGGATGAACAGGTGTTGGGACGGGAACATCGCGGGGACAAAGCCAAGGTGATTTGGCCGGTGCGACAGATCCACCAGCGCGGGAGGCGCCTGCACAGCCTGATCGGGACTATCGAGGCGCGCTCGTTGCGAAATACGACCGGGTGCATCATCATCATGATCGGGTGCCTGCTCGCGGGCTCGGCGCATTGGACGCAGGCGAACATTTTCCGCCATATTCCGCTTTTCAGCCGGGCTGAGATCAAACTCCACGTCGCTCTCGCTCTGTGTGCCAGTCCGCCGCACTTGACCTAGTCTGGAATCGTCGGAGTCCCAGTCGCTCTGATCCTCGTCGTCTTCGCGGTCCGAATCTTCAGAGGAGCTGTCCTGTGCTGCAGCAGTTCTCACTGGCTCTGCGCTGCGCGACAGCCTCTTCGACCGCGACGCCGTCTTGGGACCCAGGTGTGACGTTGTTTTGCGACCACCATAGCCACGTTTCGGCTGCTTGAGCTGGCTGAGTTGAATCTCTGTCAGTTGGCGTTGAAGCTGAGTGTTGTCAATGGTCATCTGCTGCAACGGATTTACCGTCTGTGTTTGAAGCTCACGAAGCTGCGCATCCAACGCTGCGATAGCCGTGATCAACCTTTGCTTTTCGTTTTCGTACGCGGCAACCCTTGATTGGTATTCCAAGCGGGCAGGCAACAGTCGGCTTTCTTTGCGCTCCTTCTCCGCCGCGGCGGCCTCCTTCGCCAGGGTCGACTGCAGCCTTTCAGGTGTCGTCGCAATGTAGGCCGGAGCCGGTTTAGCCTTGTGCGTAGGATGTGCCGGCAGTGAGAGAGAAAACTTGACCGTCGTGACGACATCTTGGAACGTGAGCGTAACTCCTGTAAGTTTGCGGATTGCCCCGAAGGCCTCATGCTCGATGTATCGCTTGTCCTTCTCGAGAGGTGAGGTAGAGATGTTGCTGAGGGCCACGCTAGAAATATCTTGGATGGCAACCAGCTGCGAGACGGACTGTACAAACGAGGGCGACCCGGACGCTGACGGAGTGCTGGAGGTGGAGGCCTCCGCGTCGGAGGAACGGGACGAGGACTTGCTCCGAGTGAGAACAGGCGTAATGACGGCTGAATCGATCACCGGAGGAGTGTTCTGTCGATCCAGGGATGGAAGCGGGGCGGTCGGAGTTGAATCTGTATCAAGCAGGTCCAGCTCGAGTTCCGATGCAGGAGGGGTTGGATTCAGTATCCACGACTTGTAGAGCGTCTCATCAAGCGGCCAGATGCCAGTCAGTCGAAATCCTGCCCGGATGCATCGCTTTCTTCTCATCACCCTGTCCCAAGCGAGCAGGGCGCAATGAACTCTCATCTTGTCGTCGTTCTCGAACGCCTTGGACTCAATCGCCTGCTTGTAAAGGGTTTGCAAAGTGGTTTTGAAGAATCCAAACACCGTGCGGTCCAGCGGCTGCGATTCAGTGCTTGTGTGCGCGGGTAGGACAAGGACGTGGATGTCGCTTTCCAGAAAGCGCGCAAGCACGTCAGCCGACAGCTGGTGCGTCGACGACCCATCCATGACGAGAAGCAATGGCCCTGTTGTGTACTTTGCACGCATGGCTTCTTCCCAGGACGAGAGGTACTTGTGAAACAGCTCTTTTGTCATGTAGCCGTTTGGCGAGACTTCAAATACAGCCTTATTGTCACCCACATCTGCTGTCGCGCTGCGTATCTTGTTGTTTTTCGAGAAGATGATCATAGGCAAGGGCGGGGATGAGCCATCAGTGCAGATGGTGAAAACGCCCGTGATGTGCGCCCCGAGTGAATGCTGGTGCCCCCCTTGAACGACCGCAGAACGCGTGTCTGACGAGGGAGTGCAAATGACACGACCCGCAAAAAAACGGGTCGTGATTTCTGTCTCGTCCATGTTGGAAATCCGACCGGGCTCCTCCACAAGAAGCGGATGCTCATCGAACAGCTGTTTCAAAAGTCCGGGGAGGCAATCGAGTGTTTCAGCTTGTAAAGCGGCAATCCTGGTGAGCTCCAGCGTTCGACCCTTGCGGATGGCTAGGCGCCCGCGAGCATCGCGCAGAAAGGCATTCCACCATTCATGGCTCGGCAGACTGCCGGCGAACTGGCGACGCGGGGCGCCCGACATGCGCGGGAGGCGTGAGAGTTTCACAAGATAAGCGCCCGCCTGCTTCTGGTTGAGACACTGCCCAGCCCGGGCAAACCCCTCCAGCAGCCGGATACAGTACTCCAGTTCATCTTCAGTGAAAATGCTCTGTCCTCCGCACGATGGGCTCTCCTTGACGAGCTGGAGCACCTGATCGAGCGGGCTGGAACGAATCCACTCGGCTGAATTCGCGTGTTTCGTTTTCCAACCATGAACTGTGGTGTGACCGCACTGATAGCCCTGTTCCGCCAGCCGCGCGGCTATGGCCCGTGTTGTCCAGCCTGTAGGGCGATAGATTTCGCCCCCTTGAAGGGTCACAGAGTCTTGGTAGACAAGCTTGAGAGCGACTGCGACGGCAACATTGTGCTTTTCTCCTTCGGGCGCAGCCTTCACTGCCTGCAGCCACGCGAGACACCGAGTTGCCGCCTCGGATGCACCCGCCATCGATAAAAAAGAATGACTTTATTATAAATTCAAACTGGGGAGCAGATCAGAGACCACGAAGTCGACTTGTGACGCAAATACCAGTGTGTTCATATTCAAACGGAAAACCCTAATGTAGTCCAGCGAACACTTTTTGTTCATATTCAGGCGACCCCCCTCTATGCGGCGTCGTCCATCACGTCCAGCTGGCACAGGCCGTCGATGCCTGCACCGAATGCGATTGCACGGGAACTACTGTCGATTGCGCTGGTCACGCTCTCCCGACCATTCCAACCGGAATCCCAGTCACCACAACCATCTTGTACGTGTTGCTGTTGAGCACAAGTTGAATTGAAGCATCATCCTTCTGATGGGAGCACGTTCGATAGGGATCTGCGAGGCAACGAGATCAGTAGCATCTCTGCATCTTCATTCACGGGCCTGACTGCGCTGACTACATTGTAAGCCAGCAAAAGACATGAAGAATCGAACCCTCGCGGCCGCTCACTCGTTCGAGTCTCTCGATCTTTAGATATTTGCATACCAACCAGCTCGCCAGCATTCCCGCAAACTCATTCACCGGCCTGACTGCGCTGCAATTCATGTACGCAAGCACAAACAGGAGGAATCGAACTCAGACGGCTGACTCATTTGCGACTCGTATCCTGCAGATCTCTCTCCACCAACCCGCTGACCAGTATTGCCGCAAACGCCTTCTCAGGGCTGAGCGCGCTGACACAAATGTAAGCACGCAAAGACCAGAGGAATCTCGCACAAAAACAGCTCACTCGATTGCGACACTATTTTCCTATTTTGCAGGAATTTGGACAGCAACCAGATCACCAGCATTTCCGCAAACACATTCACAGGCCTGACTGCGCTGACTACCCTGTAAGCACAATCAAATGTATGAAGAATTGCACACATCCGGCTCATTCGTTTGCGACGTGATATAGATATTTATCTTACAACCAGATCACTAGCATTTCTGCAAACGCATTCACAGGCCTGACTGCATTGACCCGATTGTAAGCAAGCACTCTGTGAATGCGCGCATTCAATTCTCCTCTGACTTTACGGTATTTGCAGGGCTTTGAATTTCAATCCTGTCACCACTTTGCCGCCTGGTCTGTTCAAGGGATTGCAAAATGGCCTGTATTTGTCTGATGTGAACCAATACCTGAGCCCCAACAACTTTACCTTTGGTAGCAATACTGTCGCTCCGCCTAGCACCTACGGCAGTGCAGACACTCCATACAGTAAGTTTCGATATGTCTGCAATCACAAGGTGATCGTTTCACTGACATGTGTTCTGCAGTGTGCGATACAGCCTGTGCCACCTGCCATGCCGCTGGGAACAGTTCGTGTTGCGGAATCAATTGTCTGGCGTGCAGTTCATCCGCTGTGTGCACTCAGTGCTATGAGGGTTACGGCTTGACGGGTGGATCATGTGCTCCGCTTGCTTGTGGCACTGGCGGCGTGTGCACATGCACGGGAACTCTAGTCGATTGCAGTGGCAAATCCCTCAATGCCATTCCAAGCGGAATCCCAGTCGACACAACAGAGCTGTAAGCGTTGCCGTCAAGTTGACCTTGAATTGAATGAAGCTTTGTCCCCTCATCATTGGTCTGCGGTCGATAGGTACCTGCAGAGCAACCTGATCTCCAGCATTCCTGCCAACGCATTTACAGGCCTGTCTGCATTGCTTTACCTGTAAGCCCGGCAAACCATGAAGAACCCACCAACGGCTCACTCGTTTGCGACTCCATATGTATGATAGGGATATTAGCGCAAACGAGCTCACCAGCATTCCCGTCAACGCGCTCACAGAGCTCACTGGGCTGAATGTCATGTTAGCAAGCAAAGACATGAAGAGCCGTGTTCAACCTCCTCACTTGTTTTTGACTCTATTTGCAGGTGGCTTGGCAGCAATCGGCTCACCAACATTTCTGCAACCGATTTCACAGGCCTGCCTTTTCTGACGGGATTGTAAGCAAACAACGACATGAAGATCCACACACACGCGGCTCACTTTTTGGCGACTCGCTATGTAGATATCTAGACAGCAATTTGTTCACTAGCATTCCGACCGACGCATTCACAGGCCTGACCAAGCTGAATTCATTGTACGCAAGCAAAGACATGAAGAATCGTGCGCAGACGGCTCACCGCTTGCGACTTCATCTGTAGCTCTCTTTCGGGCAACCACATCTCCAACATTCCTGCCAACGCATTTGCAGGCCTGCCTCTTCTGACAGGATTGTAAGCAAACAACAACATGAAGATCCACACACACGCGGCTCACTTTTTTCGGCTCGCTATGAAGGTACCTAGACCACAACCTATTCACCAGCATTCCGACCGACGCATTCACAGGCCTGACCAAGCTGAATTCATTGTAAGCAAGCAAGGGCGTGAGGAATCCAGTACGAATGGCTCACTCGTTTGCGATTCTATCTCTAGGGATCTAGCCAGCAACAGACTCGCCAGTATTGCTACAAACACCTTCACTGGTCTGACTGCGCTGACGAGATTGTTAGTATTTACTCTCATTGCACGGATTCGATTTGCTTCTTACTTTGTCCTATTTGCAGGGTTTTGAATGACAACCCCCTCACAACTCTGCCGCCCGGTCTGTTTCAGGGCCTGCAAAATGGCTTGTGGTTGTCGGTTTCGTTCCCGTATCTGGCCCCCAACAACTTTACCTTTGATGGACACACTGTCGCTCCGCCCAGCACGTACGGCAGTGCGTCCCAGCCGTACCGTAAGTTTGCGACGTGGCCTGCAATTCTCGGACGAGATCACATCACTGACATTCGGATTGCAGCGTGCGATACAGTTTGCGCCACCTGCTTTGCCTTTGGGAACAGCTCGTGTTGCGAGGTCAATTGCCTGTCCTGCACTTCATCTTCTGTGTGCACTCAGTGCTACGAAGGATATGGCATCCTGAGTGGATCGTGCTTTCCGCTCGCTTCGATCGCTTCAGTCGCGTCCCTACAATCGGCCTCCTCAATTGCGTCGGTTGTTTCCGCTACCTCAGCGCTCTCCGCTTCTGCTGCTTCAACAGCATCGGCGTCTGCTGCATCTGTTGCATCCTCTATTGCACAACACGGCGGTGGCGGCTCGCAAGACTCATCTTCATCTCCAGCGGCTGCCATCGCTGCTGCTGTGGTGTCTGTTGTGGTTGTTGCGATTTTTGGAGTGGGATTCATCGTGTTGCGACGTCGGCGCATGCAACGTGCAGCTGTGCTAAGAAGAACTCTACCGATCCAATCTATCAAGAAGCTGTTGAACTGACCACTACTCCACTTCCCCGTGCGCCCGAGTCTCGCAAAGTGGAGGACGTCCCAGCCTTCGCCACGAAAGTGGAGGGCGTCGCCACGGTCGGCCAAAAGCAGCCGGAGCCTTTGTACGAAGATTTCTCGTCGCCCTTTACAGAGGAATTCTACGACAATGAAAGCCCGTATGTTGCTGGCAGCAATTCTCGTCGCGTTCGTGAAGGTTTGACCATTGTGAAACACCTTGCCAGCGGGAACTTTGGCGATGTGGCGCTGGGTCAAGTGCCGTTCAGCGTGCTGCCCCCGCGAGCTCAAAACTTGCTTGGGCCTGCAGCAACCGAAACCATTCAAGTTGCAGTCAAGTCGCTCAAGTCCAATGCTGACGAGAAATCCCGCAAGGACTTTGAGAGCGAGGCCAAGTTGATGGCTCCGTTTGTGCATCCGAATGTCGTGCGTCTGCTTGCGGCTCTTGTCGAGTCAGAGCCGCACCTCGTTCTGCTTGAGTTTGTGCAGTACGGCGATTTGCGCACGCTGCTGCAAAAGTCCAAAAAGCAGTCGTTCGAGTGGACAGAGAACGAGCAGGTGCATGCCATTCGCCAGATTGCACTCGGCATGGAGTACCTGGGCACGCTCCACTTTGTACACCGCGACCTCGCCGCACGCAACTGTCTCGTGGGGCAGGGAATGGTGGTCAAGATTGCCGATTTCGGGCTTTCTCGCGAGCTGACCGACGAGCAGGATTATTATCGCATGCAGACTCGTGGCAAGCTTCCTGTGAAGGTGGGTCGAGTCAGATGGCTCCACTGCTGGTAGTATGTGATTCTGATTGTGTTTGTGATTGTAGTGGATGGCGCCGGAAACAATGACCTTTCGCAAGTTCTCGACCATGTCCGATGTTTGGTCGTTTGGCGTAACAGCCTGTAAGTGAAAGGCTCTATCGCAATGGCGCGAGCCAACAGATTGTGCTCAATGACGGCGATGCTTGGTTGCAGGGGAATGCTGTAGTTACGGCGCAACGCCGTACGACAAAATGGAAGGACGTGAAACGCTGGCTCACGTTGAGGCCGGTGGCCGACTGCCCATGCCGGAGCACTGCACCGCCGACCTCTTCAACCTCATGCTCAGCTGCTGGAACGCGAAGCCGGAATTGCGGCCAAGCTTTTCGCAGCTGGTCAAAGCTTTGAACACCTTCGAGGATGGGACTACGATTCGCGACTTTGGGGCAATGCTGTGAATGCGATCTGCACCTGCTGTTCTGCCCTTTGATTTGGCTTGTAGAAGCAGTTGCCGAAGGAGTCACAACCAGCCCATCGCCATTGTGGTGCAATGTTAGTTTGCTTCGTGCCGTGGTTGTTTTGAAAACAACATTTTCTTGCCTGTTCCTTCCAGCAAAACAAGTCTGTGTTCTATTCTGCAGTCGACATGGCAGTGTTGGATTGTTGTTTGCTTTTGGCTGAGAGCTGAGAGCGCGATCATCCAACGCGCGCGGGTCGTGAAAAGTCACACTCAATGAAAGATGGAGCGTTTTGAGCCTCGGCACTGCAACTGAGCAATCTCAGAAGAGCAGTTCGAGTTTTTATTCACCCTCACATTTAGCACTGCTGCTCAGAAATCTGCGAAGCTCGGTCTCATGTTGTTGTTGTCCAACAAACCACTTTTTCCACATTCATTTATTGGGCAATGCGTGCTTCGCCAGCATTTTCTTTGTTCGTATCAACACCAAGTGACATGGCTTCAACAGAACAGCACTGACTGACCCTGGTTTATTTGAGATCACTGCATTTGAGATCGCTGGAACAAAAGGGGAACGGGTCTCTGGTAAGTCTTGGCTGGCCAAGAGGTGTGTGAGCCAGAGGCAACTGCACACAAGCACAACAGGCAAAGGATGCATGCATGCTCATTCGCCAACTGAGAAAAACGGCACGAGAGCGTCGCAGGAGCGCGAGCAACCAGATTTTGACGTGCAGACTTCTTGAAAATGCGGCAAAGAGCAGTCAACAAGGACAACTACTGTCCTACATGTCCAATCTCGAACCTGTGCCTGCTTTTCTTGGGCTGCGCCTTGTCTGGCGACCATTGAATCCACACGAGCACGTCGATGCTCAACACTTGTGCAAGTAGTCAAAATCCTGATGGTCATCCTGGCGAATCTTTTTCCAATACGTGCAGCCTTGACTTGGACTTGGACTCAGCTTATGCACGGCATCTCCACTTTGGGGCTTTTGGTTAGATGGGGACCACGGTGCGCTCTTCGACAGTGACGAGAGCAGCGTAGTACGCCACAACGCCAGCAATGACGGCTGCTCCGAGGACGAGACCGGTCCAGCCACAGCCACAGCCACTGCTGCTGCTGCTGCTGTTATGACTTGGTGGCCTGTGTGCGACTGGCTGCCCACTCGGGTGCAGAGGAGCGGCGCTGCGAGTCGGGTTGGAGTGCCGCTCCCGCTCCTGCTCAAGCCGCTGCGATGTCGTCTCGCGCGCCTTGCGAATGACATCGACCGAGCTCTGCTTCAGCGCCAGTTGCAGTCGCTCATGGAGTGAGTCGAGCGTGTCGGACGCCTCGGCCAGTTGGTGCTGCACTTGTTCGTGATTCATGATTCAGAACTCTTGTTTTGGTCAAAAGAAGAAAGGACTGAGAAGCAGATTCTCAGAAATCAGGACCAACAAGATCCTGAAGATAATGTTGATGGTCAGAAATGAATGGAAGGACGAACACGCACTGCTCGGCAAATGTTTCTGAGCTTTTGTTTCCCAGCCAGCAAGTAAGCAGACCTGTGAATGATTTCCAACCAGCGCCTCAACTTCGTAATGCAGTACAAAAGCCCGAAATCACCATAGCGGATGAATGACTGACCCCTTGCAACGAGAGCGCTGCGATTCGAATTTCCGCTGGATTCCAAGCCAAAATCTGATCGACGATTGTTCTTCTTGCCTCACAGCTCTGTGTCTGCATCTCTTTCTCTCTCTCTCTCTCTCTCTCTCTCTCTCTCTATGAGTGTGTATGACTCTGTTGGCGAGTGCCTCCGACTGGAGCAGTTTGCAAGATGATTGGATTTGGGTTTGGGTCCCGATCCATTCAAGCGAGATCGAGCTCCATTCCACTCAGCTCGCTCGCTCGCTCGTCCGTCTCCCTCCTCCGCTTCAACGAGCCAAGCCGCTGACTGTTGCCTCACTCACACCTGTGAACAAGCGCGCGCTGCTGCACGCAGTCGGTTCTCCCTCCTTCCCCGCTCTCGGTGCTGCTTCAATCCAATCGAACGAGTGAGTCACTCTCTCTTTTTTGCGCGATCGCTGCCGCCCTTCCTTCCCATCGCTCGCTCGCTCGCCCCACTTCCCTCGTCTCTTTGTCTTCATCTCTCCATCACGCGCGCACTCTCTTCCTCCCCAGGACGCGAGACGCACGCGCGCTCCTGTACGCATCACCTCTTTGAACTGACTCTCTCTCTTATGTTTCGCTGGATCACGCCCTTCTTCTCAGCCTCCTCTTTCCTTTCTCCCCTTTTCAACTCGACTTCCTTCGTTTCCCTTTCTTTCCTTTCCTTTTCCTTTTCCTTCCCCTTCTTTTCCTTCTGTTTGACTTTCGTTTTCTTGTTTTCCCGCCATTTTTTTTCCTTTTCATTTCGTGTGTTTTTCTTATTTTTTTCAATCCTTTTTTTTTTTTTTTTCTTTTTCATTATTTCAAAAAAAGCCAAAAACAACAAAAATCCAATTTTTTGATTTTTTTTTTGATTTTTTTTTTTTCAGTTAGTTACAAACACAAATCAGTTGAACAAGCAACAAAATGTTCGGCTCTGGTTCGAGTTCGGGCGGCTCAGCGACAGAGCGAAGAAGCAGCGGCGGCAGCGGCAGCGGTGGCGGCGGCAGCGGCGGATTCGCAGGCGGAGGAGGAGGAGGAGGAGGAGTCGAAAGTGTTGCTGCAACAGCTGCTTCAACTGCTACTGCTGCTGCCGGACTGACGACCAGCAACAGCAGCCACAGCATGAGCAACAGCAACAGCAACAGCAGCAGTGCGTTCGATGGCGGCAGTGGCGGCAGCAGCAGCAGCAGCGGCGTCGCAGGAGCAGCAGGGCGAGGGCGGATGGTTCGCTCGCTCGGCTTGACGGCAGCCAATCTCGCAGAGCTGCCATACACGACCAGTCTGTCCTCAGCCAACACGGCGCCGTCAACAATGTCGACGGGAGCAGTGGTCGCAGCAGTGGCCCCGAGCGACGGCCACCTTCCGTTCGACGCTGCGACGGCTGCTGCGACGGCTGCGACTGCGGTTGCTAATGCTGCTGCTGCGCTCGCCCTTCCCCAGCATCCACAGCACCAGCATCCACAGCACCAGCACCAGCACCAGCAGCACCATCAACAGCAGCAGCAGCACTCGCCATACCAGCAGCTTCCGTATCAGCAGCATCCATATCAGCAGCAGCAGCAGCAGCAACAGCAGCAGCCAATGTATGTCGGCGGGTATGCAAACGCCATTGCCATACAGCAGCCACAGCAACGACAACCGCCTTACACTGGCAGCCCACTTCACCAGCCTGCATTGCAGCAGATTCAGCAACAGCAACAACTACAACAACAACAACAACAGCAGCAGCAGCAGCAGCAGTACGCTGGCGGGAATACAAGCAACCACTCCCCAACACCTATCCCTCCGACGACGACGGCCATGACTACCATGACGACGACGACTACAAGTGCGACGAATGCTGCGAATGCTGCCAACGTTAATGTGAATGCTGCCTCTGCCGCTGCTGGGCCGTATGGACGTGACGCGAGCATTGGACTGGGAACGTCGTGGTCGGTCTCGCTGCCAGTGACTACGACGACGACGCTGATGGGTCATGCTCAGAACGGCGCTGGTGGTCCTGCAATGGGAGGTCCTGGCGCGATCATTGGAAGCCCCATTCTCACAAACGTCAATCCGAACAGTGTCAAGCCGATGCCCGCTACTACCACCGCTGGTATCATCAATCCACTCGCAGGCGGAGGCCTGTCCTTCAACAGTGCCCAAGTCATGATCACCGCAAACAACTTTGCGTCAGGACCAAGCTTTAGCAGCTTCTCGTCTGGGAGTGGAGTCCCGACAATCAACTCGGCAGTCAACTCTGGAGGAAATGCTCTCAACGGGAATGGCGCATCCGACTTTCCTAACGGTGCCGGGCGCGTGCACTACGGTCAACCAAGCCAGCCAGGCCAGCCAGGCCAGCAAACTCAGCAAGGTCAGTCAGGGTTGGCGTCGATCAGCCAGCTCTGGCCGCAACAAAGCCCGCGAGCGCTCATGAGCGGCGCCTTCTTCCCCTCAAGTGCTCGTACCACCAGCTCAACATCGTTTCAGGCCATCAAAACGGAGCTGTTTGCAATGAACCAGTCTGGGAGCAACACGAGCATGCCCTATATCGGCTCGTCCTCGTCAACTTCGCTGCCAGATGTCTCCTTGCTGACCGCCAGCAGTTCGTCCCTGCCTCCGGTTGTTATGACTCCGAGCGACTCAAACCCAACAGGCTCCGATTCGGCTCCGTCGCCGTACCAGGTCGGCCATGCGGGCCCCATGCAGCCGCAGTCGTTCGGAGGCCATTCTCCTGCCCTTCAGCACATGCAGCCGCAGCAGCAGCAGCAGCTGTACTTTCAGCAGCAGCAACTCCAGCATTCGCTGCAGCCACAGCAGCCACAGCAGCAGCAGCAGCCGCAGCAGCAGCAACAACAACAACAACAACAACAACAACAGCTCAGCATGCTGCTTTCCCCGCAAGTGCAAACATGGATGCAACAAAACAACCAAACCACCTACCTGCTTCCGCCTTCCTCTCCACTGCCATTCCAGCAACAACAGCAGCAGGAGCAGCAGCAGCAGCAGCAACAACAACAACAACAACAACAACAACAACACCAACTACAACAACACCAACTTCAGCAACACCAACTACAGCAACAATTACAGCAACAATTACAGCACCAACAACAGCCGGGGCAACAGCAGCAGCCGTCGCAGGCTTTTTATTCTCATTTTGGCAACCAACAACAGGCGCCGCAACAGCAGCCATTGCACATGTTGCAGCATCATCAGCACCAGCAGCACCAGCAGCACCAGCAGCACCAGCAGCACCAGCAGCACCAGCAGCACCAGCAGCACCAGCTACCACAGGCGCAGCAACAGTCCCAGCAGTTGCACTTGTCAGGACTGGGACATCCCGCTGGTCATGCGGCGTCGACTGGAACAAACACTGGTCATCACCTCCCAAGCTCTGGCTTTGGCGCCGTGCCCGCAGCCTCTAGTAGTAGCAGCAGTAGTGGTGGCACCAAGTCTCGGGCGGATTCTGCAGGGATGGCACGGAAGCCCTCCCCGAAAGAGGACCTGTCCTCTGCCAAGCTCCCAGTCTCCATCAGAGCGACCATATGCCAGCCCACCAAACTTGGCACTGGGCCGAGTCAGCCAGGTTCGGCTGCTGCCGGTCAGCTCGAGGTCATCAACTCGAAAACGACCCAAGTTGCGCGGTATGCCTTCTCCTCGCGCAACGGGACACCAGCGCCCTTTAGCGGACACGTGAATTTGGATTCAAAGTATGCCGCCGACGCTGCCGCTGCTCACCGGGCGGTTATGGCGGCGACCGAATCCATGCCGGCCATCGAACCGTCCATGCAAACTATTAGCGCGCCTTCGGGCCAAGGCGACCGGATCCACGGCCAGTCCGTGAGCTGCTTTGGTGTTGACAACGCCGTACTTCGACTGCCCGGCCACCAAGACCATGTCTACAACCAATACGTGTCCTTCTTTGGCTGGATTCGGGACGAGCAGATGGCCCAGCGTGTCCTCGAGTATTGCGCAACTCACAACGTGCGGCGATGCAAGGAGCGTGCTCGCGCCATTCAAATTTTCCCTGGCCAGGGCTACGTGTACGATTGCGAGGAATCTCGCTTGCAGCGTTGGACGGACAACATCAAGTGGGGTGACTCGCTCCACCCAGGTGGCCGTCTCATGTTGTACCGCGAGGTCGAGACAGTTACCGACACCGCTGCGAATGCCGGTACACGTCGCAGAAGCAAAACAGAGCGTCCATTTGGTATGCGCAAGGTGACGCTGGCGGATTCTTCGTCCAACCTGCGGTTGGTGTGCTACTTTGACGACCACTACCTCCTCAACACGGACTCGTCGCAATTTGCCTTCGTCTTTGAAGATGGGCAACCCATGCCTCAGAAATCAGCCTCGTCAGGCAGCTCTCTTGTTATGGAAGCGGACAGCGGCAACAGCGGCTCATCAGCCTACGGCGGTCATCCCCAATTGCGAGCTGCCCAGGAGAGCATCAGCCCGACCCACATCAACAACAGTGACGCCGGCCCCGAGTCCCGTTTGCAGCATTTCGCTATACCAGCGCCTGTGCCTTATCCGAGTCAGGATGGTAGTGCTCTTCATTCATACCACGCGTCTGCTGCTACTGCGTTCCATGGCGGTCGCGGCGCTCTCAAGCGTGAAATTTCCGAAGACGATCCAACCGATGCTAGCCCCGCCGGTGGGTGGGTTGGAGGCGCACCAGCCAAGCGCGAGCGTCTTGGCGCCTGAGGCCAGCCAGATGTCTGGTTGGTGGATGACGTTTTGCTGTTCCGCGTTTGTTTTTCACTTGCTTCTCCTTGCCCCCTCTTGGGCAATGCTAGTTACGTTGAACTTGCTCTTTTCGTTCATTTTTGCTTTTGGTTTTGTCGGTTTGTTGATACTATACGCTCGTAGTTTTGTATGTTTTGCATGTGTTTTTTTTTTTTTGTTCCGATTTGTTGACAATGTTCACTTGCCGTCCTTCTGCTTATCTTCGGGATAAACCTTTCCTCAGTAAGGCTTTTGTATTCACGATGCAACCTAGACTGATCGTCATCAACAGTACATTCATTGTGTGTTTTTCGAGATACTTTGTACCCATTCTCGATCTTTGGATGGAGCAAAATCTTGCACTGTATTCGAAATCAAAGGCCATTGTCCATCCCCAACATCCCAAAGATTGGCGCTAGATGTATCCAACATAAAACGACAGAAATGGTACATAAATACCGGGTTGAACGTCAACCTTCCAGCCCTCGTGCATTTGTCGAATGACAGGATGGCTGGCTGGCAGGATTGTCACACGCCAGAGAGTCGAATCGACCAAAGTCGGTTTCGCAGTGCATTCGTATCGAACAGCACCTTGCTCATCTCGGACAATCAATTTAACAACGCACTGCTCTGGGTTGTTGGCATGAATATGCTTGATGCCAAGAAGCACTTGAATTGCCTTTACACGGATCGAATTCGCAGTGCTGCTCCGAGGCAATCGGACTTGCAAAAAATGGACATTGGAAAGGTTGGGTCGGGTTCTTCGCAGGCCTTGCCAGTAACACGCTTCGTCCATAATGAGATCGGCAATCTCAGCCGGTAGTGCCGGTAGAGATGCGAGCTGATCCTCCAGCTCCAGTCCGCTGGTCAGCAAGCCAAACACGGTCTGAAGGTCGTCAGCAGTCGCCAATCGTGGAAGCAAGGAGAGTACAAGAGGGCTAAACTGGAAGGAAATGCTGTGCAACGAACAAGCAACATAAATGAGTATCAGTCAGCAAGGGCCACTCCATCGGTTGAATTGATAGCCAGCCCTACCGAAGAGCAGTCGGACTGGGATGGAACTCGCGTGCATCAGCAATCGCTTGAATACCAACATCGCCAATGCAATTCCATGACAGACTGTCGCTCGATCGGTGAGTAAGATGACGGCGTAGCAAGGTATGGCTGACCCTGGTTCAATATCGGAGACGAGCAACCTACTTGAGCCATGCCAGCGTCTTATTCACTTTGATCAGTTCCGCAATTGCCTGCGCTCCAGCATCGCCAATCAGATTCTCACCCAGACTGTCCAGATTCCATCCCTCGGTGAGCACTCTGCTCAATCTCTCACTCATATGCATCGGTCAAAGTGAGATGCCTTACTCGACCTGGGTCACTGTCGTGTTCACTTTGAATGCCTCGGCAAGCGCCTGTGCTCCAGCACTGCCAATCTGATTTTCATCCAGGCTTACCAGATCACCTCCATCAGAGAGTGCCCTGAACACCCTCTACTGAAATCGCCCGCGCCCGAGTATCGGTCAAAGTGAGATGCCTTACTCGAGCTTGGTCACTGTCTTGTTCACTTTGAGCGCCTCAGCAATCGCGCTTGCTCCAATATCACTAATCTGATTCCCGCCCAAACTGTTCATTCCTTCCAACAGTGAGCACTCGGTCTGCTGTACTACCATACGTCACTCAAAGTGAGATGCCTTACTCGACCATGTTCACTGTCGTGTTGACTTTGAGCGCCTCAGCAATCGCGCTCGCTCCAGCATCGCCAATCTGATTCCTCCAAATACTGTTCATTCTCTCCGTCGATGAGCACTCGAAAAATGCTCCTAACAACCTGAGATGCCTTACTCGAGCTTGGTCACTGTCTCGTTCACTTTGAGTGTCTCGGCAAGCGCGCGCGCACCAACTTCGCCAATCTGATTCTGCCAAAGACTGTTCATCCCTCATCATAAGTATTCTGAATAGCCTCTGCTGAAATCACCCACTCACATGCACGAATCAATGTGAGGTGCTTTACGCGAGCCAGGTCATCGTCGTGTTGACTTTGAGTGCTTCAGCAATCGCCGGCGCTCCAGCATCGCCAACCTCTTCCCCGTACAGGCTGTCCATTTCGTCAAGACACACGGTGTTATGCTCTGCAATACATTCGACTGCTTCTTACGAGAAATCATGAGGTGTATTCGTGACCTTGTCGTTCAACTCGCGCGGGCTCGGCGTTATATTTTGATACGACAGCATTTTGGAACTTCTCGTTGAAAATAACTGAAAGCCGCGAACCTAAAAGTAGCTAAATGTCACAACGACCCATTTTCGCCTCGGCTCTTTCCACATTCACACATGGCAATCATGCCAACAGTTGGTGAGCAAAGTGGCGAGTGAAATTGGATTTGGGTTGTAAGAAGCCAGAGTCTAGGTTGAGCTCTCCATCAGTTAGATCTACAGAATGTGGTGAAACTACACGGTCAACGCGCTGTCTTTCTTTCGGTGCTAGATCTATGTTCGCAAGGCGTCCGAAAGCGCGAGTGGATGCTCGACCTCAGAGTGCAGCATTGACATGTTTCTCTGTTCTCTTCATTTTAATTTTTTTTTTTTTTTTTTTTTTTTGTATTACGTTTATTGGAGAGTGGAAAAAGCTTCTAAGGCTCAAAAACCACAAAGAGGAGGATCATGATCAGGGGCAAGGAGTAAGTGACAAGGGCAACGTGTTTAACTTATTCTTGCGGTTGCAAGTTTGGTGTTAGCGTCCTGGTCATACGGGCGCCGCTTGGTGACTCGGTTTGCTCATGCTCACCGGGTTTCGGGGGTAGAAGTGAAATGGTGGTTCTTCATTTTAAAGGTTTCCCCTTCGTCTCCTGGTTCGATTTGGATGGCTCTCACACGCCACACTTCATCGCTCTTCATCACTGGCTGTCCCATCATGTCGGCTCGCGCCAGTCCAACTTTGCTTTTTATTTTTGGTGTGGCGAGTGTTTTGTGTGTTTGTTTTTGTTGTTGTTGTCGTTCCTGTTTTTGCTGCCAGCATTTCTAATGCTGCTCATCCCAACCCTGCCCAGCTCGATAACATGTCTCACAATTCCCCCTCCCCCTCCTTCTGCCCGACCCTCAGAGATGCGCAGATGCCGCGCGTGCGAGTGAGTGATCATAGTAGAGGGACCGGTTCGAGGTGTTGGAATGCCCCACCGCCCCCCTTTTTTTCTGTTGAGTTGCGTTGTCGCGAGGTGTTCGGGCATCGTTCGCCTATTTTCCCCTTCCCTCCCGCAAAGTGCGTCTCTCTCGTCATTTTCGAGTCGTCGGCGTTCCGACTGGGCGTGAATGATGCAGGTTCACGCCATTGTTGCTAGCGACACACGCTCATCGGCATGTTGTTTGGATTTTAGAGGAACGTTTTTATTCTTTATTGTCGTTTCTTGTGATTGGTGAGTTGGTTTTCGCGATCAAAGCAACAAAAGGGGAGCAAACATCCATACATTATCATGCAGTCCAAACCGAACCCACAGGACTGCGTGGACACAACGTGGACGGACGATTCATTCCCAAAAAGCATGTCGGAGTGGAGCTTTTTTTCTTTGTTTTTTTTTTCTTTGTTCTTTATTTTTGTATTTTTATTATTGTTTATTCCCAACAACAGCAAAGTCGATTGCGAAACACACAAAACAATATCCATTACAACAACAACAACAACAACAACAACAAAAAACTCTTTATCAAAATGGAAATCGTGCCCAACAAAAACCCGCAACGAACGAAATCGTACGATTCTTTGGTTGTTTTCTTTGCGACTTTTTGATTCACACGTTCGCGTTGTGGGATCGTCGCGACGCGCGAGCGCCACGGTTTCACATCTGCTCCAACTGGTGCTGCTGAAGAAAACGGGCCGTGCTAAGAGTCGTTTGAGGACGAGCGGAGTGGTGCTCAATGAGTTGCTTGGAACCGGGTGACAAACGCCGGGTCTCTCTGCCTGCAGCCCCCCCTCGGGTCGACAAAGGGAAGGATCACTGAGTAGAGGTCAAAGTGGACTTCTGTGGAGCATAAACCCGCCAGCCATGGACGGGTTTGCTGATATTGGGGCTTTGTTTCGCAGATCACTTTTTTGAATGCGAAACAAGCAGATCAGTTTTTTGGGAATGACTGTGTTGGACTCACTTTCGCATGTGTGAATGATCTTGCATTGCACAGACACGAAAGCTTCACCAAGAAGCACTGTTTTTTTGTGGAACATCCCGTCGTTCTGTTAACTCGTCCAACGCAAAAGCGAAATCGAACAAACTCTAGCAATCGACCACACTCGTGAACCTGACTCCAAGCTGAGGCTTTTTTTACTCCAGACTCAGAATGCAGGCGAATTCAAATTGCTCAACGCCATACCTGGGGCCCAACTGCGATGTTACCTTTGCGGAAAATCTCGGCGCGAGCTACCAAGTTGTCCAAGGACTGCTCTGCACGTTGCTCATTGGAGCGAGCCTGTTTGGTTTGGTACAAAGCTATCGCATCACATGCAAAAATGGATGGTGCACCAAGCTCGACAACACTGTGATTTACCTGTCCACACTGACCGCTATTTCGGCGGCAATTCGACAAGTAGACTCGAGCGGATGGCGCGGCGTCTATCCCACTTGGGTGACCTCAGTTCTGTACGATGTCAGCACTTGCTTCATCCTGACTGTGTGGATGCGCGTCGTCCTGTCCTGGGCAACGTTCGTGTCTCGCTCGGTGGCGGCAAGTTTCCGCTCCCGTCTCTTCCAATGGGGCTACTACGCGGCTGTTGCCTACGCGTGGTTTACTCAGCTAATATCGACCTTGTTCATGTTTACCACTGGACCCTACTGGGCAGGAAAGGTTGCCATGTACGCCCTGCTGTGCGGTGTTATTGCCGCCTTCTTTTGTTGCAGCTTTGTCTTTGCCTACCGCATTCGAAAGCTCCTTGCGCAAGCCCAGGCACGCTATGGCGACAACAGTGCGTCGAGCCACCGGAAGGACAATCCGTCCTCAAGCAAGGGCGACACCTCATTCGCCATTTCGGTGGACGGATCCAAGATTGACGGAGCCGCTAGTTCTGCCAAGGCGAAGGCTGCCGAAGGTCTTGCGAGCAAGAGACGAAGGCTAGCCATTCAACGCATCTACAGGATGACAATGTGGGCCATGGTCATTCAGGTTATCGGGCTCCTTGCGCTCTTTTACAACATTATCAAATGGTCCACGAGTCAGTACAACCTGGACCCGCCGCATGTGCAGCCAGTGCCAAAGGTGGGCGATCTGATCGTTGCCCACATTTTCGACCTCGTCCACTTTATGGCGGCCGTGTTCTTCCTCTGGTATTATCGTGTCTCGCGATCGAGGGGCCAAGTCCAGTCGGCCACGAGCGAATCCGACGAGTCTGCCCACGCCACCAGCACCGACCACCATCACCAAGACTGGGCCACGAGCTTTATTTCGCGTGTGGAAGAGAGCGATCACGCCGCCGAAATGGTCTATCGCAGTCCTTCCCAAATGCTGACAGGGAGCATGGAGTTTACGCATGGCGACGCGCCATCGTTAGCAACGTTGCCCGAGGAATCCGAGGCAGCCGATGTGCATGTGACCATTGCAGCGTGAGCACCGGTTTTGCAAGTGTGACAGTATTGTTGTTTGCATTGAATGTCGACGCAATACACTGTACTTGGTTTGTACAGTGGGGCAGACCGTTTTCGCACAAAATCGTTGCAAAGCGACCGCTTGAGCTTCGACCTTGAGCTGTCTCTCTCGCCCACATAGTAAAACGGTAGACATGATCATCACGTACTAGCACACTAACATAGTATTATAATTATCCAGTCATCATCATCGCTTGCTGCTCAGTCTTTTTTGTCATAAACATGGCCTTCCGACCATTGGGCTCTGCATTGCGCCTGTCGAACGCATTGCGCGACACGATCGCCAAGACAGCTGCAGACACATTCGGACATGTCAAGACACCTCGAATTGTGCGCGAGACGGCGCTGCTCGAAAACCCGACCGACAATCTCAAACTGTAAGCCAAACCAAAAAAAAAACAAAAAAAAACAAAAAAAAAAAAAAAAAAAAAACAAACAAACCACCGAGTCTTTCCTTGACTTTGTCGATCTTTTAGTTAGCGAGGGTGGTATCTCGCGCGGTTGTTTACGTTGTGATTGCTTACCAACCCGTGTCGCCGTATCTTTCTCGCCCATCTCCACTCCACACCGCCAACCATTTCCCCCGCCCCTCCTCCGCTCCCAGCGCCCCGCTTGTCAATCAGAAGACCTTCCGCACAGCGACGAGCTTCCTGCGGCGACCGCTGATCGGCGAGCGCGTGGCTTCACGCTACCCGCCTTACCTCGCGATCAACTCTGTCCTGAAGCATCTCCACGCGGTCGGCCAGCTGGCGAACGAGGAGGAGTCAGATCGCCTGTTCAACCTGGATCGCTTGAGGAAACGCGGCAAGGGCGCCCCCAAGAAGGGTAAGTTTGGCGCTTAATGCACGTCCCAGCCATTTTGCATTGGCAGCCATTTTGCATTGGGCGATACCATGATGCACTCACATCGTTGTGTCATGTCCGTCACTCCAACAGGTCAATCCAAGCGCGCCAACAAGAAAAAGTAAAAACGAGTTGGATTGTGTGGAAGAAGTGTATCAATACAATTTTGAACGTAACCCGAAGCATCGACAGCACAAATGACGATGATGGGAAACGCGGGGGTGCTGTTAGTAGTAGTATTCGTAGTAGTAGTAAAAGTAGTAGAAGTAGTGGTAGTAGCAGCGGTGCTGGTACCACCTGACGGTTGTAATAGTTTAAGAGTCCGGAATCGCGACGTGTTGAATCAGCTTCTCGACAACTTCGCCGATTTGCAAATAAATCCTAAAGGCAAAAGAATAGGCAGCAGTCAGAAAACGTTCGTACACAAATAGGGCAAGCCAAAGACATGCAACCGACAGAGGGCTTCAAACTCACTCTTCGTTGCTCGCATCCGTGGGGCGGAGGGAGTCGAGTGCGGGCTCGAGAAGCTTTTCAACTTGAGAGCGCGTGAGCGGAAGCCGGGTGCACGCTTGGATTCGGGCAAGCAGTCCCATTGCATTGGTGGCGTACTCGGACACCCGACGGATTTCCGCTTTGGACGCGTTGGCCGCAGCGGGTCGCAGAGGCTGTTGCACCATGTTGCTGTCGCCATTTTTCGTCGATGCAGGCTCTGCGTCGTCCTCCTCGTCCGCTTCATCAGGTCCGAGGTTTTCGCGATGTTCTTGCTCCTCTTCTTGGCGCTGTCGTTGCAAAGAATTCTTCTTGCAGGATGCAGTAAAGAGCGACTTTGCAAGCAGATCGCACTCGACGGAGATTGGCATGCCAGCGTCCTTGTGCTCCGCAGTCTGCTGCTTGATATTCTCGAGCTGAACGAGCGTCGAGTCAATCGCCTTGTTGCAGTCGTGCAACTGCAGCATGACCCATGCGTACTCTTGCTTGAGTTGAGGGGGAATGCCCGTTTCGGAAACACCAACCTGTGCAATCACACCAACAAGTCAGCAATATCAGAATGAGGGCTACATTCCGCGCTCCAAAACTTACACAGCGCAGCGCATTTTGGTTCATCGTGACGAGGTACTTGGTGAGAATTTCCTTGATTTTAAGTAGTTTGTTCAGCTTGACCTGGCGGGTTTTGGGAAAAAACAAAAAACAAAAAACAAAAAACAAAACAAAAAAACAAAAAAAAAAAAAAAAACCAAGCAGAGACAAAAGGAACATTGAAAAAACGTGAGCCAGACCATACAACAGAAAGCAGCACTACCAAAGATGTAAGCACATACAACGTATTGAATGTCGCCAAGCACATAGTTGTGAGGGTTGTGGATTTCAGCGAGTTCGTCTTCGGAAACGTGCTCGCCGATCGAGTCGTCAATCTTGCGCTCCATGTGAGGAGAATGGAAGAGAGCTTGGTTCTACAAATGGGGAAAGCAGCAACCAGTCAGTCAGGGAAGAAACCAGAGCAGGCAAACAAACAAGACTAGATTCACGCAGCGAAATCAAAGAAAGAAAAGCGAATCGTACCATAGACTTGGGCGCAAAGGCGAGAGTCTCTCGCCTGCGATTCCGGGAGCGCGCACCGATGGTCGTGTTGCGAACACGAACCATAGACGACGCTTTATTGAGCTGGACGCGGCCGGTCATCTAGGCACGGCAGAGGTTTCTCTTCAGTCAGCGCAATCACCAAGCAACCGAGCAGTTTCTCGCCAAACACCCGCTCAATGCAACATACCATGACGTCGACATCCGGGATGTAGCGCGGCTCAATCCCGGGATTATCGAATTTGATTTGGTAGCAGAATTTGGCTGGGTTGACGGCCAGTACAGTTCCGTTGAACAGCCGATCAGGATATTCAGCAATACGCACTGACAAGAAATAACAACAAAAGGGCCAAAGCCAATGAGAATGGAGACACACACAAACACCAAGCGAACAACCAAACGAGCAACAAAAAAACCCCAAACCAACTGCAACTGTTACCTGTCACTCGCTCGTTGACTCGAATTAATTCAGGAATCATGACCGGGATGGGAACTTCCGGAAGAGGCTCGGACGACACAGGAGTCTGGACAGTCAAGGAACAACACAAAAAGCACTTTGAGCAAAGACACTCAAAGCTTCTTCAACAAGAATATCGCATCGCACCTCAGCGACATGGATTTGTTGGATGGCTCGGATCTTGGTCCTCTGTCGCTCCAGCATGTTGCGCTCAGCCTCAATGAAGGCGGCGGAGAATCGGCGCGGCTTGCCAATCTTTCGTCGGAAGGCTGCCCACTCAATACGCGTCATGTGAGTGACATGGCCAAGTCCGAATCGCTCCAGTGACTGCTCAAACTCATTCTTGGCAGGGCGGAGCAGCACGTGGTCCAGCGAGCTGTAAAACCATTCATAGATTGCTTGCTGGCGCACCGTGGCCTGGCGCAACGCCGGACGAATGCGACTTAGCAAGTCGCGGCCAAGCGTTTCGTACTTGGCAGGAATGCTAGGCGAAGCGGGTCGACGAGGCGCTGACGAGCTCGCGCGACCCGAGCGATTTGCAGCGACATTGGCCGCTGCCACGATTTTGGGAGATGCCGATGCTGCAGCATTAACCGTGCGAGGGCTCGTGCGAGGACTCGTGCGAGGAGACGCAACAGCAGCAGCAGCAGCAGCAGCAGAGGCGGAGCGAGGCGTTGTACTGACTGGCCAGTCTGTGCGCGAGGCTGAGCGCCCTGCTGCCGGAGATGCAGCCGCGGCCGTTGCCAAGGGCTGGCTGGACATGACGGTGGGTACAGCCCTAACGTCGACAGACACGCGTGGATGGGCTGCAACCGTCACGGGAGCCATGCCATTCGTGTTCATGGGCATCGGTCCCGCAGGCGACCCTTGGAACGCAGGTCGCGGGAAGGGCATAAACTGTGGCTGGCCTCCGCCTGGCATCATCATGCCGTAAGGCATCGAGTAGCGTGAAGGGGATGATGCATAAGGGATCATGCCGTACGGGTAGCCCATTGGGGACATGCCCTGTGCAGGCATCATCATCGGACGGGGCGACATGTATGGCATCATCGGTGGCATGGGCATCTGCACTGAAAACATGGGAGGCATCATCATGCCAGCCGAGGGGTGCAAGGCCGGTGCATACGAGGCGTCGCCTGAAGCGTTGCCCTGATGGGTGTTGTCGTTGTCGTTGTCGTTGTCGTCGTTGTCTTCTTCGTCGTCGTCTTCGTCGTCATCGTTGCGTGCATTGCTGGTGGCTCTCCGGCGGGGAGAAGAGCGACGCTCGCCCGTGTTGCTACTGCTGCTTGCGGCAGGTTGAGCGGCTGGTCGATTGCGCAGCCGAGAGCTGGAGCGCCTGTTGGACGTATCGTCGTTGCCTTCGCTCACTTCGCTTCGGGGAGGGGCGGGACTGCCACCAGCAGCCAGGGCCAGGGCGGCACCACGACGTGTCGGTGTCTGATGCTGTGGGCTCGCAGGAAACAGCTCTCGTTGTGACGAGCGCAGGTTGTGCAGGGTAGTGGCGCCTCGCATCTCCAATTCGTGGACGGTTGGTGCAGGGCCCGCTGTGGGGATGGATGACAAGCTACTAGACGGTGGGTTTTGAAAGCGCTGGCTTGGGCTGCTCGTGCCACGGGCGCTGCCAACGCTCGAGACTGGGGTTTCGTACGTGGGCATGGCGGTGGACGTGTTTGGGGCTGGGACGACGCGAGTCCCGCTCGTGCCAGCGCGACCGTTGCTAACGGGAGTGAGAGCATTGATAGTTCCGCGTTGGGACACATATGGAGCAGCAGCAGTAGCAGTAGCAGGGGCAGCAGCGGTGGTGGACGGCGTGCTCATGTCGGTGGGATTGTTGTCGTAAAAGTCCTGCATGACCATCTTGAACTGGGAAAACTCGGTAGCAAAGCTCAGCACAGACTTGTTCTGCCGGTACAGCGCACTCACTTGAGCGACCGTCCTGCCAGGCAGCTGGCTTGCAATCCGCTCAAAGTTTTGGTGGTGCTTCCGAAACTGCTCAAAAAAGGTTTCCAGCTCATCGTTTGACCATCGCGACCCAAGTTGGTTCATGTCTGCAGTTGCCTGCAATTGGTTTTTCCAGCTGCTCCAAAAGAAACGAGGGTGAGGGGAAGTGGGTCGAAACGTGGAGGATGGCGCAAAAAGTGGACCTTTCAGCACGAAATCTGCCAACAAGAACAAAAGAGCAGCAAAACACATTGAGACATTGTACAATCAACGACAAGAGGCATTGCACCATTCATTCAACTTTGTTCAGGTCAAAGTGATTGAGGACTTGTCAAAATGTGCAAAAAGCACCATAAAAGGCGAACCATTTTTCTCTCCCCCCCGCGTTTCCCCATCCCTTCCTTGCTCAGATCACTTTTTCGCCTGCTTTCCTGCCGTGTGTGTTTTTCGCTGTCCAACTTGTTTGTTCTTCTTTCGCAGCACTTTTTCAACTTGCTTTTTTTCACGTTTTTTCAAAAATTTGAACGTGGTTTTTTTTTTCCCTTTGTTTTTGAGGTTTTTGAAAACAAGATAAAAGAAAAGAAAAGAAAAGGATTTTTTTTTTTCAAATGTTGGCTGGAAAAGCCATTGATTCAAAAAAAAGAAAAAAAAAAGTGAAAATCAAAAAATTGAAAATAAAATAAAAATATGAAATAGGGATTTGCATTGGCGTTCAAAGCTCAAAAAGCAAAAGGAAGCGTGCCAAAAAAAAAAAAAAAAATCAAACAAAATTCACGAACGAGAGACCCGGCTGCGCCCCGGTGCGAGTGGCGCCCAGCACAAGCACTTTCAGATTTGACGAAGGGCAGTGGAGGGTGCAGTGAAGCATCGTACACACTGCATGCGCCAGCCAGGCGATGGCGGAATCGCAGGATGGCACGGAGAGCAGAAAATGAAAAAGGCCGAAGAAAGAGAGACACGACTGTTCAAAAAAAAAAAAAAAAAAAAAAAGAAAAAAAAAAAAAAAAGGAAACACGATTTTTGCCATTCAATTTGAAACAAAAAAGACGGCGGAAAGGCAGACGAGAAGCGGCATCGACCGAGAACGGCGCGTCGCTCGGGCCCTCACTTTGGCCAGCAGTGAGCTGCAAGGGTCTGCTACACGGCTGATACCGCAGCGGGGCCCGGCCAGCGCGCCCACAGAGCGCAAGCGCACTCAAATGCAGCCAAGGCACTTTTTGAAAAAAAAAAAAAAAGGACTTGAAAAAAAAAATCGTCATCGAGAGGGAAGAAAGGGGGTCAAGCGAAAATGCAGCAGGCTCGCAGAGGTCTGATGGGATTGGCGTTAGGGCAGAAGCATGTACCTGAAGCAGTTGAGCGATAGCTTGGGCTGGTCCAAATGCGACAAGAGCCTCAGTGCGCGTCGACAGGCGGAAAGCAAAAGTAAGACCACAAGAAAATCAAAAAAAAAAACTTAAAAAAAAAAAAAAAAAAAAAAAAAAAGAGTGGGGATTTTCCAAGGTGCGTTGATTTTTTTTTTTTTTTTTGAATCGTGGAGCTGCGTGTGTGGCGAAAACAGACAGACAGAGCGAAGAAAATCGCACAAAGAAGCACGAGGAAGGCGCTGATTTCATCACTCGGAGGAATGGACTGGCCGCATGGCATGTGATCTCAGCCGATGGCTGCTCAATGCTGAGATCAAATCAATGTCGCCGCCAATGACTTTTTGAAAAATCGAGTGCCGCGACCACCATTCGGGCTCCTGGGCCCTTCAACCCTGTGCGTTCGGCGATGCTGAATATCGTGCCAACATTCATTGTTCACAGGGGAAAGCGCGTGTCAATGCTGCTGGCCTGATTCATTGGACATCTCAGAGTGACCTTGATGCGCTTCGATTTCAAACAAAAAAAGCCACCGCACCCTTTCTCCCCCGTTCCTGCTCCTCACTCGTTTCCCCTCGCTCCCCTCTCCCACCAAAACCACGCTCATTGATGCATGCTGCACAACGAAGGCACACGGAGCACGACAGCGCACAAACCCCGGCGGCCGTGTGACAGCGAGGAAAAAAAAGCTGGACACAAAAACTCGCACGCGTTCAATTTCAAAAAATAAAAAAAATAAAATAAAAAATAATAAAGTTTAAATTTGAACTTTTGACAGGGAAACTTCGCCTTATTTGGCTTTTCCCGCCAAAATTTGAGTTCGCGGTTTTTTTTCCATCCATGTGCGAGCTGGAGCTGACTTTGGAGGCGCGTCTCCCGACCCCTCCGCATGTTGGGCGCTGGAGCAAGTTCTCATGTTTGAGCAATTTTGTCGGTAGCGCAGGACGAAAAGACCGAGAGAAGGGCATGGCATCGGGCGAAATGTGGTCGGGGGCTGAGAGTGCGCACTCGTTGCGCGTGCACACGACCTCCCTTCAGTGTGCGTTTTGCACACTGGGACTGCATGGATGAATTTCTGCCTTCTGCGCTGCGAGCATGTGCTTTGAGGTTGCCGCGCAGCCTCCATCGACCCGACGTGAAACCATCAACCATGCCTCACCCCCTTCCCCGGTATTTTCCCGCCAAACGACCAATTTCTTTGGAATCAGCGTGAATTTTAGAGTCGGCTCTGGAGTTTTGGTGGCAATCGGTGCGGGTGAGCTTTCGTGTCCTGACTTTGGCTGGCCGTGCATTGCCAATGAAAAATCCACTCATTTTTTTTTTTTTTTTTTTGGTTTTTGTTCAAACATGCTGCTCTCGCGTGTTGCCTTGTTCAAAGCGTCGCCCGCAGCGGCCACCGCGGCCTCCACCACTGCCGCCGCAGCCATGGTGTCTGTCGCATTGAGTGCCGGTGCCAGCAGCCGCGCGGCGTTGCGAGGCGGCGATGCAGCAGCAGCAGCAGCGACCTCGGACGACGCCAATGCAGCTCCAGCCACCGCCGCCGCCTCAGAGTCTGGCCTGCGCCTGGCCGATGCTCGCGCGGCTGCCAAACTACGGCGTCGGGATGCGCTTTGTGCGGTCGCATTGGGACCACGATGCTGCAGTACGGCGTCGGGATGCGCTTTGTGCGGTCGCATTGGGACCACGATGCTGCAGTCAAGCCGTCGTTCTGGACGGTCACTCAAGACCGGCGAGAATGCAAGTGGATTTTTTTAGATTGGATTGTTTTCTTGTTTTGCTCACAGTGAGAGAGAGAGAGAGAGAGAGAGAGAGAGGGGAAGGACGGGTCGACGGCTCTCTGCTCAGTTCCCATTGCATTTGCATTGGCATTGGAGAAAATCCTCGAGATCGCTCGATTTCCGTCATTGCGATCACTTCCCGCTCACTCACTATGGTTTTTCCAATGTGTGTACGATTTGGCATGGATTTAATAACAATGTAACAATGTATAGGGCGAGTTCAAGATTATCCCGTTTGGATACAAGACACTTTTTGGTAACGTTTCCTGTTCGCCGTTTCTGATGTTGGTCGCTTTTGTGTTTCCAGCGGCTTACAGTGAATCAACAATGGAATCGAAACAACAAAACCCTGGCAGGTCAACGGTTGTACGGCCGAGGAGAGCTTGCCGCTCAGTCCGTCAAGCACACTTTGGCGTCAAAAGAGGAGGCGCGCATTCCTCGCGCAGCCACAAACGACTGGCTCGTCCAACGGCACGAGTCCAAAGCTGTGATTCTCAAGTCTGGTCGCTATTCGTTTGCTCAGGACCACTTGCGGGATGTCGCTGCACCCACACCAGTGCCAGCGCCGTTCAACGCTCGCGATCTCGCCCGTTCGATTGTCCAATCCAACCGACAAATCAACCTTTCGCAGCTCCAACCAGCAGCCGCCGCTGCCGCCTCTGGCAAAAAGTAACTGCAGTCTGCCGAGCGTTTTGCTTTTTCATTGCAGACTGAGCCAGTCCTGCGAAACTGCGCGATTTCATGGAACAACAGAAGCAACAACACACTGCAGACCGAGAGCAGAGAGTCCTTTTGTTTTCATTGAAATTATTGTACAATACAGCCTATTTTGTTTTTTTTCATGTGCATCACCTCCTCGATCACCATCATGCTTCAGTGAACCGGAATCGTGAGCTAAAATAAACATCTTCCAGTTGACCGAGAGCGATTCTGCACTCGTCGCGCCACAACGCCGTCGCAGCATCGAGATGCATTTCCCTACGTAGTATCAAACGATGGGAATGTGAGACAACTCGCACATGTGACGCAAGAGTCGACCATCCAAAAAGTGTGCTTTGTTTTTGTTCGTTTACCGCTGTCGATAGTCGAGCACTTTCTCTGCCACTGTTGCGTTGAGCTTTTCGAAATCATTGAGCAGCAGGGTGTCTTTCAATTCCGCAATCATTCTGAGCAGCGTTTCATAGCCTCGGATCTGAACGAGAAGGTTCCAAAGAGTGAGTAAGCGCAACCACTTCGCTCACGCTGCACTCGATTCAGCCCAAAAGCTCGCAAGCAGCACCAGCACCAGCTTGTCTGTTCGACACTCGACTCAACGCCATCAACTGTCATTCACGCCGAGCCGAGCGGCCGAAGCAAAACCAAAACGAAACACAAACCAAAACGAAGCAAACAAGTTTCAAAACTAGCCAGCCCGTACCATGCTTGTCGTCCGCAGTTGCAGCTCAAATTCATCCTTGATGACAATGGTTGTGTCTGCCATGTTGGCGTCGGCCTGGACCTTGGCGTTGCGCACGATCGCCATGAAGCTTTCCGTTATTTGTCGGACGGACTCGTCCAGGCTGCCCTTGAGCTTTGCCTCGAGCTTGGCCAGCTGCACCAGCTTGATTTCGGCCTTGGTTCGTGTGGACGACATTCCGACAGCGACGGCAGCGGCATCACTTGCACTTCCTGCTGGCTGAGCTTGAGCCTGAGCTTGAGCCTGAGCTTGAGCTTGAGCTTGAGCTTGATACAGCGGCGAGCCGTCCCAGCAGCGAGCGCCGCGGCCATCGCAGCGGGCGACCCTGCGTGCGGCGTGAGTGAGAGTGGTCCAACTGGCAGCACAGGAGCAGCACAGGAGCAGCAGCAGCAGCAGTAGTAGTAGTAGGAGCAGGTTGCATTGGAACTCGCTGCAGTCCTCCAGCCGCTACAGCGCCACCCAGATTCATGCCAGCAGCAGCTGGACTAGCACCAGTCGGAATAGCAGTCATGGCGGTCGGATGGATTGGCTGCCCTTGCTGCCCGGGCACGCCTTCTGCTGAGCGACTTGCCATTTACAGTAACAATCGCGTCTGAGAAAATGATAACAATAATAATAAAAGACTGCACAAATTTGGTTGTCCAATGTTGAATCTTTTCTTTGTTTTGTGTTTTTCCAAGCTTTGGTTCTCAGCAGCTCAGAGCGCTCAGCGGCTCAGTCCATTTTGCTCCTTGCTCAGAGAATGCCCTCCCCGCTGGAGGTGTTCTGCGGCGGCGGCGGAGTGCTCGCTGGTGGTGCCAATGCGACCGCGCTGCAGCTTCTGTTTGGCGACGGTGGCGGTGGCTCAGTGACGCATTGCGGTGCTGCGGTCGTCGGCGTGCTGCCCGCGCTGGGACTGCTGCTCATGGCGCTGCTCGGCGAGATGGCCTTCGTCCGACGCAGCAGCTCTGCAGAGCCGACCACCGGGCCTGGCGTGTCGCGCTCCATCAACATCAACAGCACCACCAATAGTGCGAGTTTGCCTCGCTCAGGCTGCGGCGGCGGCGGCGGCGGCGGCGTTGCAGCGGATGGAGCGGCGAATTCGGATGATGACGAGCGTGATGATCGGAGAATCCGCCAACGACGACGACGACGACAACGAGGACGAGGACGGATGCTGCCACCGGGCTGCTGCTGCTCCAGCGACATCAGACACGCCGTGAGCAGGCGGGCGGCGCGGTCGTGGCGCGCGGGGCTGCGGGGCGTCCAGCTGGCGATCGCCTGGTCGCTCGCGCTCGCAAGTGCCACAGCGCTCGTGGCGCACATGGTCCTCCCCGCCGAGTCGGCCAGTGCAAGCGCAAGGGCAATCGCGGATGTCGCTGCCGTCGACTGGCTCACCGATCTCGCTGGCCTGGTCGCATGGACGCTGCTGGCGCTCGCTACAGCCTACCGTCGGCGTTGGAGGTTTGGCCATCTCTACGCTGCTCAGCGCTCAGATAGCCGGGCGACCACCAAGCACCGGCAAACCAGGCGCGGCGAGCTGCGTCCGGCATGCTTGCTGCCAGCGCCATTGTCTGTGCAAATCGCGTGTGTGCTGGTCGCTGCCAGTCTTTGGGTCGCCACGTACTCGGCGTTCGATTCGGGCACCTCCGCGGACTGGTCCTTGTTCGATGCCGTTCGGGTTGCAATCTCGGCCAGTTTGGCCACCACGCTGCCATTCAGTTGCTGTGGGCTCTCGTTGCTCGGATGGCGATCGATCAGGCGTCTCCTCAAACCAGCCGCTGCCGCTCAACCCAACCTCCATGCCGACTCATCCACGGAAAATTCTACCCAAAGCAGTAGCAGTGGCGGCAGTAGCAGTGAAAGCGATCATTCACCAGTGTCCGCGGCATCTTCCACTCCCACTCGCAACGCGAGGCGACGGCGCGCTCAAGAGGACAAGGCGGGATTCTGGTCGTTGCTGTACCTGAGCTGGTCGTGGCCGGTCATTGCACACGGGTTTCGGCACGTCTTGCAGTTGGGCGACTTGTTCATTCTGCCGCGCGATCTCGGCACGTCTCGCATTGCCCGCAACTTTATCGGCACGCTGACAGGAGCGACCGCGCCACAGGCGGCAACCACCTCATCCAGCTCGTCAGAACCGCTCAAACAACGCGTGCCGCTGCTCTCCGCCCTCAACAGCCAGTTCGGTGCAGCGTACTATCCACTCGGCCTTTTGCGATTCTTTGCCGATACAATCGCCTTTTCAGGCCCAATGCTGTTGAACGCCCTCGTTTCGTTTGTGAGCGATGCCGACGAGCCAATGTGGCACGGCTACCTCTACGCCCTCGGTCTCTTTGGTGGCACGCTCGTTTCGGCCATCTTGAACACGCAGTACAACTACCTTGTGGCGCGCGTTGGCATGCAAGTCCGCGCTGCACTCGTCACCTCCGTGTACTCTAAGACGCTGCGGCTGGGCGGGTCGTCCACGCACAGCTTTACGACGGGCCAGATCACAAACTTTATGAGCACCGACACGGACCGCGTCGTCAACTTTTGTCCCTCCTTTCACAAGTGCTGGTCCCTCCCCGTGCAGGTGGGTCTCACCCTCTACCTCCTCTATGTCCAGATCGGCTTTGCGTTTCTCGCCGGCCTGGGCGTCGCCTTGCTGCTCATCCCGATCAATCGCTATCTGGCGATACGCATCGGAGTTTTGAGCAAGGAAATGATGGTGTACAAGGACGCACGCGTCAAGCTCACCAATGAAACGCTGGCTGGCATTCGCGTGATCAAACTGTATGCCTGGGAAGACGCGTTGATTGCGAAGATTCAAGGGATGCGCGCACTCGAGCTTGTCGCGCTACGAGGTCGCAAGTACCTCGACGCCTGGTGCGTCTATTTCTGGGCCACAACGCCGGTGCTGATTTCCATCCTGACGTTTGTGTCGTACGTTTACTGGTATGGCCCGGCAGATCTCACCGCAGCCAGGGTGTTTACGAGTCTCGCACTGTTCAACCTGCTGATCACGCCGCTCAATGCGTTTCCCTGGGTCTTGAACGGTGTCATGGATGCGTGGGTGTCCTTGAAGCGGCTGGAGGCGTTTTTCGACAAAGCAGAGTCCTGTCGGCCAGATGATCGGCGATCTTCGGCGCTTTCCTACTACTATTTGCCAACCGTGTCGTCCACGCCGTCCACGTCGTCCACCGCCACCGCCTTCACCACCACCACCACCTCCACCTCCACCACCACCGCAGGCGTCAATGAGTTTGGCCAACCCGCTGCTGCTGTCGAGTTTCGCAACGCCACGCTGTCGTGGCTTGAGCCGAACACAGTCACGCCCTCGCTTGACCATGCGCCGTTTACGTTGGCCAACGTGTCCTTGACCATTCCAAAGGGCGCGCTGGTGGGCGTGTTTGGTCCCTTTGCGAGCGGGAAAAGCAGCTTGCTGGCATCCATGCTGGGCGAAATGAGCGTCACCTCTGGCAGCCTTATTATCCATGACAGAGCCGCTGCACGGTCGCTTGAAAACAGTCATCCTCTTTCCGACACCGTCAACCCGCCACCTCCTTGCATTGCGTATGCGACCCAGCAGCCCTGGGTTCAAAACGCCACCGTCCGCGACAACATTCTCTTCGGTCTGCCGCTTCGGCAACCAGCTTACTCTCGTGTCTTGTTTGCCTGCGCTCTTGAGCCGGACATGGCCATTCTGCGCGACGGAGATCTCACCGAGGTGGGTGAGCAAGGTGTCACGCTCTCGGGTGGACAGAAGGCTCGTGTCGCCTTGGCTCGCGCCGTGTATCGAGCGTCCTTCTCGGTGGAGGAAGGCGGCGCGGACCTGGTCCTTCTCGATGATCCTCTTTCTGCGGTGGATGCCCATGTTGCCGCCCACCTGATGCAGCACTGCATCGGGGGTCTTCTCAAAGGCCGCACTGTTGTGCTTGTGACCCACCACGTGCAGCACCTTGTTGGTGCTTGCAACGTGCTCGTGCGCCTGACGAGCACGCGAGAGGTGGCCAGCGCACACAAGGGTACTGCAGAATGGGACGCACTGGTGCCCGATCTCGGCAGTTTCCAGCAGTCTGCCGATGTAGCACTGTCACTGACGGAACACGATCCGCCTCGAAACGAGCACAAAGCTCGGGCCAAAGCGCAGTCTATTCTCGTTCCAGTCAGCGATTCTCCGGCACCCGACAGCACCCCACAGGCGCTCATGACCATCGAAGAGCGGGAAGTTGGCGTCGTCAAGGCCCAGGTCCACGCAAGCTATTGGCGTTCGATGGGCATGTTCCTCACAGTGAGCATCTTTGTGACGCTGAGTCTCATGCAGGCGTCGCGCAACATCAACGACTGGTGGCTATCCTACTGGGTGGGCACCATCACTCCGAATGTGACGCTGAGTGACCAAACTTACTACCTCGAGATTTACGGAGGTCTTGCAGCTGCCAATTCCGCGTTCACCCTGGCCCGCGCCTTTGCCTTTGCCTACGGCGGGCTGTGTGCTGCTCGCAACATTCACACAAAGCTGTTGAACAGAATTTTGAGGGCGCCCGTTTCCTTTTTCGACACTACTCCGGTATGGTCTTTTGGTTGACTTTGAAGAGAGCGATAGTGTCATCCATTCGTTTGCATTGACTGTTTGATTGCGATTTGAATTGAATGTGCCACATGCGCGCTCATCGCGATATCCTTCCTTACCAGTTGGGTCGTATTCTCAACCGGTTTTCTTCAGATGTCGTAAGTTACAAAGTTCCTTTCTTGCCCATTTCTTGCGCGCTTCTCGTCATTTCTCTCATTCATCTCCCCACTGCATTGCCCTTTTGCCTTGTTGGTGTCAGAACACGATTGACGACTCCCTGCCCTTCATCATGAACATTCTTCTTGCGCAAGTGTTTGGCATTGCCGGCTCGATTGCAGTCACCTGCTACGGTCTCCCTTGGTTTGCTCTCGCCCTTCTCCCGCTGGGAGGCGTGTACTATCTGATCCAACGCTACTATCGACGATCGTCGCGAGAAGTCAAGCGCCTCGACACGATTTCCCTTTCGCCAATCTATGCACACTTTTCCGAAACCATCCACGGCGTGTCCTGCATCCGCGCATTTGCACAGGAGAATCGTTTTTGTGACGAAAACATGACCAAGTTGACCGCCAATCAGTGCGCCAGCTATGCTGGAAACGCAACTGGCCAGTGGCTCGGCGCGCGACTGCAGCTGCTTGGTGTTTTTGTCCTCTTGGCTGTTGTATCGATTGCGCTGGTGCAGCACGCACTTTCCAACAGCACCACTGGAAGTGTGGATCCAGGGTTGGTCGGCCTCAGCATTTCCTATGCGCTTTCGGTGACCTCTCAGCTGGCCGGCGTCGTCACCTCGTTCACAGAGACGGAAAAGGAAATGGTATCGGTCGAGCGAGCGTGTCAGTACATTGAAAACACACCCGAAGAGGAGCCCGATGTGACTTTGCCCGTCTCGCGCCGACGAACGCTTCGAGGCACCAGCACCTTCCGCCGGAATACGCTCGACGAGGAGCAACAGAGTTTGCTTTCGTCGAGCGTGTCCCGCTATTCTGGTGTTGGCTCGTCTGAGGTAATGCATGCACTCTGTTGCGTTGGGTTGGAGTTTGGAAAAGTTGGGTTGGTGTGTGTGTGTGTGCGTGCGGGGGAAAGCTGAGTGAAAGTTTGCCCTGACTTTTGTTTGGTGTTGAACTTTGTAGCCCACTGCTGTGCCAGCCACCTGGCCGGCCACCGGCGCAGTCTCGTTTCAAAATGTCACTGTCGTCTATCGCCCAGGTCTTGCCCCCGCACTCGACGGGCTGTCGTTGCAGATTGCCGCAGGGGAGAAAATCGGTGTGGTCGGCCGAACTGGCAGTGGCAAGTCGACTCTTCTGCTTGCCCTGTTCCGAATGGTTGGCCAACAGTCTGGTCGCATTGTCGTGGATGGCGTGGATACTGCCACCATCACGCGAAAGCACTTGCGGTCAGTCCAATGTCACGTGTCACGGGTGTGGAATTGTGTCTGGTTTTCTCACAGCCAAAAAACGATGAACATTGCTTCGATTGCACAGTTCGTCACTGACAATCATTCCTCAGGACCCAGTTTTGTTTAGTGGCTCGCTTCGCGAAAATCTAGACCCGTTCTCGCGATACAGCGATGCGCAGGTTTGGGATGCGCTGCTAAAGTGCCGCCTGGTCGCCTCATCTGCTCAGCCTACAACTCTCGACGTCCAGCGCGTGACCTTGTCCAGGCCGGTGCACGAACGCGGCAGTAACTTTTCCGTTGGCGAGCGCCAGTTGATTTGTCTTGGACGGGCGCTCTTGAAACAAGCCAAGGTATTGTGACGAGGGTGGAAATTTCAGAATGTCGATTTGAACTTGCTGACACGGATACATGTGTACTTTTAGATTCTCTGTATTGACGAAGCGACGGCCAGTGTCGATGCGGATACAGATGCTCAAATTCAGCACACTTTGCGCACAGAATTTCCAAACACCACCGTCATCACTATTGCACACCGGTACAGTGGATGCTTCTTGAATGCGCAGTTTCGTTTTGTGATTGGCTCCAACCAACTGTCGTGCTTGCTGTTTGATCGTTTATTTGTTATTTGCCAGAATCGGAACAATCCTCGACTATGATCGGATTGTGGTTCTCGATAGCGGCCGCGTTCTTGAGACCGGACCGCCCCGAACTCTTCTGACTCAACCCTCATCGCATTTCGCTCAGTTGGCGAATCGGGTCGGTTAGCCTATCAAGGGTTTTGCGGCATCTGTCTCACGAGGAAAAAACAAACAAACAAAAAAAAAAAAAACGACGTTCCCACCATCTTCCATCACTCATCTCTTAATCTCCCAATGCTGTTCGCTGCTTGTAACATACTCAATGTCTTAATATACTTTTCATTTGTTAAAAAAATATCAACGGATACATCGTCCACATGAATAAAATGACAACAAGAACAACAACAAACGCAACAAAAACAGAGAGTTATGGGTTTTCTTGGATTCCATTGTACTCGAGAAGAGCCTCGGTCAGTCGAACAAGAATTGCACAAAGAAGCATACCAATGATGATGCTCGCCAGAGCGAGCCGCTTTTGCCCAATGTGGCGGACGGCAAGCGGACCGAGTTCAACGACAGAAAGGACAAACATGATTCCGCCAACGCCGGCCAGCAAATATTGCAAACTGAGTCCCGTGGAGAACATTTGCAAGAGTAGACTCGCGACCAGCGCGCCGAGTGGTTCAAACAGTCCGGACACGACGGGCAGCACCAAGCTCCAGGGAACGCTTTTCGTGGCGGCATAAATGGGCGCTGCAATGGACATTCCCTCTGGAACATTGTGCAGGGCCAAAGACACGGCGAGAACAAAGCCCAGGCGTAGCCCTCGCAGGGTAGAGATGAGCAGGATGGCGCCCTCTGGCATGTTGTGCAGCGAGACAACTGCGGCCGTCATGATGGCCGTGCGAAGCGTGGCGGGATCCACGTTCGCGGCGACGGTGAACGAGCCGGTGCCTGCCGTGAGGGCTCCTTGGCTTGCCCCAAAGCTACTTCGGAAGATCTTTGACACGACACGAATCGGCGCTTCGAGGATGGCGGACAGAACGCCAAAGCCGACGCAGCCGCAAACGAACGAGTAAAATGCGTGGAGCAACCCGATCAGCTCCACCGACGGGAATAGCAAGTCAAACACGCTCAGGTAGATCATGACACCTGCAGCGATGCCTTCCAGGAAGCCCATGGTGCTGCGCGTCGGCTCGCCCAGGCAGACCACAACCACTCCGCCAAGACCAGTGCTCAGTCCCGACACGAGCGTGAGGACCATCGCAGCAGTGTACGACGTTCCTTGATCCATGATGAGCTTGTTGATGGGCTCGTCTTTGCCCTTGCCTTGCGATTTGGGGGCTCCTTGACGAGGTGCATCGTTGGCTGGGATTGGATTACGCTCGGCACCTGGATCACCACCACCACCACCACCACCAGCAGCAGCAGGATCGTAGGAATCCATCATCGGATCCAGTCTCTGTCGTTGCATGGGATCTGGGACCTCGAGTTGGTCTGCTTGGGCCAGGGCTTGTTGTGCTTGGGCCGCGAGGTTAGCGTCGGGCAGCTCTTCCCTGGCGAGTGCGAGCCCGTGCGCTGGTAGCACGCATGCTGTGAGTGTGTCGATGAGGATGGCCATGGCGATGGCGATGGCGATGACGAGGCACAGCGAAGGGCGGATGCCCCGGCGTGACGAATCGGGTTGCTCGGCTGAGCGTCTGAGCATGTGAGAGACAAAAATGGGAAGAATGCCAAACACGCACAAAACACAAAACACAAAGCACAAAACAACGCCAAAGAGTTGATCAATCGAAATTCAAGCAAGGTCCTCAATGAGAAGTAGAATAACGACTGAGAGATGCTGTCAAACAACCAAAACGACGGGCACATCAAGTATGACGGACTGCGCGTGTTCATCGTTGAGTTGTGTGCAAGTGCAAGCAGGGATCGAGAGTACTTCACAGGCTTGCTGTGCCACAGACCGACCGTTGTCGAGAACCTTCAGCATGCAAAACGCGCGCTCCTTGTGGACCTCGCTGACTCCGATAAAGCCCTACAAGCCCGTGAGCTAGTATATTGAGCGATCGGCCTGGTGAATACGGGTCTGAGGGTAACAGAGGACAACTCTTCGTGCTTCCACACGAAAAATCCGGGTACAACCTGGCATTTTGCCCAAACGACACCGCCATCGATGAGTATGACTACCGGGTGTGTATCTGGAAAGAGCCGAGGCGAAAATGGGTCTTTGTGGCGTTTAGCTACTTTTAGGTTCACAGTTGGCAGTTGTTTTTGACTCGACAAGTTCCGAATGCTGTCGTATCAGAACATGACGCCGAGCCAGCGCGAGTTGTACGACAAGGTCAAGAATACACCTCGTTATTTCTGGTAAGAAGCAATCGAATGTATTGCAGAGTATAACAACGTGTGTCTTGACCAAATGGATAGTCGACATGGGGAACAGGTTGGCGATGCTGGAGCGCAGGCGATTGCTGAGGCACTTAAAGTCAACATGACAATTACCCAAGTCGAGTAAAACACCGTACTTTGATTCGTGCATGGGAGTGGGTGATTTCAGCAGAGGGTATTCAGAATACTTATGATGAGGGATGAACAGTCTTTGGCAGAATCAGATTGGCGAAGTTGGTGCGCGCGCGATTGCCGAGACACTCAAAGTGAACGAGACAGTGACGCAGCTCAAGTAAGGCATAGTGCTGTGACTGATTGTGAGTGAGTGATTCAACCGGGGGGGGGCGCGTTGAGAGCACTCACCGGTGGATGGGGATGGACAGTCTGTTTCGGAATCAAATTGGCGATGCTGGAGCGAGCACGATTGCTGAGGCACTCAAAGTGAACACGGGGCTGACCACGGTCGTGTAACCCATCTCACTTTGACCGATGCATATGAGTGAGTGATTGAGCAGAGTGTTCACCGAGGGATGGAATCTGGACAGTCTGGCTGAGAATCTGATTAGCGATGCTGGAGCGCAGAACTGGTCAAAGTGAACAAGACGCTGGCATGGCTCAAGTAGGTTGCTCGTCTTCGATATTGAACCAGGGTCAGCCATATCTTGCTACGCCGTCATCCTACTCACCGATCGAGCGACAGTCTGTCATGGAACTTCATTGGCGAAGTTGGTATTCAAGCGATTGCTGATGCACGCGAGTTCCATCACACTCTGACTGAGCTTCGGTAGAGCTGGCTATCAAGTCCTGCTTTCAACCAATGGAGTGGCCCTTGCTGACTGATACTCGTTTATGTTGCTTGTTCGTGGTACAGCATTGGCAACCAGTGTAGCCCTCTTGTACTCTCCTCGCTTCCACGATTGGCGACTGCTGACGACCTACAGACCGTGTTTGGCTTGCTGACCAGCGGACCGGAGTTGGAAAATCAGCTCGCATCTCTACCGGCACTGCCGACTGAGATTGCCGACCTCATTATGGACGAAGCGTGTTACTGGCAAGGCGTGCAGCGCACCAATCGAGCCTGTTATTTTGATAGTCTGAGCGTCACTGTGCCAACGAGCAGCACGGGGAATTCGATCCGTGTACAGGCAATGCAAGTGCTTCTTGACATGAAGCATGTCGATGCCAACGACTCAGAGCAGTGCGTTGTTAAATTGATTGTCCGAGATGAGCAAGATGCTGTTCGATACGAATGCACTGCGAAACCGACTTTGGTCGATTCGACTCTCAGGCGTGTGACAATCCTGCCAGCCAACCATCCTGTCATGCGACAAATGCGCGAGGGCTGGAAGGTTGACTTTCAACCCAGCAAGTGTACGGGCGGTGGGCGATTCGAGTCGCTTCATGTCGGATATATTGAAAGACAATATGCATAAACCATGCGAATGGAAAAACCCATATTGTTCTGAACACATTGAAAATCGTACTACGAAAGTTAGGGCATCCGCACAAAGCACACAAAGTAGATCAAAAGCGGGCGAGTGATTCAGTGAATGAACTCGAAAGTTGTTGTTGCTGCGACCAAGCTCTCTGCATCGTTCCACTTTGCTCGGCGAGTATGAACATGAACGTCAAGAATAAACGAGCCGAGGCGAATACGATGGCGCAATGGCATTTTGTCACTTTTTCGGGGTTTTAGGTTTGGTTTATTGGTTCTTTCGTCTCGACATGTTCAGTTGCGGTCGTCAGTCTCAGATGCTCGGTTCCACGTCGCGACAAACAGGCGCTGGAGCACCAGCTCGGCAAATGTAAAGACAGACTTCATCCGCCAGTAATTGACGCGCCGAGACCGCAATTCTGGGTCTGTGGTGGTTGCCATGTTGCTGCACGACTCAGAAGCGAGTGCAACTGAATGGTTGAAATTCTGTCAAAGCAAAACAACGACTGAACCGAATTGAAATGGACGACAAACAGACAGTAAACATTGGTTGCTGGAATACAATACAACATCCCAGCCAGAGGGAGAAGAACACACACACACACACACACACACACACACACACACACACACACACACACACACACACACACACACACACACACACACACACACACACACAAACACATGCAGAGTGTCAACGGGTGGACGCCGTGCATAAAAACTTGTGGCCGTTCTGCTGCCAGTCGCTTCGTTGACACGTCTCGGAGCAGTACTTCGCCTGCTTGCATCGTCCGCACGTCATGAGTAGAGAGGCTTCTTGCTGCTTGAGGCAGAACCAACACAGCGGGATGTGATCACCAATAAACAAGCGGTGCTGAGGGTCATCGACACGAATGCATATCGGGCCCGACTGTGGCACACGTGCCAACGGAGAAATGATCTTGATAACTCGGCCAGGCACAAGCAACCTCTCTTGCGCCGCAGAGAGGTTGTAGATGCTCAATATGGCCGGAGCTCGCGATGAGTCTTCGACAATATACGAGATGGGGGTCACGCGAAAGCCACTTCCCACAATCACGCACTCAACGACACGGTTGTGATACAGCCTTTCGACGCAAGGGAGAAACATCTCGTCGATTTGAATCGGGGAGAGGGGCAAAGTGTCAGCAGAGGTGATGTGTTCGCTGGGTGTTGTGAATGTGAACGTAGGCTTGATGTGTTGGGCCTCCTTCAGAAACTTCACGCGCGACGAGCGATACACTTCAAGGACCTTGGAGGAGAGACCACGCGGCATTAAGGCTTCAGGAGCACGAGGTCCCGCCAATACATGGCCGCCCTCTTGAGGGACGGCAGGGTACCGCTTGGCGAACATGGCCAAAAGGTCCTCGAGCAGCTCACGATTGGGTGACTTGTGGCGTGGCTGCAGAAATCCCGGCAAGGTGTGCTGTGCCGCAATGCCCAGATCGAGGAGCGTTTGCGCTTCACGACAACTTTGCTCGACAGAATCATGGCGCATAAGAGCCAGGATTCCCAGCTGAAAGTACGCTTCGCATACTTTACGATGACCAAGGTGTCTGTGCTCGAGAAATTGCATGAAGAGTTTGCGCGCTTGCTCGGGCTTGTCACAGATCCGGTACGCAGTGCCCAGTGAATACGTCACGTCAAGTCGCTCAAGGTCGTTCTCGCTGCGGTTGGCCACGATCTGGAAGGCGCGGCGCAGATAGAACAGTCCCTTTTCTTTGTCTTTGTCTGAGGAATCAAACATCAGCTGGCACCCGGTCCGCAGGTTGAGGAAGCTGTCCTCGCAGTATTGGTTGGCAGCCGAGATCGCGTACTCAACCTCTGTGCCAGACAGCAGAGTACGTCTGTCATGTTCCAAGGTCTCGTCTGGATGTGATTGCTCGAGAATGACTTGAAGGACTGCCGCACTTTCCGGATCACAAACAAGCCCGCCGTCAACGGTACGCCTGGCGCTCGCTGCCCGCGAAATGAGGCGACGCGTGCTGTCGGCTGTCACTGGGTTCCTGCGAAATTCATCGATCGCAGCGATCAGCTGACGCTTGGCACTGATCAGACTGCTCAGGTAGACAGTCGGCGAGGCGATGGCCTCCAGCTCGTCCAGCGTGGGATACTGGTTGAACGGTAGCAAAGTCGGAGGAGCGCGGAGCCGAGGCATCATATTGCAAAATTCTTGGACCTGTTGAAGGGCTTTAGGGCCTACTCGTTGAATAGTCGATCGAATCTCCGATGCCAACGCGGTAGCTGCATAAATGCCAAACCTTTCGGCCGTGTCTGCCCACTGCGCTGCGCGTTCCAACATGCCCAAGTCGCGTAGTAGCAAGCTCATGTTGGTCATACTCTCATGGCTCCCGGCTTCAACTGCAAGGCGGAAGTAATCTCGCGCGAGCGCCCGGTCGACGGGTAATTCATCGACGCCCTCCCAGTGATACAGGCCAAGCATTTTGTAGCCCATGGGCGCCTCGAGAGCGGCAGCACGCTGGTAGTAGGTTAACGCCAAGCGTAAATTTTTGGAGCAGCCGATACCATTGAAGTGATTGTTGCCGAGCGCAACAAACGCTAATCCTATCGCGGCCCGCTGGTCCTTGAACTCCTGGTCATCACGAATCGGGACTTGCGTCGCTTTCTCAAACCAGGCAGTTGCCTGCGCGATGTCTTGAGCAACTCCTTGCCCATTCATCAGAAAAAGACCAACGTTGTACATGCCAATCGCGTTGCCAAGCTGCGCCAGACGCAGAAAGAGTGGATAGGCCTGTGCAAACTTGCCATCATCTCGCAACTTGTGTGCTTGGACGTTCAGCTGGAGCTCCTCCATATTAGCAACTCGAGTGCTTGTTCGGTCAACTGGCGCTCAGTCATAGAGGACAAGGGTGACGCAGACGATTCAGCGGTCGCTTGACCGCCCACTCGGGCCACGTCTCGCTGGCGGAACGGAGACTCGGCCGCATTCAGAAATGCCGCGGAATACGCTGAATTCTGGTCCTCCCCACGTTCGATTATGGCGCGCTCAAGGCGGCACTTGTCGAGCAGCTCGCGTGCTAGGCGTTTCTCGGCAGTACCCGGCTGGAAGCCACTGTACGCGCATTCGGCGTGCTTGCAGGCCTTGGTGTGCTTGCCGCACTTCAGATACGCCTCTGCCAGACGGAGGTGTGCCTTGAACGCCGGCGTGCCCTGCAGAAGCGCACGCTTGGCATCATGCTTGGCCTCGACGAAATGTGCGAGTTTCAGATGAGCCGTGGCGCGGTTGGTCAGGAGGATTGCAGTAAGCTCGAACGGATAATGCTCGACGCGAAGGAGGGCAGCGGTGTAGCACTTGATGGCTTCGTCGAATGCGTTTTGCTTGAACAGCTCGTTGCCAGCAGCCTTCTCGCGCTCTGCAGCCGCGACGGCGTCTGGTGCGGGCGCCGACACTCTGTGCAGTGTTTCGATGATGCAGGCGTCGAATTCGGCGGCATCCGTGGCCAGTTTGTCGACGAGGGCTGCGCGCAGTCCGTCGCGGATTCTCGCGTACTCGAGCGGCGTAATCTCAGACGCCGTGGCATGAGCAAAGTCGTTGCGATACTCGACAATCTCGCGGACTGCACTGCGATCGTTCTCGCTGAGCGGCAACACGTTCAAGAGGATGGATGCAAGCACAGTAGTGTCCCAGGTTTCCGGCTTTCCGTTGGCAATCTTGGGACGCTGCTTCTCGCAAACATTTGGCGGAAGCATCGCGAGCAGAGCTGCACCCGAGCGAGTATCGTGCGTCCATGCAGTCATCGTGGCTGGGGCTGCTGCAGAGGCTGAAGCATGAGATCCGTTGGACGGTCCCGCAGCACACGCGGTTCGGTCGTCCTTGCCCTTGCTCTTGCTCTTGGCCTTGGACAGAGGAGGCAGACCGGCGACACCCGAACCCGCGATAGCACCAGCGCTTGGTTCGGCCTTGCATTGGGCGTCCCAGGTGCGAACAAAGAGCTTTGCCAGGAGATTGCGTGTCCCAGGTTTTGGAAGCGTTGTATTGGCTCTACTGTTTCAGACATCTAGCAAGATTTCTGAGAGAGTTAGACTGGCCTACAATTTGAACTGAGTTTGAGTTTCTCTTTCGTTGATTCGAGCAATGTTCCAGCGATAATCCGCTCCCAGTCTCTTTTTCATTTCCTGAATCGCAGCGACAATCCATATTCCATTCAGCGAGTGCGCTTTGCACTGGAAGCCTTCTTAACGATCGATTATGCGTCAATCCAGCATGGCACGACCACTGGGATTGAAATCTAACGGCAACCTTCTCCATTGTGATAATTCTTGATCTATTTTCATTTGACAATCTGTTGACAGCAATTCTCGGTACAAAATGCAACGAGCGACTTTCAGTGAGCAATCTGGGGAGCACTATCGGCCTTCCAATTGCCTCTCGCGTGCAATGACAGCTGGCTCAAACTCGATGAGGATGGTTGTACCATTCTCTGTTGTATGGGCGGAAACGCGTGCGGGCTGGTGCGGGAGTCAAACAAACAAACGACAAACAACAGGCAACAGACAACAAACAAGCAACAACCCAGAGATCAGCAACGAAAACAGTCAAGGGATTGAATTTTGCTCGTGAAAACGTCCAAGGCCTTACAAACATGGCGCCTTCAAGAATGGCTTCCACGACACCAGCGACAAACGCCGCACAGTTGAGTCCGTAGTCCTTCGGTACCGAAATGAACCGATTGACCAGCAGATCTTTATCCGAGATCATATCTGTCAATGGCAGAGAAACAGAGACGATTCTCCATCGTGAGCCAGGTTTCATTCATTGCAAACTCGATGTTGCACATCGCGCGGTTTTCTTCCTGGCCCCCCCCCGCCTTCATACATGTATCGTCATTCTCGGACTGGGCCTTTTCAAGCAAGTCGGCGGGTTTGCCAAACAGCGTCTTCCAAACGACCGAGTTGATAAAGTGGAGAATGTTGATGAGCCTTGTTTCTCGTTTTGCGCCCTTCTCGCGTCCATTGAGCAACTCAAACATGCGAATGCCGACACGTCGACCGATTTCTGACAATCTGTGTCAAGTACAGCATTTAAGTTAGTTCCCAACAGCAGTATTCCGAACAACTATCCAGAAATTGGAATATTCTCATTCAAATGCTCATCTCGTACGCCGCCGCACTCAACCCCACACATCAAACGTGTTATTCTCAACTCTCCAAACCCCCACAAAAACAAACAAACAAAACTCAGACTTGGTTATCGACGTATCGAATTGCCATTGAAAGAGCTTACTTTCGCTCGAGGCCGGTGTTTGACTCGACGCGACCTTGGCAGTACTGAATGATCTCCGAGAACAAGAATGCAAACGCACTGATCGAGACCTGTGCTCCAACAAAGCCAGTGGGCTGCAGAGAGTGAGCGACGCGGATCAACAATTTGTATGGAGTTTGCATTGCGGGGTCGTTCCAGCGCTCAAGTTCCCTCCAACCCAACGCCCCCAACCCCCACCTCCGTCATCCAATACAAAGGGGCGAACACAGATGCTTCCATGCCTCGTTCTTGCCGCGGCTCAGCGGTCGGTCGACAATGTTGAGTGGAACCGACTGCGCGTTCGGCTGCTTGCTCTTTGACATTGTGGTAATGTTCAAAATGGAGGACTGGTTGGTTGGAATAATGCACAATATCATGCTAGTTGTTGATGGGAAGTGAAAGAGAGCGAACGAGAGAGAGAGAACAACGAGATTTGAGTCTATTCGTTCATCGAATTTGAAATCCACAAGCAGTCGAACGTGAGCGCTTCCCCGAAGCTCACTGCAATCAATAGAATCTATCACACAAAATATCCAATGACGCATCTATCCTTGTTTTGAGGCCGATCGGAAACGCAGGGGCGAGCCTGCTTTGTTACGTTGTTACTGCGAATGAACCTTGGCGTAGTAGGCGCGCGTCTCGTACACGAGCGTAATCTTGCCTTCAGCGTCCTTGTACTTTGCGTACAATGCGCGCACAGCGGCAACTGCACCGTCGTAGTTGGGATGCGTCGGAGCCGGGAAGTACGACGACGACTCTTGGCGGCGAAGAAATCCTTCCTCATCAAACGTTTGCGAGTTGGAGCTCTTGAAGCACTTGATCTCGCCCGGGCCAAAGAAAGCAGGCAACCTAAAGAAAAAGAAAGAAAAATCCAAGCACACACACGCATGCATGCATTGGTCAGGACAATAGAGAGTCGCAAAATATTAACAACCAAAAGCGCTCTGAATTCTCGGGCTTGATATGTCAACTCGTCTATTCGCTGGGTCTGATGTGTTTTTGTTGTTCGTGTGAGTGAACAGTGTTCGTTCAACGCTATCGATGCAGCCCAGACACGGCTTATGTAGCGAACGGGTTGCGCGGTTGTTTGCTTCAGTGATCTTAAATCTGAGGATTAGCTGGGTCGCTGGCCAGATCGGACTTGCCAGTCTCTCGGAAAGGTCAGAGAGCAGCACAAGCCCCCCCCCTCCCCACTTCTGCCCCTTGCTCCCCACACACGCACTGTGGCCAAATATCAGAGTTGGGGGCACAGCGTCGACCAGAATCACTCCACGTAGTTCTGTGCAAATTTCCCCCCGACTTACTTGTGCTCTTCCAAGGCGCCGTGGGAGACCTTGGCGTAGTCGACTGCATGCTTCACGAGCAGCTGGTCGAGGTCGGCGTTGAGCGGATTGTTCTCGGTGAAGCGGTGGTTCCAGACTGCAGCGAGGTAGGCGCCGGGCTTTGCAATCCGCAGCAGCTCGGCCCGGGTCTGCGCCGGATCAAACCAGTGCATGGCTTGGAACGCCACAATCAAGTCCGCGGATGCGTCGGGCAGCGTCGTGGCGTGCGCAGAGCCGTCGACAAAGGCGACTCGGCCAGCGGCAGTCTCGTCCGCCAGCGACGCCTCGGCCGCAGCACGCATGTTGGCACTCGGCTCGACGGCAAACAGCTTGGCAATGTTGGCGCTGTTCGAGAGCAGAAGCTTGGCGGAAATGCCCGTTCCGGCACCCAGATCGACAACGACGGCACCCGCCGGCAGGGCGCCAATCGACTCGAGATGACGCACCACCTCGACGGGATACGACGGGCGGTACTTGACGTAGTTGTCGACCTTGGAGGCAAAGCGAGCTGCGTTCGGGATTTCGGACGACATTGGCGAGTGCGGTTGGCTTTTGGATTCAGAAATTGTGACTGAGAAATTGAAAATGGGCGCTGAGAAATTGAAAACGGATTTGACAGCTCGATCAAAAGAGAAGAACCTGTCAACCAACCAAGCATCCGCAAAGCGAGGCAAAGCAAGCAAGCAAGCAAGCAAGCAAGCAAGAAATCACTTTCAACCGATTTGTGGATGTGCCTGACCAGCCTAGCCGAAGCTGGTGCTCCGGCGTTTGGTGTGAATGTACCCTACCGACTCTACGATGGAGTGTAGCAAGGTGTCTCAATGTATTCGAAGCAAGCGGGCAGTTTACATCCGCATGGATTTTACATATTGTCTTTCAATATATCCGACATGAAGCGACTCGAATCGCCCACCGCCCGTACACTTGCTGGGTTGAACGTCAACCGTCCAGCCCTCGCGCATTTGTCGAATGACAGGATGGTTGGCTGGCAGGATTGTCACACGCCAGAGAGTCGAATCGACCAAAGTCGGTTTCGCAGTGCATTCGTATTGAACAGCACCTTGCGTATCTCGGACAATCAATTGAACAACGTACAGCTCTGGGTTCTTGGCACGAACATACTTCATGTCAAGAAGCACTTGCATTGCCTGTACACGGATTGCATTCCCAGTGCTGCTCCTCGGAACTGTGACTTGCAAAAAACGTTCATCGTAAATGTTGCATCGGGTTCTTCGCAGGCCTTGCCAGTAACACGCTTCGTCCATAATGAGATCGGCAATCTCAGTCGGCAGTGCCGGTAGAGATGCAAGCTGATCCTCCAGCTCCCGTCCGCTGGTCAGCAAGCCAAACACGGCCTGAAGCTCGTCAGCAGTCGCCAATCGTGGAAGCAAGGAGGGTACAAGAGGGCTACACTGGTTGCCAATGCTGTACCACGAACAAGCAACATAAGTGAGTATCAGTCAGCAAGGGCCACTCCATCGGTTGAAAGCATGACTTGATAGGACAAACGCCCTACTAAAAATCAGTCAGAGTGGGATTGGACTCGAATGCATCAGCAATCGCTTGAATACCAACATCGCCAATGCAATTCCATGACAGACTGTCGCTCGATCGGTGAGTAGGATGACGGCGTAGCAAGCTATGGCTGATCCTGGTTCAATATCGGAGACGAGCAACCTACTTGAGCCATGCCAGCGTCTTGTTCACTTTGAATGCCTCAGCAAGCGCCTGTGCTCCAGCACTGCCAATCTGATTTTTATCCAGGCTTACCAGATCACCTCCGTCAGAGAGTGTACTGAACACCCTCTATTGAAATCGCCCACGCCCGAGTATCGGTCAAAGTGAGATGCCTTACTCGAGCCTGGTCACTGTCTTGTTCACTTTGAGCGCCTCAGCAATCGCGCTCGCTCCAATATCACTAATCTGATTCCCGCCCAAACTGTTCATTCCTTCCAACAATGAGCACTCGGTCTGCTTTACTACCATACGTCACTCAAAGTGAGATGCCATACTCGACATCGGTCACTGTCGTGTTCACTTTGAATGCCTCAGCAAGCGCCTGTGCTCCAGCACTGCCAATCTGATTTTTATCCAGGCTTACCAGATCACCTCCGTCAGAGAGTGTACTGAACACCCTCTACTGAAATCGCCCACGCCCGAGTATCGGTCAAAGTGAGATGCCTTACTTGAGCCTGGTCACTGTCTTGTTCACCCCGAGCGCCTCAGCAATCGCGCTCGCTCCAATATCACTAATCTGATTCCCGCCCAAACTGTTCATTCCTTCCAACAGTGAGCACTCGGTCTGCTGTACTAACATACGTCACTCAAAGCGAGATGGGTTACACGACTTCGGTCACTGTCTTGTTCACTTTGAGCGCCTCAGCAATCGCGCTCGCTCCGGCATCGCCAATCTGATTATCCCAAATACTGTTCATTCTCTCCGTCGATGAGCACTCGAAAAATGCTCCTAACATGCATCAGTCAAAGTGAGCTGCCGTACGCGATCCAAGTCACTGTCTCGTTCACTTTGAGTGTCTCGGCAAGCGCGCGCGCACCAACTTCGCCAATCTGATTCTGCCAAAGACTGTTCATCCCTCATCATAAGTATTCTGAATACCCTCTGCTGAAATCACCCACTCCCATGCACGAATCAAAGTACGGTGTTTTACTCGACTTGGGTAATTGTCATGTTGACTTTAAGTGCCTCAGCAATCGCCTGCGCTCCAGCATCGCCAACCTGTTCCCCATGTCGACTATCCATTTGGTCAAGACACACGTTGTTATACTCTGCAATACATTCGATTGCTTCTTACCAGAAATAACGAGGTGTATTCTTGACCTTGTCGTACAACTCGCGCTGGCTCGGCGTTATATTTTGATACGACAGCATTTTGGATCTTCTCGTTGAAAATAACTGGAAGCCGCGAACCTAAAAGTAGCTAAATGTCACAACGATCCATTTTCACCGCGGCTGTTTTCAGATTCGTACCTGGCACATATAGGCGAGCAAGATGGTGAAATAATGTTGTGTGCAAACCTGAGTCTCGTTGGACTGGTCCATCAAAGCGCGTCACGTTGACCGGCCATCAATTCTTTCTGCCTGTTATGACCGGAAATATTCGAATTCCCACCAAGGCATGCTGGAATGGATGCAAAAGTATCGCATGCATAAAGTCATTGTGAAGAACGAGGGCGAGTAGGCCAGAGCAGAGAGTCTTGAAAACCCCTTTCCGCTCAAATACTCTCTCTTCTCTCATCGTTTGCAGTGAATGCCAGGACTGCGTACTTGAATCAGCCATCCAACAAACAAACAAAGCAGGCAACAACCCACAACCCAACAAAGCAATCCAGCCAATCGTTGTCTGTTCTTGTGGGGATTGCGATTTGAACCCACCATTTGTTTGTTTTTACCATCAGCAAGGGAGGAAAAAGCCGCTTCTCCACAACATGGACAGCCAAGCGGCAGTCAAAGTGATTGGCGGTTGTCAAGCGTTGGTTTTGTCGACGCGTGGCCGGCGCGTGGCTGTTTGACTTTTTGTTTTTGTTGATCCTTTTGTTTTCGTTTTGTGTTTTTTTTCCTTTTCCTTCCAGTTCACTCTCTCATTCTTTGCAAACAAGTAAAAGCCAACAACAGCATTGCAACACTCAACGCTCGAATGAGAGCGAGTCCATTTGATCTCGTCTCTGATAGCAGGCAATAATCGAGGGAATGACAAACGAAAAACAAGAACAAACAAAAACAAAGTGCGGTTGGGCGCGACACAACACACTCCCGCACAAACTGCCGCAAAAAATGCAGACGGTGCTTTCTTGCCCTCTGCCCCACTTTGGAAAGCGCTCTATAGCTTCAATCAAGCAGGAGAAAGAGCGACGGAGGGGAAGCAAGGAGCAGCAGGCCGGGCAGCAAGCGGAGCCGGGAAACCCAGCAATCGGAGCAGAAACACCAAACCGCTGGTTGGTGCGGGGGTTTGAGCGTTGATGCTGCGGGAGGTCGCGCTCTTTCCTCCCGCTCTCTTGAAGTCGGATTGTTGTCAACCAAACACAGTGGGAAACGATCAACTTGGGGATGGAGAAGGTGGTGGTGGTGGTGGTGGAGGACTGGTTTTGCAGCGTCGGCGTGACTCTTGGGAAAAACCGCATTCAGCGTCTCGGCCGACACACGCCGACACGTTTTTCGCTCTCTCTCTCTCTCTCTCTCTCGCACATCCAAATGATTCGTCCACACACTCACATACACATACACACATATATATTTACTGTCGCTTAGCACGGTGACTTTGCGGACGACTGGTTGTTCAATAGCTGCGTGCTCACCTTTTGGCTCTTGATCAACAGATGACAACAAAGGGGTTTGCCTTTGCCTTGCTGTTTGTGCTGCTGCTCTGCGTGGTCCATCACGTCCAGCCGGCACAAGCCGCCGATGCTTGCACCGTGTGCAGCTGCTCGGGAACTACTGTCAATTGCATTGGCAAGTCTCTCACCGAAATCCCAACCGGCATCCCGTTGTCCACAACATACTTGTACGCGTTGCTGTTGAATTTGGCGTTGAAGCGTGGCCCTTCTCGGTCGCCTCACTGACATCCGGCCGATAGAACTATGACCAGCAACCAAATTACCAGCATTTCTGCAAACGCATTCACAGGCTTGAGCGCGCTGACTTGGCTGTAAGCAAGCAACAAAGTCGTGTTGCAAATCCCGCACCGACGACTCTGACTCGTTTGCGCATCTGTGTCTGCAGGGACCTGACAAGCAACCAGATCACCAGCGTTCCTCCTGCTGCATTCTTCGGCTTGACCAAGGTGATTCAACTGTAAGGAAAGACGTTGAAGATTGCGCACAAAAACAAAAAGCTGACTCGTTTGCGACATGTTTCCGTAGGAGTCTCTTTGGCAACATGATCACCGACATTGCTGCAAACGCATTCACAGGCATGGCTTCGCTGACCATGTTGTAAGCAAGTCAAGACAGGAAGAATCACACACGCAATCAAACAGCTCACTGGTTTTGCGTCACCATCTGTAGGCAGCTGGCTAGCAACCAGCTCACTGCCATTTCTCCAGCCTGGTTTACAGGCCTGAGCAAGTTGACTCACTTGTAAGCAAGCAGCGACACAAAGCATTGAACCCTGCGAGCAAGTGACTCACTCGGTTGCGACACGCGCTCTGTAGGCGACTCGATGCCAACAAGTTCACTAGCATTCCCGTAAACTTATTCGCAGGCCTTTCTGCGGTAAACACCTTGTAAGAAAACATACAAGGACAGGCACTGGTCGTAATCAAGCACCACTGGCTCATTCCTTTGCGCCTCCATTTTGCAGGTATATTGACCACAACCTGATCTCCAGCATTTCCGCAACCGCGTTCGCTGGCCTGTCTGCACTGACTTACCTGTAAGCAAGCAAACCCAAAAGAGTGATGAGCCAAGCACCACCGGTTTTCTCACTCATCCACTATCTGTAGATCCTTGGATTCCAACAAGATCACCAACATTGCGTCCAGCGCATTCACCAGCATGACTGCGCTGTTTTACTTGTAAGCAAACCAAGCAGCCATTCGGCACGGATGTTAGATTTGCCTCTCACTTTGTGGCCCTTGCAGGAGTTTGAATGGCAATCCCTTCACCACTTTGCCGCCGGGGCTGTTTAAGGGCCTGAAGAACGGCTTGATTTTGTCGTCATACTACTGGACCTATCTGAGCCCCAACAACCTGACCTTCGGTGGAAACACTGTCGCTCCGCCCAGCATGTACGGCACCGCATCCCAGCCATACCGTAAGTTTGAGAGGTGGTTGCCGTCCCCACCCCTCCTTGCATGATTCCTTCTTGCTGATATGTTTTCGCTGCAGAGTGCGATACAACCTGCGCGACCTGCTATGCCTCTGGGTCCAGCGCGTGTTGCGGGACCAATTGTCTGACCTGCACCTCGTCCAATAGCTGCACTCAGTGCTACGACGGCTATAACATGATGGTCGGCTACTGCCTCGCATCGGCTGCCACCAACGCATCTATTGCTTCGGCTGCCTCCATGGCTTCAAACGCAATCACGCAATCTGCCTCAGCTGCATCGGCTGCCTCGGCTGCCTCGACCGTCTCTGCATCGCTTGCGTCAGCCGCCTCGACCTTGCCTGCTTCGCTCGCCTCGGTTGCCTCGGCCGCCTCAACCGTCTCTGCATCGATCGCGTCGGTCGCCTCAGCCGTGTCTGCTTCGCTCGCATCGGTCGCTTCAATCGCATCGTCGCAGTCTGCATCGATCGCGTCAGTCGCCTCAATCGCATCGTCGCAGTCTGCATCAATCGCGTCGGCTGCCTCTATCGCATCGTCGCAATCTGCATCGGTTGCCTCAGCTGCTACGGCTGCCTCGGATGCCTCAACTGCCGCCGCCTCGGTTGCTTCTGAAGTTTCCGCCACCTCGGCGTCGGTTGCTTCCCTCGCCGCTGCATCGACTGCTTCGATGGCATCTGCTGCAGGCGCCTCATCCGCATCTCTGGCTTCCGACGTGTCCGCTACATTGGCATCCTTTGCTTCTCTCGCTACTGCGTCTTCAGCGTCAATCGCATCGCAAGTCGCCGCGTCTGTCGCTTCTGATGTTTCTGCTACCTCGGCGTCCTCTGCCTCCGTCGCGGCCGCCTCTTCTGCTTCGATTGCATCTGCTGCACTCGCCTCTTCCGCATCTGTCGCTTCCGATGTTTCTGCCACCTCGGCGCTCTCAGCATCCGGTGCTTCCCTTGCTGTTGCGTCTTCGGCTTCAGGTGCATCTGCTGCAAGCGCCTCATCCGCTTCTTTCGCTTCCGATGCTTCTGCTGTCTCGGAGGTCTCAGCATCCAGTGCTTCCGTCAATGCTGCATCCTCCGCCTCTCTCGCTTCGGCATCATCTGCTTCATTTGCATCACAAGCGTCTGTATCAATTGCCAGTGCTGCATCTGTCTGGCAGACATCGGCTGATTCTGCTGCTTCTGCTGCATCTGCTGCTTCCAGTGCTCCAAACGAGTCAAGTAGTGCAACTTCTGCGGCTTTGATTGGCGGAGTGGTTGGTGGCGCCGCCGCTGCTCTCCTCTTGTTGCTTGTGCTGTTGGTGGTCCTTCGGCGTCGTCGCTCACCAAAGACATCGGCACACACCAACACGGCCACCAAGCTACGTGAATCGACATCAGACCCGACGTACGAGTCTGTTCATCACGACACTGTGGGAATTCTCGACAACCCGACCTACGAAACGTTCAACCATCCGTTGTACGAACCGATCGGCTCCACGACCCAGGGCCCCGTGCTGTATGTCACAGACGCGTCTGCATCCAGTGAAGCGCAAGCATCAGGCAGCGGTGTCGAGTACGCCAATCCCAAAGAATAGTCTGTTTTTGTGTGATCAAACCCGAAACGCGGCGATTGATGCCGCACCTTCGTTCCAGCAGACGGCGTGTCTGTTGTTTGTTGTTGTTTGCCATGTTGTTCGAATGCTTTTCTAGATGCTTTTGCCTCCCCTTGCATGCCTCTCTTCCGCTATGTCATCCTCGTGAATTCTCGCTTGGATTTTGTTTTGTGTTTTCAATGTACAATTCAACTGAAGGCTCCAAAGTGCTGCCACGAGCGCTTTCACTTGAACCCTTCCACATTGTCTCTCGTGCCCATTGCATGGTCGTCAAATCCGCCAAGTGCATGCCGCATCAGATCTTTGATTCTCAACAAAATCCAATCCCATTCAATTCAGTTCAGTCTTTTTCGCTTCCAATCTCGTTTTCCATACGATGAGTGCGCGCGACTTTGTGACTGCGCTTCTGGTCGCCGCCGAGCGAGCTGCGCGCCTTGCTCGCGAATGCCGTGCCAATGCGTCGCTGTTTGCGCTGCTGATCGAGGAGAAGAAGGCCGACGCTGCCAACAAGCGATTTGCGCAGGATTTCAAGACGCTCGCTGACGTGCTCATCCAGGAGGCAGTCCGCCACGAGCTTGCGCTCACGTAAAGCCTGAAAACAAGAGCGAACACCAGAGGGGGAAGGATTGCCTGTTGCCGTCGTTTGGGGTACAGAGCAAAGGGTTTGGTTGGTTGGTGGAGGGAGTGGTTGGAGATTGTTGAAAAAAAAAATCTCAGAAATCGAAAAAATCATTGTACTGTTATTATCATAACAAGCAAAAGATAGAATAGCGATGAACGATTGTAGACCCAGTTTTGAGTGATCAGGCTATGCTTTGAACGCTGGAACATTTTACAATCTCAGATTCTACAAATCTCGTCAAAACAATGCGCTGTTGTGCCTCACTCACATACATCTCCTTTTTTAAACTCGTCTCCTTCGTTTGACAGATTCCCGGCAATCAAAGAGCACGTTCAAGGCGAGGAAAACAACACATTCACAAACACGCTGGGTGAAAAGGTCGTGCTCGAAGTCCAGGCGACCCAGGAAGCGACCCAAGCTCTGCTGCTGCGCGTGCTCGACGGGAATGTCGATGCTGCTGCGGCGCTTGCAAGTATTGTGCACCAAAAGATTGAGCTGAGCGACTTTGATGTCGACGGACTGCTGGCTCAATCGTTCGCGGCTTCGCATGCCGGCGCTGCTTTTGAGACGGCGACCATCGATGCTTCTACACTGGGCATCTGGATTGATCCAATCGATGGCACAAACGAGTACATTCGTGGAGCGCTGGTGGAGCCGCAAGGCGGCATCTTCTCGGAGGGCCTGCCAACGAGCGTGGTGCTGATTGGCGCCTTTGAGCGCGCCAGTGGGTTGCCTGTTGCAGGCGCCATGTGCCAGCCATTCTACCCGGCGCCTGGAACGAGCATCACTGCCGGAAAGTTTGTCAGCCGACACTTGTGGGGCATTTGCACCGCTTCCGTCACCGCTTCCAACGCCAAGGAGTTGATTGCGCAAAACCACCGCCTGCACCGTAGCCACACCGCTGACGGATCTCTCGTCCCGGTTGTTACCATGAGTGGGAGCGAGTCGGACGCGATCAAGGCCGTTGCTGCCAGCCGTGGCATCCAAATCCGCGCCACGTCTGGCGCTGGCTACAAGATGCTGACTGTGGTCGAGGGCGTTGCCGACGCGTACTTTCTCTCGAAGGGTTCCACCTACAAGTGGGACAGCTGTGCCCCACACGCCATTCTTCGGTCGCTCGGCCGTCAGGGTGCAGTGTTCCGTCGCCCCGCTGCTGCTGCCCCGACTGAGGCTCGCGAAGTTCTCTACCAGGCCATGGACAACCCGGCCATCCATTCCTGGGCCAATTCCGACGGTGTTCTTGCTGCCGACTCGCGCGCCGCCCACGACACGTACGCGTTCTTTTGGTCGGTGTAATGACAAAATGTTTAGACATCATGGAAGTTGAAATGCAAAACAAGAATAAAAAATGACTTTAGTGTACAAACATGATAAAATGACATTCTCGTCATGTCCATCTGATTTGAGTTATTGGGGCTGCTGCTGCTGCTGCTGCTGCTGCGAATGGGGCTGCTGCTGCGAAGGGGGCTGGATTGGCGCGGGAGGCGACGACGCAGGACTAACAACGTCCACAACCATGGCCGCCATCTGCAGACGCTTGCTCGGATCCTTTTGCGTATTGAGATACTCGGTATAGGCTGCACGCTTGGCTTGAGATCGCTGTCGCTTTCGATGCGCGTTGGATTCAATGTGACTCTTCCACGCGTCCGCGCCGTACAAATCGCGCTGGCACAGCTTGCACACGTGCTTGACCATTTCGACAGGCTGGTAGGGCGATGACGGTATCGTCGTCTTGGCGAGCTCGAGACGGTGCTGGCGTCGCGAAGCCAGAATGGGGTCGGGCAATTCTGCGCGCGGCTGAAGCAGTGCCTCGACAATCCTCGAAGCCGGTTGCAAAGCAGTCTCGTCCCACTTGGACACGTCTGTGCTATCAACAACATAGACTCGGAATGCGGCCTTCAGGGCTTCTGACGACTCGGGCCAACAACGGCCAGCTTCATTGGACGGCGGCAAATCTGAGGCCTCTTGCACGGGTGCGGCCGCGAACGGCGACGTCCAATTGTACGGCAAGAGTCGTCGGGTAATCCAAGATATTTGCTTGTGCGAGTACTTGCGCGTGGCCCGTTTCATTTCGGCCAATGCGTCGTCCAACTGCTGTTGCTGGCTGGAGACTGCCGACGCGCCGCGGCTTCCACTCAACGTGCGCGATCGCTTGATCTGCGGAGCGCCGTCGTTGGCCGACCATGTGTCTGGCGAATCGCCTTTTCGACGTGCTCGCGAAGTGCCATCAGCCTGGTCGGCCGCCGCGAGCGCGGGAGGCTGTTCGGGGTTGCTCCTGCTTCTGCTGCTGCTGTTCGAGGAAGAAGCGGCCTGCAGCCACTCGGACTTGAATAAATCATCAAACTCTTTAAAGCCAATCGCTTGAAGAATCCCCTTGGCAAAGTTCATCTGAGCAAATGCCTGGCCGTCAGGCGCAGGGTAGCGCTGATGCCAGGCACGGAAGAAGCCGCGGAGTTCGTCCATCAGGCCCTGCGATACCATGTCCACGACTCGGTTGTCCAGTCGCTCGTCGAGCACGGACTGCTCGCAGTCAATCCAGATCATTGCGGTGCGGGCAAACCGTGGAGGAGGCCGCGACCCTGGCATCACAGCGGCAGCGGCAGTTTCCGCAGGCTGCTGGTCGGAATCCTCGTCACTCCCATCGTCGCTCCGGACAGCTGCTTCATTTTCGCCACCAGCGTTACCGTCCGAGGAAGAGGCAGTCAGGGCGTCAACCCCTCCAGTCGCAAGCGATTGCACAACGTTGTGCTGCGACTTGAGAATGTCGCTGTGCTTTTGTCCATACTGGTGAAACACCTCAATGCTTCGGCGCACTTTGCGCGCCGAGTTTGGATGGAGCCGACTGGCCATGACGGGATCGATGCGCTGGAGCTCGGCATAGAGCGCTGCTGGACTCTCTTCGTCCAGATTCGGAAGCAGCTTTTGCAAGTCGGCGGCCGAGTCGTGCATCCGGCGCCAGCCAGCCTCGACGCCCGGCACTTCGTCCAGCAGCACCTTCCACAGCAGAGCCTCAATGTAATAGTTTGTACCGCCGACGATCACCGGCAGCTTTCCCCGTGCATGCACCTGCGCAATCGCGGCGAGCGCTTCATCGCGGAATCGCACGACGGTGTAGCTTTCGTCGAACGGGTCGACATGCGCCAGTAGATGGTGCACTGCACGCTCTTGCTCTTCCAATGTGACCCGGTTGGTTGCGATTGGCAGTGCATTGTATATCTGCATGGAATCTGCGCTGATCACTTCGCCATTGAAGCGCTCTGCGAGCTCGATGGCAAGCTTGGACTTTCCGACGCCGGTGCAGCCAACAATGGCAAGTACCGGCGCATTGATCAACACTGGGGATGCTTGAGGTGCGACTTGGGCGACTTGATCTTGGTCCACATGTGCCACTACTGTGGGCGGAGGAGGCGGCGGGGGATGGGTGGCGGCGGAACTCGAGCTCATCCTCCCGCGCAGAGCCAGACTTGACGATGACGGGAGCAAGTGCGCTGACGACGGCCTGTGATGGGGCGGTTTGAGCGGCTGGGGCGAGACTGGGCGGAGCGTGAAGCGATGACGCACGACTGGCACGACTCGGCTTGCAATGGCGGGTGCTGGGGCTGGGACTCGGCTTGCAATCAGTGCAGAGTGCAGATGCAGATGCAGATGCGGCGGCGGGGGCGGCAGCGGCGGCAGCAGCAGCAACGAGCGAGGCAGAGCAGAGAGAGCGAGGCAGCTCAGAAAAGACCGCGTGGTTGAGCTGTCAAAATCAATAAAACTCAGAACTGAACCCGCTACCATATGAGGAAACGAACGAAAAAACAAAATTGTATTTTCACTTCAATTGGAAACAACAAAAATCAAACGAAACACAATACAACAACGAAATACTGGTACAAGATCGCTCTTTTGACCATCGACAGCCACTCTGGAGCGCAACAAGACGACATCAGCAAAACACAACCCAACGTTGTCATGTTGAGAGCAGGCGTCCCGCTTTTTTAGAGCAGGCGCTGAATGACGAGCGAAAGATCGCCGTTGCACTCCTCGAGCAGGCCAATGTTCCGGTCCACATCGTCAAAGCCAATCTCAGAGAGACGGATGAGCTCGTGCGACCACTTGTGGATGCGCGCGTCAACACCTTCCGCCGAGGCTTCGCGAGCAATCAGGGCCAAAGCGGGCGCTACGGTCGAAACGCCTTCCACGGACGAGCGTGATCGATAGAATGTCTCCATCTCTTGTGGCGGAGCGGTCGCCTCGCGCCCATAGACAGAGTCAGGGCGGGCAAGGGATTCTTCGCCTTGCGCAGCAACCTGCTCGTTGGTGTTGTTCATGTTCTTGCTAGTGCGGCTGGAATCAGCGTCGGCGTCATTGCGAGGTGCCTGCGCCAGCGCTTCCACTGCAGCCGAGGCAGAGTTGTCGTTGTTGCTGCTCGAAGCCTCGTCGCTCGCAGATTCTGCCGGTGCAGCAGCAGATGCAGAAGAGTCGTCGTGCCGCTCGAGAACCTCGGCGATCGCCTCCTTGATTGCGTTAAACTGGCGCTCGGTGAAATCGCCAAAGTCCTTCAAGGCTTCCAAGATTGCCGCAGCCACGGCGGCTGCCTTGGGCTTGATGTCTTGCTTGAGCTGGTCCTTGAGTTGCTTGAGCTCGACAAGCGTCTCCTTTAGTGCCTCCTTGGCGCTGTCCTTGGATTCGCCGCAGCGACGCACAAAGTCGCTTCGCTTAAAATCGTCAAACTTGGCCTGCATCTGGTCCAACGGGCTGGGAGAGGGAGGCGCAGGCGGGGAGCAAGAAGTTGAGGCCGAGCAAGCGCTCGCAGTCTCGACAGGGACGGGGCGCGCAGCGCTGGAGCTGCAGGTTGCTCGGTCTTGCAAAATCACTCGCGCGGTGGGATCGAGCCGTGCACACACGGCACTGTCGGCAACGGAGCGACAATGTCAGCAACGACGACGGGCAATGTCACTTGCTCCTCCTGAGCCTCGGCCGGGGCCTGGGCGTTGCAGTTGAACACGGGTTCGTCGTCCAGCACAACCAGCGGAGAGTCTTCTTCAGCAGCAGCAGCAGCAGCAGCAACAGCAGCAACAGCAGCAGCGGCCAGAGCGGGGGAAGCGTCTTCATTCCTGTCTTGTTGTACTTGCTCGTTTGCAGCGATGGCCGCGGGTGACTCTGCCACGTTCGCTCGCGAGGGTGCGACAAACATGTAGTCGTCGTCCTCGGACGAATTCAACAGAATCTCTGCATAGCGTTGCTGCGCGTCTTGGGGAAGCGGTGGCCACGCGGATGGTTCGGATGCTGCAAGTGACACAAAAAGCCCATAACGGTGGTGGTGAGGGGTGAGGGGAGATGTGAGTTGACACGTAAAAAAACAAACAAAAACAGCACATCGAGCAAAAACATTTCGGTGTCAAACCTCCTCGCCTCTCTTCCCACGCCCACCTCAAAAAATAAACGTTTCCCCAAAAAAGAGGCATCCCTACCGTTGACAACAAGCTGGAGAACGTGGTCGCGGGGGTGCAGACCGTGCAATTTGGCTTCCTGCCAATCCTCCTCGCACGCCAGCGTGATGAGATCGCCGTCCTAATCAAAACATCAAGAAGGAGCAACGAAGAAAGCCCAGTGAGAATTGGGGATGGTCCAGTCCAGGCGCACGACAGTATCACAGCAAAAACTCCAACATCAACGCTACAATCTCAGCAACTCTGCGTTTTTTTTTTTTTTTTTTGTTTGTTTGAATCGCAGTGCGAAATCGAAAAGCCTTACCACGTCCAGATACTTGAGCAGGGAGGGCGACGGGAGCAACGCAAAGTCCTCGGACGACGACGACGACGACGATGCCGAGACTGGCGCATCATCATCAGCAAATGCATCCGTGGTGGAGCGAGCGCGGGTTGTTGGAGTGGTCGTCGCGTCAGCATGCTTGAGAATGCCGAGCAGCGTCTCGAGCGTCACGTCGTCGCTCAGCGCGAGCATCCGCGGCTCAGACGACGCCTGGGGCTGAGACTGCAGTTGTTGCAGCTGGACCTGGGTGGGGTCGTCGTCAGTCGGCGAGAACTGCACCAATGATACACACACACACAGCAAGACGTTAGAACACCAAAACGAGCGGCCAAAACGCCGACAGTGCCCGTAAACCCGACTTTTCCCACTTCCATCCCAGCACACTCTTCAAATTCGAGAACAGGGATGTAAACGAGTGCAATGATGGAAATTAAGATAAAGTCATTCAAAAAGCAGAGGGTGGAATAAGAAGAAGAACCAAAAGTCCTCAAAAAAACACAGGTGGCGCAGTGATGACGGAAGACTCGCGACTTTGACTTCGAGAACAGCGAAACGCTCGCTGCAGCTTTCAACACGAGGCTTGTTTTGAATGGTTGCGCAGATGATGAAGAAGAAAGGGTTGAAAAGCGACATGATCGTAGAAATGAAGTGATGGAAGACGAAATGGAGAAAGAAGAGGGGAAAAAAGCCGGCAAAAGAGCAAGGAAAAAACAGCCAAGACAAAGAAAAAAAAAAAAAAAACCGTACTTGAACGCGAATGAAAAGCATGTTTGGAAGACTGAAACAAAAAAAAAAAGAGTGAGTGAATGGGAATCGCATGGAAGTGGAATCATGATAGAAAAATGACCAGAGGCGAATTTTGAGTGAAGAATTGGAAGGAGAGAGAGAGAGAGAGAGAGAGAGAGGGAAAGAGCGACAACTATTGCAGATGGACGATTGCAGTGAAACTGAACGATTCTGAATTGGAGGCAGGCTGTATGCAAAACAAAAAGGAAAAACGAATAATGGAAAACCACGAGACCGCGAATTACCGACCGGCGGAGGCGAGCAGAGCGTTGGCGCAGTTGCGACCAGCAGCTCCCATCACACCGCCACCTTGCATCGGGAATTAGAAAGTTGACAGACACAGTCAGAACCAAGACAAGGACACTACAACGCTAACAGCAAAACAAACACTCACCGGGATGGGCGCCGCTCCCACAGAGGAAGAGCCCTTGAATGGGCGTCTTGTGCGAGGCACTCTGGCGCGTGGGGCGCACAAAGTACAGCTGGTCCAGCGCCATGGCACCGTGGAAAATGTTCTACATTCAACCAAAAAAAACCAAAAAGAGTTTCACCAGTCAGGCAACGCGTGCTTGATCATGCCAACTCGCTTTCGAATTGACTGGAACTTACTCCACCCGTCAGCCCGAACACGCGCTCCAAATCCATCGGAGTGAGAATATCATAGCCAAGGACGGATGCTTTGAAGCCTGGAGCGTATGAATCAATCAACGTAAAGACTGGTGTAGGACAAAGGGTAGAGCAGCAACAAATTTTCCACAAATTTTTGGTCAGCTCAAAGCTCAAACCAGGCCGCAAACACCCCCTCACTGGAACGTACTCTTTTCAGCATAGGCCTCGCGCGTTCCAGGTACGTCCCAGTCACCCTTGGCCAGCTTGTACGGCGTGTACTGCGTAAAGAGTGAGACGACGTGTTTTCCTTCGGGCGCCAGGGTCTTGTCGAGCACGGAAGGCAAGCACATCTCAATCACAGGCCTACACAAGACACAGCCCAGTTGAGCGATTAGGAAACAAAAAAAACCGAGCATGCCATCAAAAGCGCGGCAGCCAACCCACGCAAAGATTACGAAAAAACCAAATCCAACAAAAAACAACGTACATCTCGGAGGCTTTTCCACGGTACTTGGCATCAACGAACGCTTCATCAATCTCCTGAATGGTCTCGCAGCCAAGATGGATGGTGGTCTGGTGATGGGGCCCGGCCACGTTCTTGCCCTTGTTCGGAAGAGCTGTAAAGTTGGGCAGCTCCGAGATGGCGACGTTGATCTTGGTTACAGGCGACGCGTAGTCAATGGTCGAGACATCCCGCACAAACGCGTCGGGCAAGGCGCTGCGCTTGATCAGGTCGAGGAAGGTCACCTTGGGTGTGGCGTTGGAGAGAACGTATTTGGCTTCAATCATCGTGCCGTCCTGCAGCTTCACGCCCTTGACGCGATTGGCGCTCTCGTCGACCACGATGGAGGACACGGTGGCGTTGGTTTGCAAGGTCACGCCGGCAGCCCGCGCTGCAGAGGCAATGGCGCTCGACACGCCGCCCATGCCACCTTCGGCATAGCCCCAGGCGCCGCGGACGCCCTCGACGCCGCCCATGACGTGATGGAAGAGCACATAGCCGCTGCCTGGAGTGTGGGGGCTAACCATGGCTCCAATGACTGCATCCGTCGCGAGGGTGGTCTTGAGCGGCTCGGACTCAAACCAGCGATCCAGAATCTTGGAAGCAGGTGCGGTGAGAATCTGATAGAATTCCTGCATATGGGGCAGCAGACCGACGGCAGTTTTGGCCAGAGCTTGCACTTGCGACCACGACGAAAGCGACGAGCGCCCCGAGAATGGGATGCTGTCGAGCAGCGGGTCGATGGCGGTGGCTGCCAGGTTCAAAAAGTTCAACAAAATGTCCAAAGTGAGCGATTTCAACGAGGCCTCCTGCGACGTTGAAAGTTGCAATGCTGCTGCACTACTCACCCATGCGATCGAGCGCTTGCTCGTACTTGGGATACGCCTCGGCGTCCTTTGCCGAGAATTTGGAGATTTGCTCGTGGTTCAGCTTGTGATCGGAGCCCATCAGCAGGTAGCGCCCATCGCGGAGAGGCGAAAACGAGCTTGGGTTGCGCATGTGCACCTTGAGGCCATGTTGCTTGAGCTTGAGATCCTCAATCACCACCGGGCGTAGCAGTGAAAGCAGATACGAGGCTCTTGAGAACTTGAAACCTGGCAAAAACAACAACAACAAAAATACATGTTGTGAGCGAACAGTGTGGTTTTTGGAGCGATGAGGTTGATCATGATGGCCAATCATCACGATGATGGTCACTCTAGTGACAATTCTGAGTGCGATTGTCTCCACATATACTCAGAGACTGATTCATCCCCAAATCTCTCAGAAATCACAAATCATGAGGAGAAGCGAGGTCTGACCCACCTGGGACAATTTCCTCCGTGATTGCAGCACCGCCCAGGACGTGTCGCCGCTCCAGCACGAGGACCTTCATGCCTGCCTTGGCGAGGTACGCGGCAGAGACGAGTCCGTTGTGCCCGCCGCCGACAATCACCGCGTCGAACTTGGACGCAGCAGTAATCCCCGCGCCAACCGCAGCATTGGACTGCGGAAGTTTGCCTGCGCTTGAGCTTGATGGCGAGGTTGGCGAGGCTGATGCGGCTGGCGAGGCGGACGTCGTGATCGGGCGGCTGAAGAGTCGTGGCGGCGCGTCGGACAATCCCTTGCCCACAGTGCTCCCGCTGCAGGCGCTCTGGCTCGGTGGAATCGAGTGTGCAGACGGCGCGAGCGTCGACTGGACGAGCGGGCGGGCGGCTGCGGCGAGCAATCCGCGGTGCTGTTGGGACAATCGTGATCCAGCGAGTCGGAGCATTATAGATTGCTGAACAAAAAAGAAAGGAAGACTGGGATTTCGTAGGAGAGGAACAAAAACTTGCATGCTGATATATTCAGTGTGGGGGGATCAAGCATAACAAAAAAAAAAAAACAGCAGGGGATGGGGGAAAATGGAGATAAAATCAAAATGGCAGCACAACACAAAAGCAAACACCAAACAGAACAGACAAGACCAGTCTTACACTGGCTGGCACAACTCACACACACACGCACACGCGCACACAAGATGCACGCTGTGACATTTCACCGCTCGGCGGCGGACGCAGTCGGAGGAAGGGCCTTGGCTGGCAGTGGATTCTGCTCGTGCCAGTGGTAGGCCGCCTTGAGAGCCTCGGTCAGCGAGTCAATCAGAATAGGCTTGGTCATGTACCAATCCATGCCGCTGTCCAGGCACGCGACGCGGTATTCAGCAGTGGCGTTGGCTGTTTGGGCAATGATGAACGGCCGAATGTGGTTTGGCAGCTGCTGGGACCGAATGACACGCGTGCACTCCAGGCCGTCAATGTCGTCCATGGACGCATCCATGAGAATGCACTGGTACTCAAACTCGCGGCCGCGAGCCGTCTCTCGCGCGAGCGCGTGAAGAACAGCCCGGCCGTTTTCGGCAACCTGGATCTCATACCCTAGCTTGCGCATTAGCATGACGAGCACGCGCTGGTTGATGACGTTGTCTTCTGCCAGCAAAATGCGAAGCGGAAAGTTGGGAGCGATGGGCGTGAGCCGTGGCGTCGTGGTTCGCTCCGAGCAGGGCATGGCCTTCGGGTCGACAACGGTAGCCTTGGGCGATGGAGCCGTTGCGACTGGCTTGGCGGGCACTTCGGTGACTTGAGGCATCAATGACGAAGATCGGCGAGTTGCGAGTGCGACTGGGAGCGGTTGGGCCAAGAGCGAGCACAGGGTGCGAACCAGCTCGGTCATTCGCAGGGGACTCTGCAAGCTGCGCTGGTGACTTGCCGAGCGCCACTCGATCGTCCGGGCGCTGTCGCTGGCGGCGGCGTGCTCGGGAGTGCCGGAATGACCGTTGCTCGACGGTTGATCGGCGCCAGTTAGACTCGGCCGACGAACCTTCTCTTCGACAAGAACCAGCTGATGCGATGCGATCGACAGCAAACGCACAGGACCCACCTCACAGAGCGCGTTGAGGAGAGTCGACTCCATGACTCGGAGAGTGTCGAGATCAGCAAGGAAGATGTCAATGGTGGATGCCTTGGCCGTGTCGTAATCTGAGAAGAAGGTGTCGAACGAACTCGCCACTTGGACGTTGATTTGATACGCCGAAAGCAGCTCGAGCCAGAGAGCAGTGGAGACTGTGACTGCGCCCAGGAAGACACATTTCTTGTTTGCAAGCAGGTTGCGTTGAGCGATGGTGAGCTGGTAACCATCCAGATCTGGACGGTCAAGGTTGGGATGGGACACCCGGTGACTGGCACCATTCGCTAAGGCCGGCGGTGCTTCGGGTGATGATGCTGTGGTGGGAGGAGTGGGTGTGGTGGGAAGCTCTTGGATCGGCGAAGGGCGACAGAGCGACGTAAAGGAAAAGGTCGAGCCAACGCCCTCGGTGCTCTCGACATCCAGCTTTTCTCCGCCAAGAGCACGGACCAGGCGAGAGCAAATCACCAGCCCGAGGCCTGTGCCGCCGAGCTCGCCGCGGCTGTGATGGACTTGGCTGAATGGCTGGAACAAGGTGGCGAGCTGAGCCGGCGAGATGCCAATTCCGGTATCTTTGACGCTGACACGGAGTTTAAACCGCGGCGAGTCGCTGGATGCGGCTGCTGGTGACGCTGCGGCCTGGGCGTCTGTTGGCGGCGCCAGCGAGTTGTTGCTGTTGTTGTCGCTGTTGCTGTTGCTGTTGCTGTTGTCGTTGGTGACCTCGGCGGTGGTACTGCTGGTGGATGTGACCCATTCGCCAGTGACACGAAGCTCGACATGGCCGCGACGCGTAAACTTGATCGCATTGGTCAGGACGTTGAGAAGAACCTGCTGGAATCGCACGCGGTCGAGCATGAGGCTGTTGGGGACCTTTGGATCGACAAACAGGCCAAAGGCAAGGCCTCGCTCGTTGGCCATGTTCTGCGTGAGCATTGCCGCGGTTTCAATGACCTCGATGGGGCTGGACGGGACTTCGTCCAGCTTGACGAGGCCGTCGTTGGCTTGCATGGCGGCAAAGTCGAGCACATCGTCGACAATCGTCAGGAGCATGCGCCCGCTGGTCTGGATCATGGAGACGTACTGCTGCTGCTCGAGCGTCAGGCTCGTGTTTGAAATGAGGCGCTCGAGCCCGAGAATGGCGTTCATCGGCGTGCGAATCTCGTGCGACATGCTGGCCAAAAAGGTCTCGCGAGCCTGCAGCGCCTGCTCCTTGAGCCTGTTTGCCTTGTCGAGCTCCTGCTGCATTTCAATCAGGTCAATCAAGCGCCGTCGCGACTCGAGTGCCGCAATGACCTGCTTTGCCAGCAGCGACATTGCCTTCAATGTGGCGTCGCTGAGCGTCCTGGGCTTGTAGTCGACGACGCACAGCGCTCCGACGGCCTGCTCTGTGCGCGGGTCGATGATGGGGACGCCCAGGTAGAACTCCATGCCGCCACTGCAATGCACGAGCGGGTTGCCCTCCATCACTGCGGCTGCGGAGAGCGACGGGAACAAGGTTGGCGGTTTGCGGCGGATTGCCTGGTCGCAGATGGAGATGCTGCGCGGCGTTCCCGAGCCGCCAATGCCGTACGCGGCCTTAAAGTAGGTCGACTCCTCGCCGACAAAGTTGATGACTGCGACGGGGCAGGCGCAGAGGTCTGCCGCGAGCGAGACAATGTCGTCATACTGCTCTTCACGCCCGCTGTCCATGACGCGGTACGACCACAGCGACGCCAGCCGCTGCGTCTCGTTCGTCCCCGTCGGCGACACGTGCATCGGCGTCCCTCGGAAGCGCTCCAGCAGCAGCGCGCGGTCGGTCAGTCCTGCCGCTGGCGTTGTAACGAGCTCTTGTTCCATGATTCAGACTTTGTTCTTTTTGTTCGTTCGTGTCTTATAAAACCGCTGCCCCTTCGTTTTCGCTTTTCGTTTCGCCTTTCGTTTCGCTTTTCTTTCTTTTGTTCAACAACTCAACAAATAAGCAAAAAACTTTTTTTAACTTTTGTTGTTGATGTTCGTCAAAAAGTTGAGCTGTTTTTTTGTTTGTTGAAAGGAAGGAAAAAGAAAAAAAAAAAAAAAAAAAAAAAAAGTGTTGTCAATGAAAAATTCAAACAAAAATACAATAAAATAAAAAGTCGCGAGATTTTTTTAAAGACTGAAAGTTTGAGTTTTTTAGGTTTCTTTGGTTTTTTTGTTTTTGAAGCTCGAAATCGTGAAACGTTGACAAAGTTGTGAGAATGAGAATCAGAAATGAAAATGCATTGCTTTTTGGCGATGCAAAAAAAGGACGAAAAAGACGAGTGGAATTGAGTGAAGTGCGTTGGAGGGGAAAATCGGATGGGATCGGATTGGGAAGGGAAATCGGGGGAAATGAAATGGGAATCGGCGAAGAGAATGATTCATTGCAAAAAAACCAAAGGGAAGAAAAGAACGACATTGGAAAGGATGGACGAGAAGCGATATTGTATTGTAAGGGTTGATTGGGAGAGCTGAAGAGGGGCAACCGGAACATGGATGTGGAAGAAAAAAACTGGAAGGAGAATGATTCATTGCAAAAAACCAAAGGGAAGAAAAGAGCGACATTGGAAAGGATGGACGAGAAGCGATGATAAAGTGAGAGTGTGTTGCATTGGGAGTGTAAGGGTGTATTGGGAGAGCTGAACATGGATGTGGAAGAAAAGCTGGAAGGAGCGGCGGGAAAGCAAAAAAGGCTGAAGAATGAAGCCGATGAGAACGTGACCCGGAACAGGGCGCCCTTTTGTACTGTACTGTATTGGATTGTATTGTATACATTGTATTGTATTGTATTGTATTGTATTGTATTGTATTGTATACATTGTATTGTATTGTATTGTATTGTTTTGTAGTGCTGGAATAAAGCTCATGCGAAATGTTGCTGATACTTTTTGCAGCTGCTGCTTTCCACACAACTGGACACGAGAGCAGACTACCAGGTTTATTTGCGTTGATAAAGTTGGATGTTAGTTTTGCAGGAAAGAAACAGACAAATGACGTACTGTCCGCTGTATTAGTGAGGGCGAACGGCTTCAGATTTGTCCTTGCTGACAGATCGTTTGAGCTCCAAGCCGCTGCTGGAGGCAGAAATGTCACTTGGCAGATGGCTGGCCTGCGCCGAAGCGTAGCTTCGCTTGGAAGCAGGCGTGTTGACAATCTTCTTGATGTGCTGCGAGATGAGGTTGATGGCAACCAGGTTGTCAGCGCCACGAGGAATGATGACATCGGCGTACTTTTTCGTCTGCAGCAGGCCAAACAAAAATACGAAACCCACAAAATCAGATCCACACACACACGCACAAAAAAAAAAAAAAAAAAAAATCAGCAAACCAAAACTACAGGCCCCTAAAAACCCCAAACGCCGCACATCGCACAACCAAGCACGCAGATGGAGAGACGGAGAGAAAAAAAACAACTGACTGGCAAAATGTACTCGTCGAAGGCCGGCTTCACGAAAGCTAGGTATTGTCGCAACACTGATTCCACCTGTCGGTTCCGCTCGGCAATATCGCGCAAAACACGTCGAGAAAGTCGCGTGTCTGCATCCGTGTCGACAAACAATTTCATGTGCAAGAGCTTGCGCAGCTGCTCAGAATACAGCACGAGAATGCCCTCAAACAGGACGACGTCTGGCTTGTCCAGCAGGATTGTTTCCTTCTCTCTGTATGGAGAGGGTGAGAACGACAATAGCAAGGGTGAATGTCAGTGTGTGTTTCTAGCAATGATCTTGCAGCGGTTCTGGTCGACAAAGGTTGTGCTTTTTACCGTGAATGGGTCTTAAAGTTGTAAATTGGAATCTCGGCAGGTTGGCCCGATGTCAGCTTGTCCAGCGTTGAGACGATGAGTTCATAGTCGAATGCGTCTGATGACGTGACCACGTATCATGTTCAACAGCAGGTGAGTTGCAAAATAACTCTCAGTTACTCAGATTTGAGTTTGTGCTCAATAGGTCGAGATTTGTTCCCCTTCCCCCGCACCCCCCCAACCCCTCCCACCTCCCAAGCAATTCAAAATAGCTGTACAATGCCTTTCCCCAAGCTATAGATACACGTAGCCTTGATCCAGCAAGCGCTGCAGCACCATTTGTTACCTGGATGATCAAAATTGTATGCCTCGCGCGCTGCGTCTTCGCTCTGCTCCCGCGTGAGGACCTTATAGAAGCTGTCCTGATGCAGAATGACAACCTACGCAATCCAGACGCAGTCCACCAAGTGAGCAGACATGTCGCGGCAGAGTTCTCCACCTATTGCCTCGTGTATGAGACCAGCATCAGCCCCATCCGGTCCCGGTCCCCCTGGTCGGTCTGTACCTTGCGCTCCTTGTGGTCAATGTCATTCATGCCGAGCTGGCTCATAATCATCTCGCACACGGTCGTCTTGCCGGACGCAGTGCCGCCCGCGACGCCAATAAAGAACGGGCCCGTTGCAGCCATTTGATAGTGCAATGCAGAATGAATAGAAAACAGAGACTGCATGAAAGCAAAAGTAAGGAAGACAATGCAAGGATATTGATCGATCAGGGTGCTGGGAGTGGGGGTCGGGGTGGGGGTTTGTGAAGTGAAGGGACTGTGCAAAATGACAACTAACATTCAAAGTGTTATTGTGGGGCAGCAGGAAAGAGACAATACAAATGGAAGACACACACACACTAGGATTGCAATCATCCGCACAACAGGGCTTGGTGACAGCAACGAGAGCTGAACGAGCGAACTTGTTACTCGTCCTCGTCCTCGCCTTCCTCTTCATCTTCGCCTTCTTCGCCGTCGTCCTCGTCATCGTCATCAATGTCCTCGAACTGATCCTCGTCGTCTTCCTCGTCCTGTTAGGCGGAAAGTCGTCAGTTTCCTCGTGGCACATTGCAAAAAAAAAAAAAAAAAAAAAAAAGACGAGCATTCAACTGGACTCACTCCGGCCAGGCGGTTGTGCTGCTGGTGCAGCCACATCAGCTGTGAGGTGACGATGGAGCTGTCTTCGCCAAACACAAAGAGCTCAAAGAAACCGGGCTCCGCGACGGGAGTGCGCTTGCGCTTGGCGTTGGCGGCGGCGCTGCCGTCTTTGCGAGCGTTGTACGCGGTCACGAGGGCCTATTCAAGGGGGGGGGGACAAGACGAGTCAAGGAAAAGTTTACACACAAGTAGAACAGTAGACCCGTCAGTGATCAGAAATGGAGGATGGCGAACAAAAAAAAAAAAAAAAAAAAAAAAAAGAGCAACCATCAAGTCAAACAAACCTGGCCAGCGGGCTTCCAGTGGACAGTGATGGGCTCGAAAGCCGAGGTGCCGAGCTCGTCTTGGCCGGGCAAGACACGGGTGAGGGAGGCATCCTCAAAGTAATCGTTGGGGTGGAAATGCATCGTGACGGAGCACGCGCTGCCCTCCGGCACATCAAGGCTGGAGCTAACATAGCTGAGAGCCTCATAGATCTACGACGAAAGAGGGTGAGCAATGAGAGAAAAAGTACAGAGCATGGAGCGAAACTAGTAGTCGACCTCAAGTCGAACTGACCTGCTTGTCGACTGCTTGGAGCTTGCCATCACCAGCAGCGGTCTTGAGCAGCTACGAGTCGCACCCACCCAATGCAAACAGAGAACATTGTAAAATCCGTGAGTCAGAGCAGAGCATGGCAGAAACTATCAAAATCCACTGGAAACGACTCTTTCTCGCCCTCCCATCATCCGTGATCGCCCCACCCTCGGCCATCAACCTCAACTGCAGATCTCCAAGCAACATTCACACACACGCATCATCGTAAAATCGATGCAGAATGCAACGGATCTCAAACGACGCCATTTCCGCCCCTTCTCCTTCCCCCCCCCACCACCACCACCACCATCGACCTCAACTGCAGATCTCCGAGCAACATTTCACAGAACGCATCATCGTGAGCCCCGCTTTCACGCGTTCACGGTTGTCCGCGCTCGGATCCGACCCTCATGGCCTTTTTGGTCTTGGAGCTTTCTGTGCCGTTCTCGCTCAGGGATCCCGGATCGATGTGGATGCGCTTGGCCTTGTCTGTTGCATCTTACCAGGTTGCGCCAGAAGTGGGGCGCGGCTGCGACGAGCTTGGCGTCGCGCTCTGCGACCAGTCCCTGCTTGCTCGTGCGCCAGTGGCTCTTGTTGGCCGCGACGACCGCCGCGTTGATCTTCTCCTCCAGCTCGCGGCTGGTCGTGGCAAAGCGCTCACGGAACTCTTCTTGGACCTGGAGCAGCGCGGGCTCGGCTTGGAGCACCTCGTCAAACAGATCGGCCTCCTCGCCCTCGCTGCCGTCCTCGTCTTCGCCCTCGTCTTCAACGTCCTCCTCGTGCTCATCGTCGACAATCTCTTCGGCAACGGGCTCTTCCAGGCGCACTTTCTTGTTTGCGGGCATCTTTTTTTGGTTTTTGGGGTTGTTTGTTAGTGTCTGAGAAAACAAGTATCTGAGAAAACAAGACTAAGAGTAGAGTACGAACCAGAACAATACGCCTAAATCCCTACGGGTTCCATAATGAATGGTAAAATGGTAATCATGAGATATCACCATAATCGACCCACCATTGTGATCGACTTGATGTGGCCAATAATAGTGTCAGAGGAGTGGCGGTGCTCAGATGAGCGGTTTTCTCAGAAAATCGAAAAATCAAAATGGCCTCGAGGCGACCGCAAAACAGCGCCACAAGCGTTCTTCCAGGACCAGTGCAGCAGAGCATCATAATCTTTGCTCAACTTTGCACCCCCCGCATTTTCGAAATCGAGCACACCGACTGCCTAGGGTGCATCGCGTACTATTACGGCGAGGAAGCGCGCAGGATAGAAACACTGTTTTGACCCCCAGAAGAACGCCACAACGCCGGTCGCCATTGCCGAGCTCGATTTCCGACGTGTCCAGTCGGTGTCGGACCGCGCACTTTTCAGGGGTGATTACAGATGATATTTACAACCGTTTTGGCTCAATGGCGGGGCGATCGCGGTGGGGAGCGATTTTGTGTGAAGCTGGATCTTTACCACTTTGGGCTGGATTGAGCCACTCTTTTCTGTTGTTCTTCAGAGCCATAGGTCTCAGGTCGATTCTTGTACTTTTCCGTCCTCACGAGACCGACCAGACCTGCAACACACACACACACGTCAAGCAATTCATCCAAGCATAAGAACCCGACACACAAGAGCCAGCGAGCGCACGAGGCGAGATGGAGGAGGACGAGGAGATCCAGCCGCAACCAAGCTACGAGACATGCAGTGTGCGGCTGGTGGTCCTTCACGACCTCGTTCCCGACGCCAGCCAGGATCGCTTCATGGATCTGGATGTACCTGTTGCCCAGCCAGAGGCGCTGCCAACGTACGGCGATGTGGAGCGAGCCTTGCAGACCCATGACTTTAGAGAAGTTGCCTTCCGCCCAAACCCTCAGTTTTGGTGTCCAGTCGTTGGCGTCAAGAACAAGTTCTACCCGTCAAACAAGACGATTGCACACCCCGAATGCGTTCATCTTTCTGTCAGGTTGCGTTGCCCCTGTTGCAAATCCAACATCCCGCGGTCGCGATTTCACAGCGCGAACAAAACTTGAGATTGTCTTCCGTGCAACCCGCGTCCACCGACTTGGCCGACGACGAAACTAGCGTAATGCAAGATGATAGGGACGACATTCTTGAATCTCTTAACGACCAAGACGGGCACGACGAAAACTGCCGCTCAAGAACGCCTCGGAAGCGCAGGGGAGTCCATCTCACCAAGGAGGAGCGAGACAGACTTCCGCAGTGGAGCCCTAGTACGACGCTCATTCCTGTTCGAACACGCCGTTGGTATTGCTTCAATAGACGCGATCCGTCGAGGCCGCCTACGACCGTGCCAGACACACCAACTCTCCAACAACGATTTATTCGCGCCTGCTCCAGCAAGAAGCGAGTTGACAACAACTTTCAGTTACGTCCGGAGCTCGGCGCCGGATCCTGCAGTTTCGGCCTGAGATTGACGGAGCTTGGCCAACACACGCACGGCGAGCTGCACCTTATTGGGTTCAAGCTCGAGCAGATGGGTCGCCACGACATGGCTTGCACCGACGGCTCGCTCGCTTTCAAGCAGCGCGCGCATCCTGAAATCAAAGAGTGGGTCATGGATCTGGTGCGCAAGGGGTGCTCGGAGGCGTCCATTGTAGCGCAGTTGGAAGGGCCAACTCTCAACCCGCCGCCTCGCCCTCTTTCAAGTTGGAACGTACCGTACACTTCTGGTCGCTGGTATCCCACCAAAGACGCAATTCGCATGATGATAGTCAACTCAAGCAGCGAGAAGCTACATGGAACCGACCAGCAGCGCATCGACCAATTTCTCGCGTCAACCTCGTCGTATGCCTGCTCTCACCCTCACTCGCTCTACCAAGATGGGCAGTGCCCCGGCGAAAGCCAATACGGCGACAAAAGCGATGTCATTTATCATCAATTTGTTCACTGCGACTGCCAGAGCTGCCTCGAAATCCCCCTGAGGGAGTCGAACATTCTGATTTTAATGACGCCTTGTCAGCGGGCAACGTGGGACGCCCTTCGTCCCAAGGTCCTGTTCCTGGATTCAACCTTCTCAGTCAACCGCTACGACTGGGCGACAACAGCACTCGTTGCTGCTGACGAATCAGGCGCTGGTGTTGTGCCGCTGGCGTTCATGATCTCCGACAGAGATCGCGAGCATGAATATGCGCGGTTCTTGTCCGAGGTCAAGCACGCCGTAGGTGAAGCGTTTAATCCGGTGCGCATCGTCATCGACAAATGCGGCGCTGAGCGAAACTGCATCAATCAGGCGGTGCCGGGTGTGCAGGTGGCAACTTGCTGGTTTCACGTCTGCCAAGCGGTGGAGCGCCAGTACCCGGGCAGACTAGATCTTCTCTCGTGTATGGCTAAAATGCGGTATGCCAGGAATGCACAAGAGCTGAAGGACGCGAGCAACAGCTTGCTCAATGCCGCCGGCGAGTTCCAAGGTTATTTTCTGTCTCAGTGGCTCAACGAACGAGATATTAAAACCTGGACGCTCTTCCACCTTGGCTTGGTGCGTGATGCGCTGGATCAAGGCCACACCAACAATTTGATTGAGCGGTAAGCTTGTGATGATTGTGAGTCGCTTGTCCCGTGCCGAACTTTGGAACCTTGTTGACATGTCATTGCGACTTGCCTCCCCCATAGCTTTTTCGGCACGTTCAAGTACAAGTTTCTGAAAGGTTACCGCATGCACGATTTGGCAGGTCTCGCAATCAGGATTGTTCGGGACACGAACCAGCACTTCTGTTTGCAACGCCAACGCCAGCTACTCGACAAGCCGAATGTCGCCTTCCTTCCAAAGTTCCGCTCCTTACTGCTTGAGAAAGAGATGCACGCAGAGAAGCTCGTGGAAACCGGTCAGGTGTTGGAGCTTCATCGCTACTTTGGTGTAGGACTTGTTCTGCCTCAGCGGACGCTTTCTGAGCTTGATCTACTCCAAATTCGCGAACTCGCAAACGCTCACCTTGAGCCATTTTATCAGACGCGTGGCATGCCCTTGACTGAGGGTTTGCAGCAGCTGCACGAAGCGCTGAAGCAACAGTACCCAGATGTTGTGGTCGTTGGTGTCGAGCGGCGCTTTTGCAGCGCCATGCACGATCACGCTTTCATTTGCAGCCATATCCGTGCCGTCGCGCGGCACTTTGGAGGCATCGAGAACTTTCGTCTTCAAATCCATTCTCTCTTCGAAGAGCCACCAGTGTGTCCCGTGTCCCGCTCAGCACCCGTCAATCCTGCAAGCGAAACTGCTGTGTCCGCAGCCAATACTGCGTATGCCGATGATGCCCTGCCGACTGGCGCAACCGACATGGCCGTAGACGATCAGCTTGATGCAGACGGACCTGCTCGCACCTCTGACATGGCCGTAGACGATCACCTTCCCTCGGGCCCGGATGCAGACGGACCTGCTGACCGCACCTCGGACCTCCCCGCCGAGCTCGATCCGAATCACGGCGCGTCACCTTCTGCGCGTAACTCCGATGATGCTCCAGAGCACAGCTCTGGACTTGTTGAGACGGTGGCCAGTCCCGACGACCTGGTGGACGAGCTCTCCAAGCTGTTCGAGAAAGGACTCGAGCGTCTCAAGACCATGGCTCAGGGCGATGAGTTGCAAAGCCTCGTTCGCCAGCTCACACGCAATTGCAGCAACAGCATGCGGAATGCGACAGGTCAGCGAGGGATTCTTTCATTAGATACCCGGCGCACGCGTGGTGCAACTCGTAAGGCTGCCAAATCTACCCGAGCTGCCCAAGCCAAGGCAAAGCGAACTGCTGCTGCCAAAGCCAACCGAGCAGCAGCAGCAGTAGCAGCAGCAGCAGCAGCATCAACATCGTCAGCCTCAACCGTTCTTCCAGGTAACGCAACTGCATCCGCAGCAGCGTCGTTGGCGACCAGTTCGTGGACACGACGCAAGAAGTCTGGAGTGAAGGGGCGGCCCAAAGCTAAGCATCGTGTTCCTGCTGCACTTACCCGAGAAGTCGCAAGATCCTTTTGCGCCAAAGACAGTCAAGCATTCGAGAGCGCAAGGGCGGCGGTGACTGCGTACAAAACCCAACAGTTTGTCGACTACATCCCGCCTTCTCGCAGCAATCGCGGTACTCGAGATCCGTGGGGCGACACTACCCCTTCATTTGCTGATTCCGATCCCACATTTGGGAATGCGAGTGATGGTGCACGTTCAGCCAGTCGGAAACGACCTCGATTGGAGCCAGAGGCTGACCCGCAGGAACGGAACCAGCGCAACCAACAGAGGATTGGTTTGAACATTTTGCCCCTCAACTGCGGCCGCCTGGAGGGCGCTCAGCGGCCATCCGTGCGCGCGACACAATTCGACGGTTTTCACGCTACGACACGAGTCGGGATGACGATGCAGACGTGTTTGAGGCCCAGCCTGAGGAGATGGACGACGATGACTTCAGGTACACTCTGGAGGAGTGTGTGCGTGCTAGACGGCTTGAAATGTTTGATTCAGCTGTAAACCCAGAGTTTTTGTGAAGTTTTGTATGATTGTGTGTGCTTGGTGTTGTACTTTGGGTCATTGTGGTGCTGTCCTCCCCACTGTTTTCACAGCAGCGGCGCCTGAGAGGTGTCAGCATCCTTGACCCCATTCGATTTTAAATTTTGACACATGGATAAACTTGTCTTTGAAGTTTCGCGGCATAGAACGTGGCAGAAGAGCTTGAAAACAGCTCGACAGCGCAAAAAGGAGGAAAGCGCAAAAGGAGGAAAAAATTTTATAAGTCCAACTTTTCCTGTCGCCCCCTTGATGCTCACTGCTACGCAGCCTGACTGGGTGACCCGATCCGCCCGCCCTTCGACCCCATGACTCAAACACCAATACCATTCCATAAATGCCCTAGTAGTGGGTTGCTGGTCCACCGTGGGGGTTGGTGGCTTGGCCGTTCCCTGCACGCTCGCGGCGCTCCCAACCATTCCCTCCCGTGCTCGGTCCAGCGCAGACTTTTTCACCGGCTCACAGTTGAAATCTACATTATCATTTATGGGCAACATGATGCTGGCAGAGAGAAGAGGCTAGATGACACTTTGAGATTCGGACCTGGAACCCGTAGTGATTTAGGCGGATTGTTCTGGCACCCTAAGAGTACACGTAGAGCTACACGCACAGTTACAATGCCCGGATGAGAAGGAAGGGTTGCATGGCATATCGTTCGTATTACCATCCGGCGACACAGAGGCTATTGCAAGTTCGCAGGGAAGGATACAAGCATTCTGGCTGCTATTCAGTGCCTGAAAAGTGCCAGAGAGCGGATTATAGCTGTAACATTGATCTGATCAACCAAAGAGAAACTCACACTCGGTTCGGATTGTAGGCCAGTCTAAATCTGCCAGGATAAAAAACAAATTCTCAGAAATCTTGCTGATGTCCGAAAGTACTCCAACAAAAGAAATCTACCAAAACCTGAGCCTCGCACTCTTGCTTGCGACGAACGTCCTGGCAAAGCTCTTTGTTAGCACGTGGGACGCACAATGCAAGGCTGCCCCAAGCGCTGGTGCTGCCCCTGGTGGCGGTGGCGGTGGCAGTGGCGGTGCTGCTGAGTGCGACGGAGCGACCGTTCTGAGCTCGAGCGCAACCACGGGTCCAGGGGTCGCTGGTCTGCCTCCTCTGTCCAAGGCCAAGAGCAAGGGCAAGGGCAAGGGCAAGGACAAGGGCAAGAGCAAGAGCAAGAGCAAGGACGACCGAACCGCCGGTGCTGCGGGACTGTCAACCGGATCTCATACGATGAGTGACAGCGCTGCCACACCTGCCGCTTCAACCTCCGCTTCAACCTCCGCAGCAGCCCCAGCCACGATGACTGCATGGACGCACGATACTCGCTCGGGTGCAGCTCTGCTCGCGAAGCTTCCGCCAAAAATCTGCGAGAAACAGCGTCCCGAGATTGCCAAGGGGAAGCCGGAAACCTGGGACATTACTGTGCTTGGGTCCATCATCCTGAACGTGTTGCCGCTCAGCGAGATCGATCGCAGTGCAGTCCGCGAAATTGTCAAGTATCGCAACGACTTTGCTCATGCCACGGCGTCTGAGATTACGCCGCTCGAGTACGCGAGAATCCGCGACGGACTGCGCGCAGCCCTCGTCGACAAACTGGCCACGGATGCCGCTGAATTCGACGCCTGCTTCATCGAAACACTGCACAGAGTGTCGGCGCCCGCACCAGACGCCGTCGCGGCTGCAGAGCGCGAGAAGGCTGCTGGCAACGAGCTGTTCAAGCAAAAGGCATTCGACGAAGCCATCAAGTGCTACACCGCTGCCCTCCTTCGCGTTGAGCACTATCCGTCCGAGCTTACTGCAGTCCTCCTGACCAACCGCGCCACGGCTCATCTGAAACTCGCACATTTCGTCGAGGCCAAGCATGATGCCAAGCGTGCGCTTCTGCAGGGCACGCCAGCGTTCAAGGCACACCTCCGTCTGGCAGAGGCGTATCTGAAGTGTGGCAAGCACACAAAGGCCTGCAGGCACGCCGAATGCGCGTACAGTGGCTTCCAGCCGGGTACTGCCGAGAAACGCCTGGCACGCGAGCTGCTCGACAAGTGCCGCCTTGAGCGCGCCACAATCGAACGTGGAGAGGACCAGAATTCAGCGTATTCTATGGCATTTCAGAATGCCGCCGAGTCTCCGTTCCGCCAGCGAGACGTGGCCCGAGTGGGCGGCCAGGCGAATTTTGATGCACTTCTACGACTTGCTACATCGCTCGGGACTTCGACCGCTGAATCGTCTGCGTCACCCTCGTCCTTTGTAACGGAGTTCCAGCTGAACATCCAAGCACACAATTTGCGAGATGATGGCAAGTTTGCACAAGCCTATCCAGTCTTTCTGCGTCTGGCGCAGCTTGGCAACGCGATTGGCATGTACAACGTTGGTCTTTTTCTGATGAAAGGGCTAGGCGTTGCTCAAGACATCGCGCAAGCAACTGCGTGGTTTGAGAGAGCGACGCAAGTCCCGATTCGTGATGACGAGTTGTTCAAAGACCAGCGGATTGCGATTGGGGCCGCTTTTGTTTCGCTCGGCAACAATCACTTCAATGGTATCGGCTGCTCCAAAAATTTACGCTTGGCGTTACCCTACTACCAGCGTGCTGCCGCTCTCGAGGCGCCCACGGGCTACAACATGCTTGGCCTGTACCACTGGAGCGGCCTCGATGAATCACCCGTCGACCGGGCGCTCGCGCGAGACTACTTCCGCCTGGCAGCTGAGGGCGGGTGCACGGAGAGTATGACCAATATGAGCTTGCTACTGCGCGACTTGGGCTTGTTGGACCGCGCAGCGCAGTGGGCAGACACGGCCCAAGCGTTCGGCGTTCATAAAGCTGCGGCCTTGGCATCTTCGATTCGATCGACTATTCAACGAGTAGGCCCAACAAACCTTCAACACGTCCAAGAATTTTGCAATATGATGCCTCGGCTCCGCGCTCCTCCGACTTTGCTACCGTTCAACCAGTATCCCACGCTGGACGAGCTGGAGGCCATCGCCTCGCCGACTGTCTACCTGAGCAGTCTGATCAGTGCCAAGCGTCAGCTGATTGCTGCGATCGATGAATTTCGCAGGAACCCAGTGACAGCCGACAGCACGCGTCGCCTCATTTCGCGGGCAGCGAGCGCCAGGCGTACCGTTGACGGCGGGCTTGTTTGTGATCCGGAAAGTGCGGCAGTCCTTCGAGTCATTCTCGAGCAATCACATCCAGACGAGACCTTGGAACATGACAGACGTACTCTGCTGTCTGGCACAGAGGTTGAGTACGCGATCTCGGCTGCCAACCAATACTGCGAGGACAGCTTCCTCAACCTGCGGACCGGGTGCCAGCTGATGTTTGATTCCTCAGACAAAGACAAAGAAAAGGGACTGTTCTATCTGCGCCGCGCCTTCCAGATCGTGGCCAACCGCAGCGAGAACGACCTTGAGCGACTTGACGTGACGTATTCACTGGGCACTGCGTACCGGATCTGTGACAAGCCCGAGCAAGCGCGCAAACTCTTCATGCAATTTCTCGAGCACAAACACCTTGGTCATCGTGAAGTATGCGAAGCGTACTTTCAGCTCGGCCTCTTGTCTCTTCTAAGCCTTGAATCTGTCGAACGAAATTGTCGTGAAGCGAAAAAATTCCTCGATCTGGGCATAGCTGCACAACGCACCTTGCCAGGATTTCTGCAGCCGCGCCACAAGCCGCTAAACCGTGCGCTGCTCGAAGACCTTTTGACCATGTTCGCCAAGGGGCACCTCGCTGCCCGAGTCATTCCCGTCCCTCAAGAGGGCGGCCATGTATTGTCGGGACCTCGTGCTCCTGAAGCCCTAATGCCGCGTGGTCTCTCCTCCAAGGTCCTTGAAGTGTATCGCTCGTCGCGCGTGAAGTTTCTGAAGGAGGCCCCAAAAATCAGCTCAATGTTCAAATTGGCACCACCCAGCAAACACATCACCTCTGCTGAAACCTTGCCCCTCTCCCCGATTCAAATCGACGAGATGTTTCTCCCTTGCGTCGAGAGGCTTTATCACAACCGTGTGCTTGAGTGCGTGATTGTGGGGAGCGGCCTTCGCGTGATCTCCATCTCGTATATTGTCGAAGACTCATCGCGAGCTCCGGCCATATTGAGCATCTACAACCTCTCTGCGGCGCAAGAGAGGTTGCTTGTGCCTGGCCGAGTTATCAAGATCATTTCTCCGTTGGCACGTGTGCCACAGTCGGGCCCGATATGCATTCGTGTCGATGACCCTCAGCACCGCTTGTTTATTGGTGATCACATCCCGCTGTGTTGGTTCTGCCTCAAGCAGCAAGAAGCCTCTCTACTCATGACGTGCGGACGATGCAAGCAGGCGAAGTACTGCTCCGAGACGTGTCAACGAAGCGACTGGCAGCAGAACGGCCACAAGTTTTTATGCACGGCGTCCACCCGTTGACACTCTGCATGTGTTTGTGTGTGTGTGTGTGTGTGTGTGTGTGTGTGTGTGTGTGTGTGTGTGTGTGTGTGTGTGTGTGTGTGTGTGTGTGTGTGTGTGTGTGTGTGTGTGTGTGTGTGTGTGTGTGTGTGTTCTTCTCCCTCTGGCTGGGATGTTGTATTGTATTCCAGCAACCAATGTTTACTGTCTGTTTGTCGTCCATTTCAATTCGGTTCAGTCGTTGTTTTGCTTTGACAGAATTTCAACCATTCAGTTGCACTCGCTTCTGAGTCGTGCAGCAACATGGCAACCACCACAGACCCAGAATTGCGGTCTCGGCGCGTCAATTACTGGCGGATGAAGTCTGTCTTTACATTTGCCGAGCTGGTGCTCCAGCGCCTGTTTGTCGCGACGTGGAACCGAGCATCTGAGACTGACGACCGCAACTGAACATGTCGAGACGAAAGAACCAATAAACCAAACCTAAAACCCCGAAAAAGTGACAAAATGCCATTGCGCCATCGTATTCGCCTCGGCTCGTTTATTCTTGACGTTCATGTTCATACTCGCCGAGCAAAGTGGAACGATGCAGAGAGCTTGGTCGCACAACTACGTGCGAGTTCATTCACTGAATCACTCGCCAGCTTTTGATCTACTTTGTGCTTTGTGCGGATGCCCGAGCTTTCGGAGTACGATTTTCAATGTGTTCAGAACAATAGGGGTTTTTCCATTCGCATGGATTATGCATATTGCCGTTCAATATATCCGACATGAAGCGACTCGAATCGCACACCGCGCGAAGACTTTCTGGGTTGAACGTCAACCTTCCAGCCCTCGCGCATTTGTCGCATGACAGGATGGTTGGCTGGCAGGATTGTCACATGCCAGAGAGTCGAATCGACCAAAGTCGGTTTCGCAGTGCATTCGTATTGAACAGCACCTTGCGTATCTCGGACAATCAATTTAACAACGCACGGCTCAGAGTCGTTGGCGTCAAGAAGCACTTGAATTGCCTTTACACGGATCGAATTCCCCGTGCTGCTCTTTGGCACAGTGACGCTCAGACTATCAAAATAACAGGCTCGATTGGTGCGCTGCACGCCTTGCCAGTAACACGCTTCGTCCATAATGAGGTCGGCAATCTCAGTCGGCAGTGCCGGTAGAGATGCGAGCTGATCCTCCAGCTCCCGTCCGCTGGTCAGCAAGCCAAACACGGCCTGAAGGTCGTCAGCAGTCGCCAATCGTGGAAACGAGGAGGGTACAAGAGGGCTAAGCTGGAGGGAAATACTGTGCAACGAACAAGCAACATAAATGAGTATCCACTCCATCGGTTGAAAGCATGACTTGATAGGACAAACGCCCTACTAAAAATCAGTCAGAGTGGGATTGGACTCGCGTGCATCAGCAATCGCTTGAATACCAACATCGCCAATGCAATTCCATGACAGACTGTCGCTCGATCGGTGAGTAAGATGACGGCGTAGCAAGGTATGGCTGACCCTGGTTCAATATCGGAGACGAGCAACCTACTTGAGCCATGCCAGCGTCTTATTCACTTTGATCAGTTCCGCAATTGCCTGCGCTCCAGCATCGCCAATCAGATTCTCACCCAGACTGTCCAGATTCCCTCCCTCAGTGAGCACTCTGCTCAATCACTCACTCATATGCATCGGTCCAAGTGAGATGCCTTACTCGACCTTGGTCACTGTCGTGTTCACTTTGAGCGCCTCAGCAATCGCGCTCGCTCCAGCATCGCCAATCTGATTATCCCAAACACTGTTCATTCTCCGTCGATGAGCACTCTAAAATGCTCCTAACATTGCATCAGTCAAAGTGAGCTGCCGTACGTGATCCAAGTCACTGTCTTGTTCACTTTGAGTGTCTCGGCAATCGCGCTCGCTCCAGCATCGCCAATCTGATTATCCCAAACACTGTTCATGCTCTCCGTCGATGAGCACTCTAAAATGCTCCTAACATTGCATCAGTCAAGTGAGCTGCCGTACGCGATAGAGGTCACCGCCTTGTTTACTTTGAGTGTCTCGGCAATCGCGCTCGCTCCAGCAACGCCAATCTGATTCTGCCAAAGCCTGTTCATCCTCCCCCCCATCATCAGTATTCTGAATACCCTCTGTTGAAATCACCCACTCACATGCACAAATCAAAGTGAGGTGCCTTACTCGACCCTGGTCACCGTCGTGTTGACTTTAAGTGCCTCAGCAATCGCCAGCGCTTCAGCATCGCCAACCTTTTCCCAAGACACGCTGTCCATTTCGTCAACAAGCTCGTTGTTATACTCTGCAATACATATGATTGCTTCTTACTAGAAATAATGAGTTGTGTTCTTGACCTTGTCGTACAACTCGCGCTGGCTCGGCGTCATGTTCTGATACGACAGCATTCGGAACTTGTCGAGTCAAAAACAACTGCCAACTGTGAACCTAAAAGTAGCTAAACGCCACAAAGACCCATTTTCGCCTCGACTCTTTCCAGATTCACACCTGACGGCTTGGTTGAGCGCCGTGGGGGAGGGGGTGGATGTATCGTTTTTATGTCGTCGTTTTTGACGAAGGGCCAGTCATTTTTCGTCAACAACTCCACTCTTCAGCGATTTGAGCAAATGGCTTCCCAAATGAAGCACCAGCAGTCCAACCCGGAGGTCATCTGCTGTCCTGCAAGTACCATTGATACTGCTAGCGACGACAGTTCTTTTCAGCAGCTTCATGTGCTTGCGGCTGCAGAGTCAGCAGCACTGACCAAGCAGTTTCGGCAACGGAGCCTGCAGCTTGTCGCCGAACAGCAGACCCGTGTGGTGCGACTGAAACGCAAAAACGGCGCTGTAGTACAAGGCTGCGACATTTACATTGGCCGCGCTTGCAACCAAGGTGGATGGCATCTTCCGTCGTCAAAGTGGGCAAATCCGTTTTCCGTGTCAAAGTGCGGCTCCAGAAAGGAGGCCGTGCGTCGTTTCGAACAGTATTTGCTCTCACGACCCGACTTGCTCGCTGCGCTGCCTGAGCTTCGTGGCAAAGTGCTTGGATGCTGGTGTGCACCAGAGTTGTGCCATGGGCACATTTTGGCAAAACTCGCAAACGCCTAAATGCGTTGATTCTGTTCTGGTGCTTTTTATGATTGAGATTATCCGATTCCGTTTTGCACATCTGCGAGTGGAGAGTGAAGTGGAGAGTTGTAACTTCAACGGAGCCGCAAAGCAATCAGGGCAAGGGGGTATGCGAACCGAGGAAACAGATTACCAGTCGTTGTTTGCGATCAGGGCCGACGTTCGCCCGTCGTCGAAATGCGCGCGGCCAAAAGCAAGTGGTCATCAAGTTGGCCCAGAACGACGATCTGTGTCAGTCCCTTCACGTCTCTGGACCAGTTCGAGGAGGATGTCGAGTTCGCCCCTGCTCTCGTCGTCATTGAGTTTGCTCAGTAGATCTATGTGTTCATATTCAGACGATGCCGCTTCCCTATCTATCCAATAAAAAAAAAAACATAGGCCGAATCGCTTTCAAATTTAATTGCAAACTGGATCGAAATTTCGCTTCGCTCATTTCTGGGAATCAAAAACTGCACTTTCTTATAGTTTCATTAAAAAGCGAAGCGATTTTGTGAATGTTTTGGCAGTAACTAATTTCACTATTATTATTATTACTATTATTCTCTATAGAAAAGTAAATAAAAGAAAGAAGAGTACGAGGAGGACGCAATGGACGGTACGGACGGTATAAATTGCTAGGAAAAATAAAATTGTCTAAGAAGTTGGGCAAAAAAAGCGTATTTTGCATCCGGCTTTATTGGATGTAGTTTTCATTACGACTTCGAGATCAGTACAACATTCTAGCACTGCATTCTACTGACACATTCGATCACTCAACATAGTCGTAATAATCGACAAAAGCCTGCACCTCGTCAGCATAATCGGTGATGCCGAGCTCTTCAAACTTGGACTGCATGAGCTGGAGCAGTGCGACCATCTCTTGACATTCTTCTTCGCGTGCATCCAGTTTTTCCGCCAAGTTGTCGCGTTCTTCCTTCACACCTTTGACTGTCTGGGCAAGTTTTTTCGTTTCCTTGTTGACTGCAACTCGTTTGGCGAGTTTTTCCTTGAGTGCGTCGATCTTTGCTGCCTGTCCAGCCTCGACCTGTTGGGTGATGGCAGCATCTCGCGCGGCAAACGGTTGGGCTTGCGCCGCGTTAAAAAGACGTGAGGCCTCGCCAGTGGGATCTTGGGCATGATGGACATGACAGTAGCCATTGTATTTGCTCTTGTTAGAGCACTGAGCGTTTGTCGACTTGGCGTAACCGGAGCACTGCATCGCTGTGGGGAAAAAAGAATGAGCAAATTAGCTCGGACAATGTTTTGTTTCCTTAAAAAATGAATGCGCTCATTGTTATTATATTTTTTGGCTCTGAACTGTTGCTATGAAATATTGATTTTTTTTTGGCTCTGAACTGTTGCCATGAAAAAAAATCGGTTTTGGCTCTGAACAACGATACAAAATGTTTTTTGGCTCTGAATTGTTGCTATGAAAAAATTGTTTTTGCAAATGTTTTAGCTTTGAGTCTGAATAGGAAAGAGCTCACTCTCTTTCCCAACCATGTCGCGGCCTCCTGCCTTTGCACTCGCTCATCCCCCCAGTTGCCCTTACCATCCTCGCTTGGCATGCCCTCCCCCTATTCCCTTCCCTCTCAAAACGCTCGCGGATGACGGTTCGCCCGAGCCCCTCACTTTCGATCATTTAAAAGAGCTCACGAAGGACGAGGTTTACCGCATGCTGACTTTTGAATCTAAAAGTCATGAGCATACACGTCAACTCTTAGGCATTAAGAACGCTGAGCTCGCTCTCAAGCATGATGAGATCGAACGCCTCCGCAACCTTGTTCAGGAGTATGTGCAGCACTTCGACAGACTCTTCCGCAGACGAGAAGCTGCTGATGATGCTCAGTGGTTTACCGATCCCAAGAATCCCCAAGAAAAAACAAACCAACCTACTGACCACAAGACGGAGGAACAAGAGATGTTCAAGAGCGACATGGAGGGGTTTGATACTGAGAAACTCCCGACAGAAGAACACAAAAGACCTTCACTCGCCCCCGAGCTCGCGCAGGACTTCGGCGTTTCTGGCTCTCCGCTTGCCTCTGGCCATGTGACTGATGATGAGTGAATGGCAAAAAAAAAAAACAAAAAGGGTGTTGGTTCTGTTGGTGGCTCCGTCATGCAAATCGTTTTTTATTTGTTTTTTTCGGAGCCACCAACGTCACCGTTTTTTATGACATCATTTGTGACAATTGTAGCAACTACATAAATGCGCATTTTTGGTTTTTCGCACTTTCAGGGAATCGAACTCGCGATATCCGATTCCCATCCAGCTTGAAGCGAACTACGGCTCGTCGACTAGCTTTCGTTCAACCAAAAAAAATTGGTTGGGCAATTCCGGTTTGAACAGAAAATTTGTTAAAATTATTTGTTCAATTATTTTGCTGGCTCTGCACTCACTGCCGCCACTGTCGAGTCCTTCATCTCCAGTTCCACACCACCATGGCAGCAGCTAGACTTCTTGAAGCGGGAGAAGACGCGTTCGAGAGCAAGTGCGATTGCTGCGACTAAAGCTGTTATTGCGACGACGTCCATTATACCATTAGGTGAGATTATGCCACGTAGGTGATTAAGATACTGAATGGAACACTATAGGCACTCGTGGCACTGGCACCATTGGTCACGGTTAATACCCAAGGGGACGATGCGCCACTCACATCAGCATACACGTAATACTGACCCGAGCCAGTGTTGAATGCAACAGTTTTGCTGTTGGACGCGAAAATGGTTCCAGTCATACTCACAATCTTGTTCCTGTCAATCGTGATGTTCTGTGCTACAGTCCCTCCACTTCCAGCAGCTGTTGTTCCGATAAAGACTGCCATCTTCAACCCTGTGTTACCAGTTCCAAGCGATGTGAAGCCTGTGACATTCAACCCAGTGGCCACATTCAATGCAGTTGTTGTGAAGGTTGCTACATTGGTCGAATTTGCACTTACACCAAGTTGGTTTGTTCCAGCAGAGTACAACCCTACAAAGCTATTTGCGCTAAAACTGTACGCTGGGTTTGTCACGTTTCCGTTTCCGGCAAGAAACTGGGTGGTGGCATACACCCGTGCACCAGTCACACTGCCTTGGGCAGCGACATCGAGACCGGTGCGGATACCCAATGCATTGAAAAACGCGCACATTGTACCGCCGGCTGAGACACACAGCGCACCTAAATCACTGTAGATGCCAGTGTCAGTGTCACTTGCAAGCGCGATCGCCGGCGTGGAAGCACTGCCATCGGGCACAAGAAGCGCACCAGTAAGAGTACCACCAGCCAAAGGTAAGTAACTACCACCGGCAACTGCGCTGTCGACGTACCCTTTTGTTGCTGCATCATCTGTCGCTGTTGGGGTGCCTAACGATTGTATCTTGTTTCCACCCATGGTTAAACTTGCTGTGGACATAGAGTTTGCAGACACGTTCCCAGCAACACCAATGCCACTGCTCGAAATAGTTGCAACTGCAGCGCCACCAGCAGCAAAACCAAGGATATCCGTGGCTGCAGCGTAAATGCCGGTGTTGCTATCACCAGAGAATGAAATTGATGGCACTGTAGCAGAACCAGCACCAAGAACAACAGCACCACTAACTTCAACGTTTGTAGCTGCCAAATCGCCGGCAATACCCAAGCCCGTGTCACTGAACGTGGCAACTTCAACACCGTCAATGGCAACAGCCACTTCATTGTCAGCCGGTAAGAAGAAGCCATTACCCTCTGTGAATTGAATACTTGGATCTGCTACACTACCATTGTCAGCATCTAATGTTCCTACAAAGAATCCTTGAAGAGCACCAGTCATTGTGGCACCTGTTTTCGGCACGTAACCTACAAGTGCTCCTGAAACTGTTGCGTTGCAGATCTGTTGTACTTCTTGTATTGTGACACCGTCGCCACTATCGATAACCGGATTGAATATTGACATATTATATTACTATCTGATATTAATAGTTAATATCGCTGTTGAACTTTTCCAGCGTGCGGTTCCATGTCTTTCCTGTATCCTGATCCTTTTCTGCATACTCGGCAAGCACATTAATGACCTTCTTGTACTTGTCATTCAGTTTCTTCAACATGGCTGTGTCTCCAACAAACTTCTTTTGCTCTTCAGCATACATTTGGCTGCAAATTTCGTACAGCTCTTCTGAATTGTATTTCTTTCCGTCATCCTCAAATACAAACAGCTCTGGCTCATTCATACCGAACTTGTTGCGAAACATTGCGAAATCATGTATCAAATCGCTCATTCTGCTTGTAATACTGTCCAAATCACGTCTCATAGCATGATCCATGCGCCCAACACTACCTTTTGTCGCTAAGATGTGTTTCTTTGATGTGTTATGACAAGCCATGTTCCATTTACTCTTCAAATCGACGTTGCAGATATCACATCTGTAAGTTTCAGAATTATTTCTATCTTCCATAGACTCTATATGTAGTCAACAAAATGTGACGTTATAGTAGTAAAATGACAAGCAACCTAGCTGATTTCTTCGGCGCATTAGCGAATCCAGCACCACCTTACATACAAAACACAGCGGATGTTATGATGGGATCTGCAAAAAATGCTGCAGGAAACAAAATTGGATCAAAGTACAGAGAAAAGGCAGAAATGAAAAACACTGCAGTTTCCTACATGACAGATCCATACGTTACACCTGACCAGCTCCCATTCTATCATCAACCACGTATTATCCAAGAACAAGAAAGCTGGGCGAAAGGTTATGAAGATCTTGCAAAACTGGAAGAAGGCAAACGAAATCTAAGATACGTGTTGACAAGCGATGAACCCTTCTTCAAGCCATCCATTAGTCAACACATCATTCCACCAGAGAATTTCTTCACAGGATTCAATCAGCCTAATATCATTCCAGAGCAGGAAGGATTTGCTGAGGGTTATGAAAGAAAAGCACTGATGTTGAAGTCTCAGCAAGAAATAGCACAAAGTATTGATGTACCTGTTAATATGAATCAAAATGAGGATACAAGCAGTGAATTCTTAAGCTTGTTGAGACAAATAGCAGCTAATATTGGTAATTCTGATCAAAACAAACAGCCTCCAAAAAAAGAGAAAAAAAAAGCACCCGAAAATATTGAAGACCGGAAAGCGTTATTCGACGAACTCCCGTTCAATGAAGATGAACTAAACAGGGCAGATGCAGCATGGAGAGCAAGACAAGCAGTACAAGCCAGAAACGCGCAACAAAATCCTGCAAACGTAGCTCTTCCGGACACAAACGATGACGACCTCGATGAGTTTGAATTTGACGCGGCAAATATACCCCTTCCATTTGCAAACGACGATGACCTTGATGAACCCCTTCCAGATGCTCTCCCACGCAGACATCGCAAATATCGTGAATATCCTGAACCAACGCCCAATCTCTACCAAAGGTTTTATAATGGAGAAGATGTTGGCGAGAAGATCTTCGGGAGAACGCACGATGATAGTGATATGAGAATGGGTATGTATAATTATCCCAGAGATGATGACATTTATCATTTGCCTTCACGTGCTGAAACATTGCGCCAACAGATCAAAGAAGAAGGGATTCCGCCACCGCTAACAAAACAAGACATAAACCGTATGAAAGATGATTTTGATACAGCTGTCGCGAAGGGTGATACCAAAAAAATATCAGCCGCCTACCAAAAAATAATGAATACTAGTGACTATTACCTTCCATCGGAAATGCTTATGATACATCCATTAGATAGCGATGTATATCACGCCTTAGCCTCCGCCAAAAATTACGTCGGATCAGAGTTCAATAAATTTACCAAAAACAAAGCATTTGCAGCACCAGCAGCCACTAAAAAAGGGAAGGCGAAATCGACAATATCGGAAGACCAGCATGCCCGTGATATTGAAGACCGATATGAAAAAGCAGAAAGAGCAGTTGAACAACGGGAACAAAAACAGGAACAGGTCGCACATTCAGCGGCTGCTGCGAGTATTGTTTCCGCTGTCGAAAAAATTCGCACAAAGAACATGGATACCCAAGGCAAGATAACTGGGTATCTAAGTAGAATAAATATCAACGGCAATTCCGCTTACGACATTATTAAGATGAGTCCTTTGTTTGTGGGTAACGATATGGTGGAAAAGGTTCAATATGCAAAGAACATGAACGATACCGATCTCTATGACCTGTTCATCTCAGCATCGGAAAGCGGAAGAATACCGATAGCATCATCTTCCTTCCCTGCATCTGAAAGAAGAGAAGCCCCATCTATCCCTGCATCTGAAAGAAGAGAAGCTCCATTGAAAAAGGGTCATGGTCTTCCCACACACAAATCAACAATGGATCCTCTAGGTGATGTATTCATTGACCTTGAACAATTGCAACGCAACGTCCTAAAAGTATCAGACGACACTGGTAAAGTACTGATGAACCATAAAATATCACGCCTGTTCAAGAACGCTGTTCACGATCTCATCGACCATCGCCCAATTGAAGAAGACTTTGATAACGAAGAACGTGAGATGATTCGTCGTCTAGCTAAAATTGCCCACATTGCAGACCCATATCTTAAACGTTCAACAAAACCAAAAGCACTAACAATAAAGAAAGGCAAGGTTATTAAAGAATCTGGTGAATCTGACGTCCGGCTCAAGGATCAATTTGATATCTTAAAGGGAATGATTGAAAGCGGTAACAATAACCCACACACATACGCACAACTACACGAGGTCATCAGAGAGTTGGCAAACCGCGGCATTGTTACAAATGCTTGGAAAAATGAGGCACTCAATGTGTACCAATCACCTTTTGTTGTATAACAATATCTAATCAGGTATTATTATGAGTAAACAAAGCCGAATCCAACCCGAAAGTTTTTACAACAAGGTACCAAAACAGCTTTTGAAGGAACGAGAAACATATCCCGCGTACAAACAAGTTCGAATTGATCTTCCGGCTCGCATATTAATCGATGGTGCATCAGGCTCAGGCAAGACAGACACATTACTTGAACTAATCAAGCGCATTGGAGTGTTCCACAAATACTATTTGTACCTTAGAAATGAAAATCAAACCTTGTATGACTATTTGAAGATGAATTTGAAAGAAGTTGCCGACGAAGCTGGTGTTCCTCTAAGTGATATTCTCTACGTACAGAGCGATCTCACCAACGTCCCTCCTCCTGATAAGATGGATCCAGCATTCAACAACCTGATAGTGTTTGACGATATGTTGACAGAATCACCCAAGAACATGAAGAGTGTAGTTGAATACTTTACAAAATCACGTCCCTACAACTGCACATGTGTTTGGATTACCCAGAACTATTACTCCACTGATAAACGTATCCGAGGTTCTTGTGATTACGTTATTATGAAACGTCTGAATTCTGACAAGGATGCCAAGCTGATTTTCTCTGAATACTGTCGTGGTCTTGAAAAACAGCTCATTCCGTTATGGCAGCAGTGTGTTGCGAAGAACCAAGCCAATTTCTTCATGATCGATATGAAAACATCAGACCCAGATTACAGATTCCGTTGTAACTATCAACCAGTTCCAGAATCGTACTACAAAAAGTGATTAGAACCTTTAGTTCGTATCCTTTGGATTAGATTGATTAATTAATCGAAATAATCTTCAAGTACTTTCTCGTTTTTGACAGTGTTGTCGCCGAAATCTTCGACAATATCGTCTAGTTTTCTGCCTTTGATCAATTGTTCAGCTACATACATGCAGTAATAACCACATGCTTCTGATTTCTTGTTCTGGTAGTCCTCATTACTGTAATACAATGGTTTACCGGATGACATCGCAAACTCATAAGTCGGAATGTTTGGGTTCAAGCCGAAAGAGTCAAAATACTCTGTTCGTGCCTTGTTAATATTACTCAGCAATACCCAATGTGTTCCTTGACCTTTAGGATCGAGTTCTAGATTAATGACATAGATTTTGTTTCCAATCTTTTTGGGTAGCTGTCCAGATGAAAAACTACCAGCATATTCCTTGTATGGATCGAGATATGTGTCAATTTCAGAGTCCGAAATATTCAACAGTTTCTTCATTTATACCGTTACGTTAGAAGAATGATCCACCTAAGCGGAATGAACCTCCTTTGGTACTTTTCTTGGCTTTGGTTCGTTTCTTGGCGGCACCACCTGCAACAAAAGCACATTTCTTGCAGCCACAGTTAGCACAAGTTGAACGTCTCATGCGTCTTCCATTAGCTGAAGTGGCCATCTTTTCTCCAACGTTCTGTGTGTTGTTCCCACAACGTACGCAATAATCGCTTGCCATCTTTATGTTCCTATAATAAGAAAACATTAATTTCTCGTGTAAATCTAGTATACATGGTTTATCATCCGGTTAAATTGAATCTCACAAGAGATCACGTCCGAAAGCTCGCAAAGGGCAAAAACATTCGCCTCTCAAACAATCACATCAAGACTGGTGGACAGACTGTTCATTTGACCAAGACACAAATCAACCGCATCGGTAAGGCACGTAAGACAGGTTCTGGTATCACTTTGCAGCTTTCATTGCCTCAGCTTCGTCATCACGGTCGTCACGGCGCGGGTTTCTTTGGTAATCTGCTCAAGGGTGTTGCAAAGAACGTCATTAATACAGCCGGCAAGACACTTTTAGATAAAGGTACACAAAAGCTTGCCGACTATGGTGCCAAGAAAGGTGGTATCATTGGTACACTCGCAAATGCTGGTGCCAGTACACTTTCAAAAGTAGGCGACCATGTCATCGACAAAGTTAATACCAAGCTTGGCGGCTCTGGTCTCACTAAGGCAGGCTGGAAATCTGCTTGTAGTCGTGCCAAGGCAAGTGCCAAGAAAGGAGGCAGCTTTAACACTCACCTCAAACGTGAACTGAACAAAGAAATCAAAAAGAAGACAGCCAAACGTAAATCTGCAGGCTCAAAACGACCTGCTCGTGGTGGTCAGGGCTTCTTAGGAAATATCTTAGGCAGCATTCTTCCATTTTAATCTATTGATCATATAGACATATGAGTAATAGACTTATGCGTACCCAAGCGAACAAGACATTGTTCATTAATACAAAGAACAATCTCTCGACAACGCCAAATACAATCATCTTCAATTTCCCATACACCATGACTTTTGTGGATGGTGATAAAATTGCACTTGTTAGCTTGTTCTTGTATCGTTCTTGGCCGAATATCCTTATTTTCTGGAACAACAGAACATTTTCGTACACATTTAATGGTTCTGGAACAGGCACAGGAACAACTAACATCACATTACCCGAAGGTAACTACAGTGTAGATTATTTGAATCAGTATCTGCATCTACAAATGTTCAATAATGGGCAGTATTTGCTTGATAACAACGGTATTCCTGTCTATTTTATGAAGATTCAAGAGAATCCGGTGTATTACAAGGAACAGTTGACATGCACACCAGTACCTGATACTCTCCCTTCTGGTTGGTCAAATCCAGCTGGTTTCGCGTTAACAGGGCTTGTTCCTCAATTGAACTTTGATGGCTCCGATTTCAATAAGGTGCTTGGATTTAATAAGAACACGTCATACCCAGCATCGAACGCGTTAACGACTCAATATGAAGTGTTATCACCCAATATCCCACAGGTTGACCCTGTTATCAGTTGCTCACTCAATTGCAACCTTGTTAATTCAGGTTCACTTAACACCCCATCTGTCAGTCAGTCTATCTACCAGTTTTCCCCAGCAGATAGTGTTGTATATGGAGGTCAGGTCACTATTGAGCCCGATAATTTGCGATACTTTACAATCAAATCAGGAACATACAATCAAATGGTGTTCACTTTCACAGATGAAAATGGTCGTCCTCTTCAAATGGTAGATCCAGATGTTGTTCTTGTTTGCCAATTTGCTTAAAGAAATTATTAAATGTCGTAGTTATATAGGAACATGAGCAACACGTTATTTTTACGTAAAGGTGTCTTTAGAGGCAAGAAAGAAATGGATGGCAACGGTATCGTGCGTGTACCACTTGTCAAGTTTGATCGCATGGGTAGAAAGCACGAAATGATGGCCAAGAAAACACCAGAGGGTTTAACAGTCCATGTTATTCACCCTCGTGAACGCAAGCATGGAGGTAGTTTCCTTAAAGCACTTGGTAGCTTGTTCGGATTTGGACTGCCTCAGCAACCACAAAAATGCTACAAAGCAGCCGCGCCCAAAGCACCTAAGAAAGGTGGAAGTATGAATCGCAAAGCAATTGAAAAAGCATTGAGCAAGCGCTTCAAGTAGAATCATAATGTAATTATAATTAATTTATGATGATATACTAGTATTAACATGAGTAGTGACCAAGACCAACTCCACAACATGCTCCAAGAGAGCTCAGCAATCGACGCTTACTTGCAGCAATACACCGATTCACAATGGCAGTACATCAACGATTTCAATCAAGGTGATTACTCCAACCGTATTCAAATTGACATGAAAAGTCTCCAGACTAAGGTTGTTTGCCCAAGAGACATGGTTCTCGCTATTCCTTTGACAGTAGAATCGGCATCCACAGCTGAACCTGTTGTAAATCTTACAGGACCATTACAGGGCACTCCTTGTGGTGTAGCAAGTGGTACAGATGTAGTTTGTTTCAAGAACTCTGTCTTGGATTTAATCAGGGGTATTGAAATCCAAGCAAATGATGGTACCGACATTCTCAATGAACAAGACATACACTTCCGTAACGCTACAAGACAAGGTCTCGAGCACACCCGTGATTGGTATGAATCTGAAAGTTGCGAACTTGGTTTCGCATATGATAGTTATCAACAGGGTACTACAGGCGGTGCTACAAAATTACCTTTCTTGCTTGCTGCAGCTGTTGCTACAACCTACAATGATGGTGGTAACAAGGGTCTCTATAACCGATTCCTCGATTTCAACAGCATTGTCACGTATAGTGCAAACAAGTACTCCGGCGTTGTTTTCATCCCTCTGAACGAGTTGCATGATTTCTACGACCGCATTGACTATCCTCTTCCTAACATGGCTTGGACTACATACTTTAACTTAAATTTCTCTAGTGGCCAGACTACCCCACCTGATTATCCACCACTTGTATCTCTTACAGCATCCGGATCTGGCCTCGTTGCTGGTGAAAATTTGAAGATCACTATCGGTGGTGCTGGTTCTGCTATGGGAGGTGTTTGCCGTCTCTATTACAAGTCCCTCGTTCTTCCAGCTGAAAAGTATCACGCACTTGCTGGTGCTCTCAGAGCTGGCTACGTGAAGAAAGTTCACTTCGTTGCATCAGATGTCAGCACCGTTAATAACACCACAGCCGGTAATGACTCAACTACACAGCAACAAATGAGAATCTCTGACTCCGTTGTTCGACCACTTCGTGTCACAGTCTTACCTTATCAAGTTACAGGTGGCCTAACCCAAATTCAAAAATACGGTGCCCTTGGTATCAACAACGTGGATGCCCAGCTCAGATCATGCAATATCGACATCAATGATGAACAATACTTCAACAAGGACATGTTCCTTGATCTTGAACTCTGGAACCAAGTCCGTGAATGTATGGTTGGTTACGGCACCAGTAACGAAATCGGCAGTCTCTTGAATTACCACGATTGGAAGAACTGTAACAGATTCACCATCATGAACCTCTCTCGTATTGCATCACGTCTTGTCAGACCAAATGCCCAATGCTCGTTGGTTGTGAAATTCAATAACACTAGCGCTGCTACTGGCTCTAAATATTACAACTACTGGTTCATCATCGATCGTTTGAAGACAGTTATCATCCGTAACGGTAGCACTTCTGTTGCATACGACAAGTTTATGGGTAACCCTGATACTCGTGCTGGCAGCCTTGGTGATATGAACGACATCAAACGTGTTCGCCAAAATGCTGAAGACGCTCTCGGCATCTAAACAATTATTAATTAACTAATCAGTAATTGTTTGCTCCAATATTCCAAATCTCTTGAACATATCAAGTCTCTTGGCTTTTTCTTCTTCCTTGATAATAGCGTGAATTTCTTGGTACATTGCATAGTCGATTGCATTGAGCTTATCAAGTGCTGCTGTATCTTCATGGATCTTATCGAATTCTTCCTTGTGTTCTTCTTTGAATCTTTCAGCGACCACTTCAGATGATTCATCGCTTGCGTGTAGCTGCGCCATTGCCTTTTCATTCAGATCATTTAATAGTTTAACCGTTGGTTCTGTTAATTCAAGTTCCTTTTTCTCGAATGCGTACTTGTCTTTCACCTCTTGTAGCTTGCGTCTAAGTACACTTCTCGACTTGTCCATGTCCATAATCTTGCCTAAAATCGCTTCATCTGACAAATTCATACTAAATTCTATAGTTTATAGAGATTTTATTAAATCATTATAACTTTTCATGTTCTTCATCTTCCTCTTCATCGTCTGTATACCACACATCGTCAGCCCTCAACATTATATCTACGTTCATTATACATTCATCGTCACGGAATTTAAAAAGCTCGCAATCATGACTGTTCCCTTCTTTTCTGAGTTCTTTAATTATAGTTTCTAGCTCTTGTATCATAGTCTCCATTTCCGTTTCAATACCATACAAATCTGATTGCATGTCTTTGAAACGTCTCAAAACAAAATCAAGGTGTTTATGTGTCATCACTATACTTGATCAATATTTTCTATACTTTTATATCAAGAAAGTAGCTTGACATATGGTGCAATCAATCTCTGATACAAGTCCGGATCATACAAATAACTCAATGGTTCATCATAGTGTCTCCATGCTAGTATTTTATCAACCATGTCTTTGTGACAGCTCTTGTGCATAGGTCTTGTTTCCCAGTCAGTTGCTCTTGTCCAGTTACGGATTTTCTTGTTACACAGCTTGCAGTTCATTTCTAACTATACTAACTACATTTATTTTATATAGTTTTCCATTATTATCTCCGCAACGTAAAGGTAACGTTAGAGGGATATTCAAAGGCTCCTAACTCAAAATGAAAGATGCAGTCGCATGTGCATTGTTCTGTTCTTTCTTCAAGAATGTCTTGGATAGTAGAATTATGAACGGGGCAATCGCATTTTGGTTTTTCACTCTTGTCACAAAAATCTTCACTATCGTAACAATAAGTGGTACAATCACAATCTCCATCAGCTGCTGCTCCACAATCGCATGTTTCTTCTTCACTATCGTCATTAAGTTCATCCGTCTCTTGGTTAGTGCTTGATCCAGTTATGAACTCAATGAAATAATTGTACAATTGTTGATCGTTGTAGTTACAGGCTCGTCGTAAATCTTCCATACTTGTTAGCTTCACTCCATCACAAGAGATTATCCCATTAGTATTTCGAAGAATCGACGCTGAAAAGTACTCGGCTCTACACATCGGGCACGTATACCAATTTTCTTCCGTGATTTGTCTTATACAAGCAACACAAACAACGTGTCCACAAGCAATTTCTGTCTTTTCCTCAAAATCTTCGCAACAAATAGGGCACTCCATTAACTATACTAAATACATTTATTTTTATATAGTTTTCAATTATTTTACGTCTTGATAGACTACAGTGTAGCCCTCCTTCATCGTGCTGATCCAAAATTTGTCATTATAATCAGCAGTCTTTCTAAGAAGTGGGGTGATCACCCCTGTAATGCTTTTTAAGATAAATCTGAATTTAAGCGGGTCTCTGCTTCCTCTGCGCTCCTCCCAGTGGTCTTGTAGCTCATCTAGTTGGGCTTGATAACTTTTTATTGTTTCGCGGTCGATTTGATCCAAAAGATCATAGCATTGCACGAATGTAGTTTCACGATTGAGGCAGCACATGTCACAACCATCGTACACTTCAATGCTGTACCCGTGCTTTGTGGTGACTGATGTGGTGGCAGGATTTTGATCGTCGAAATCAGTACAATACACACCAATTGACCGACATTGGGAACAGTAACAAACAGTACTAGCTGAAGGACTAAAATACCGACCAGTGTTGTCATCTTGCAAAATTTTCACAACTTTTAACGGTTTGTGGTTCAATAACTCTTCAAAAACTGCTTCCATTTCTAACTATACTGAATAAATTTATTTTTATATAGTTTTCAATGATTTTTCACCAAGGGGCAGAACCTTTCGTTGGCTTGACACCGCGACGCTCAACATTCTCTAGAATCAGTTTCCAAACGATTTCTGGAAATTTGAACACATACGTCAAATACCATCCATTCCACTGACGCCCGACGAAGAAAGGAGATTTTTTCAGAATACTTTGTGATTTTATCACCCTTTTTGCGTGCTCAACGCCATGCTCATCATCATACTTTGTTTTTCTTCCAAATGTTGCATAAGGAACATCTTTGTACACATCAAAATGGCCGTAAAGATCAACTCCGACAAAGGTTGCCAAGTAGCGAAAGCTTTCGTATTCATAACAGTCTCCTTTCACCATATCGCTGCTCAAAAACTCTTGAGCTTCTTTGTCCCCGATTTTGTTCTTCTCTCTTCGCTTGAGAATAGCTTCATCTAAAGGCTCTGTTCTGCCTTTATCTTCTTCAATCATGCAATCGCTGTCGTAATCTAATTCCCCGTCACGAAACCATATATCCATTGGACACATTGACCCAGCCATTTTGTACTGTACTAACTATACTGAATAAATTTATTTTTATATAGTTTTCAATTTTTTTATTCCAATTCTTCCCACTCAACTTTGCGTGGAGTAATATTGTTCATTCCTTTGATCACTGCATGTGGACAATAGAGTTTGTACTTGAAATCACCAAGTTCATTGCCAGTCGCGACTTCGATCTTTTCAGACAGAATAATACCATCGGTATGGATACGAACAACTTTATCAAGATGTGGGCGAATTAATCTCATCATAACAAGGCGAATCTGTGAGTAAATGAATGGTTTAACACGAGCAAATGGTGTTTCAAAGTAGCTGTTTGTGTCAACAACATTGTATTTGACAACCAATCCGTTCTTAGCATCGACAGTAAAATCTTCGACATCATGAATCTCTTCCGTTTCTTTCAAATACTGTATCTTCTTGCTTTCTTCATGCACTGTCTTGGTAACTGTATCAACCATACTGAGTGCGCCAATGAAACCATTGATCATTAGTTTGGCATCAGGTAAATTTTGTTGCTTGAATCCAAACAGCTCGTCTTTGAATGAACCAAATACTTTGTCTCCTTTTACACGACTTTGTCCATCATAATGAAGGAAATTCGGCTTGCCATCGTGAATCAATTCAATTGTTAGACCAAGTTCTCTGAATGCTTTGATGTCAATAGAAGTGTACCAGTCAAGTTCTTCATTCCAACGAGTAAACCAACAAGAATCTGGTTGGAAGCCCGATATCAAACAACGATAGATACCAAACTCCAAGTGTTCGCTGAAATCATCAATAGTTTTGAAAGTACCACGTTTAGTTGGAACAAGGAAAGTGTTCTTAGTAATAATGCTGAAATAAGCACTGATCATATCGAGTTCCCATGCTTCACCTTCGTATTCCTTCCACTTCATTAATGCGCCTCTAGAAGATGACATGATTATTCTTGCTTCATCGGCCAATACAACTTCAGCATCTATTGGTTGTGTGTGATCGTACAAGAATTTAATCATGGTACGTCTTCTGTCTCCTGTTTTGAAGAAATCAATACGTCCTTTCGATGCTTTCAAATAGACATTACGTTTCTCAATAAAATCATCGTATGTCTGTTTCAATGCTTCTTTAGTTGGTGATTTGACTAGTACATTTGTTGCTGAGACAGGATGGTACTTGATTTTGTTAAATTCTGTCCAATCCATTTGTCCCATTCCATTCTCATCATAAGTGCAGACATAATCGGTTTGAGATACATATGCCATTGGTTTGCGCACTGAATAAGATATACCCTTCTGGACATGTCTTTTGGTGGCTGTGAAATGGCCGTACTTCAAAGTGAGGATAACTGATTTGATTGATTGATATTCACTGTTGTAGTCAACGTCTCCAATGACAGTTATCTTGGTTCTCAGTTTCTTTTCAAGGCGTGGTATCACATCAACGGAAATCTTGGTATTGGGTACTACTTTGAGATACTTGCGGAAGTCTTTAGACGTTTTCCATGGCATATCATCTAGAAGCAGGATGTGTAAAGCGTCAAACAAACAATCGTTGGTACTTGATGATCCACCAGCTGTTTCAATCGCAGGATGAACAATTATCATCATCTTTGTGTACACAACAAATTCATCATCATTGTACGGTACAATCTCTGGGATTTCTATTTTGCCATGTAAATTTTGTTTCCCAGTGCTGACTCCGACACGTTCCTTTACCAGAACACGCTTGCCGTTTTCATTGTACGTATAAATATTGCCAATTACAACGATACGAACTGATGCTTTGTCGTTTGTAGTATCGAGTTCTTCACGAAGCGCTTCAATGTATCCCATCAAAGTATGAGTTACTTGAGCATGATTCATTTCAAGATCATAAAATACCATAATACCATCGCCTTCCTTTCTTTGCATATCATAAGCAGATCTCAGCTTTGTTGCTGTAACTTTCACCTTGAATTTTGGGATTTGCATTTCTATTATACATTTATACTAGAAATTAGTTTTTATATAGTTTTCAATCATTTTCTCTTTTTAGTAGCCTTGACAAAATCAGCTGCTTTCACTTTAATCATGCCGTTCTTGTCTGGCTTCAACGTTATTGCATTAATATGTCTTTGTGATTTCTTATGCAGATACATTGATCCTTGACAGACATGGTCTCCACATTCACACTTCACAATCTCCTTCTTCTTTGCTAAATACGCTTTTTTCCATTCAGGATCTGCATAGTATTCAACAAATAATTTCTTCACCTTCGGCTCTTTGGCCTTGGGTTTTTCTTCTATTTCCTTATTTTCCATAGTTTTCTATCTATATATTCAAGACATATTTTTATATCATTATTATATGGATGAAGTACTATGAAAATTTTGGTATAGGCGGCATTGATCCAAAAGAAGCTGCCACTGAATTGCTGGCGTTATTGTACAAGAAGCCAAAGAAAGAGAAGGGTGTCAACATGCCTCGATTTTACACTGGTACTGGTGGTTTGACGATACAGGCCGATCTTTTGTATTTGCCTTGGGATCAATGGCATTTAGAAGGAAGCTCGTTCAAGTATGCTCTGGTTGCAATTGATACAGGCAATCGCAAAACAGATGCAGTGCCAATGCAAGAGAAAACAGCTGAGGCAACATTGAAAGCATTCAAAATCATGTTCAAGCGTGGTATTGTACAAATGCCATCAAGTCAGCTACAGGTTGATGGTGGTACTGAATTTAAAGGGGTTTGTGCACGTTTCTTTGAAGATGCCGGTGTTACAATCAGAGTTGCTGAACGCGGACGCCACAGGAGTCAGGCTCTTGTTGAAGCAAAGAACAAACAGATAGGTAAAGCCGTGTTTATTGCTCAAAATGCAAGAGAGTTGGTATTGGGTACAGATAATGCTGAGTGGGTTGATGATCTACCTCGTATTATTGCAGAGATCAACAAGAACATAAAACTGAAACCAGTGCCAGAAGATGCGGTGCCTGTATGTAAAGGAGATAGTTGTCTGATTCTTGATGAAGGCACAAAGGTAAGAGTAGCTAATGATTTCCCAAAGAATCTGCGAGGTGAAGATGAATCAACTGATCGTTTCAGAGAAACAGATCTCAGATGGGATCCAACTGTTCGTGAAATTACTGAAGTTCACCTTCTTCCTGCACAGCCACCAATGTACAGTATTACAGGCAAGAAACATTGGTATACGAAACAACGCTTGCAAGTGGTTGGCAAGACTGAAAACATGCCGCCAGACAGTGTATTGCGAAAACAACCAAAAGGATATGTTTACGGTGAGAATGACATCGCAGAAGATGAGAGCGACGATGATTTTACAGCTGAAGAAGCACCTGTTGAAGAAAGCTCTTCTCGTAGAGGGACGCGTGTGCGAAAACCTGTTCATCGACTAACAATTGATGAGAGAGGAAGACAAAAATAATGAAATTGATTAATTCGATTATTTTCTTTTCATATCACGAACCAGCTTTGATATCTGTTCTTTCACATACAATGGCCGGAGCTGTTTTGGGGTTTCACGGATTTTTGTTATTACATCATCAAGTTCTTGTAACCCATCGTGAATAACTTGCTGCCAAGATCTGGGATCCACTGGAAATCCATGTTGGTCACGAAAACATTGTACTGCTGGTTTTGGTGGGCGCTTGATGGTAATTTGGGGTGTTTCAGGGGTTGTGTCATGCTCATCAAGTGCTTTGAAGTCAACCTTCGGGGTTTCAATATGTTCTGGGTCAAGAAGTTCATATTCTTCAAGTGGTTCAATAATTGGCACAAATTCTTCATCATCTGCTTCGGTTACAACTGGCTTTGGTGGTTTAACGATTTCTTCATCAAGTTCATCCATATCTGCTGCTTCAACATCCTGATCATCCAATTCATGTAACCATTTGTGCTTTTCAGCGATTGCTTTCAATGTTTCGTAACTGGCAGTCACATTTTTGTTACCAGACGTGCTACGTTGGATGCCTACTTCTTTGAGCTTTTTACTGAACGCATAAATTGTGGGGATCTCATCCGACCTGAAGCTTTTGGTGAACTTGTCAAACATGGTGCACATTTGCTCATTTATTCCCTTTTCTTTCAGAATGTACGACTTTTTGAGGAATTTGAAGACTGGATGCAATCGTTCGGCTATGAAATCAAGCTTAGTCTGACTGTCTGGAACTTTGTGACACAAAAAGTTAGTGTTATCGATTTCGAGCAAGTAGTTGAAGAACGCCTTGCCAACCTTGTTGTTTCACACTTTTTCACAAGCATGCCGAATACGCATGATCTTCCATTCTGTGAGTGCTGCAGTCCAATG